GTATGTGAGACATCTTAGATTTTTCGCCAACTAAATCCTTCCACTTCTTGTCTGACTCAATCTCGCGATAGGTTTCTACGGGATTCCGCGATTCACCATAGATATTACCCGGGCGAGTTCCTGGTCTCCTTTCTCTCACCGGTCTCCGCAGCTCATCTTGTGGTGCAGGATCCCCCGGAGGTGGAGAAGGTGGGTTCTCAGGCTCTCGCGCCTGAGGCTGCGCAGGTTCGTCGTCACGATCCTGGCCTGGCCCCTTTTGGGATTTAGGAGGAGGATGGGAGTCTGGCTCATCATCATCGGTGATCCAGTCATCATCAGAATTTTCTGGTTGACTGTCAGCTGGTTTAGGCGCACTTTGCAGCCTAGTGCTTGCCCGTCGCTTTGTATTAGGGCATTTAGGGAACATAGCTTCATCAAACAGCGCAGTAGGCTGAGTGACTATACTATTATTGGCACGCATGAATTTGAAGCCATGGCCGCCATCAGCGACACCAATGTAAGTCATCAGCTCAGCTTTAGGTGATAACTTATTGGGTCTGGTTTCCTTTGGCAGGTAGACGTATGCTCCGCATCCAAAGACACGTAAGTGCTTGATGTCAGGAGCTTCCTTGTTCAGGACCTCATAAGGAGTCTGCCATTGATGGCGCTTCAAAGGGGTCCGGTTGTAGATGTGAACGGCATGGTCTACCGCAAATTCCCACCAAGATGGAGGTGAGCAGGACTCTAGCCGCATTGACTGCGCTTTGTCCATTATAGTCCGAATAAAGCGCTCAGTGCGACCATTCTGTTGGTGCGCATAAGGTGCACTCTGTCGGATTTTTATGCCCTCATCTCTGAGCATCTTGATGAATGCGTCAGATTTATACTCTCCCCCTGCATCGGACATCCACTCCTTAATTTTCCTGCCATATTGATTTTGTACGTAGGCTAGGAATTGACGAGTCTTAGCAAATTGCAGCACCCTTGGAGCGCATATGCATGACCCGTCCATAGGAGGTGTAATCGTCAAAGAAGACGGTTGTGTACCGATACTTATGGTAGGAGTCTACGGGAAATGACTTAAGATCCGAATGAATTAACTCAAACGGTTCTTTAGCCCATAGAGTGGATGGCGGGAAAGCCTTAGAAGGCATTTTGCCTTCCGCGCATCCAGGGCATACTGGGTCTTCCGAAGGAAACTCCAGATTGGTGGGGAAACCTTTGGTGTGTTCCCTAGCTTGCCTCAGGACTTCCTTAGAGGGGTGTCCCATGCGACGGTGCATAATCCCATAATCGACCGCATAGATCGTTGGGAATATAGAGTACGCATCCGGTGCAGGAATTGTACAGACACTGTAGATAGTGTCGCCAGGCTGCCACGGTAAAAACTTGAATAAAGGTTCGCGCAATCCCTTTTTGTATAGACTTATGTGTCGGTCATTGCCAGACAATTTTAATTTATCCTGGAGCAATACTCCGAGTGACATGAGGCGAATATTCAGGTCAGGTATATAGTATACTGGAAATAACCGAGTGGTAATGTTCCCGACGTCCTTGATATAATAATTCAGGACAGTTGTACCAAACCCGAGTATTCGTGCAAACCCGTTCGCGGTAGATGCGGTCGCAGGTTGCTTAAATTCCTCAAAGTCGATGAAGTCGCTCATGTCATAAGTAAAATGCCGAGAGGCCCCCGAGTCAAGGATCCAGGTGTTACCCTGTTGTGCCTTATCTTTCCCCTTACATTTTGCACACGCAGCATAAGTTTGTGCATGAGTGCAATATATTAATGCCAAAGTTACAGGACTCAGATTAAGATCTACACTACGCTGCCCTAACTGTGATGGCGTGTCAGTGGAGTCCTGTAAAGGGGAAGATGGCACGTACGAATAGTGCTCGTCGATAAAGGCATTCTGGTCAAAGCCAGCCTCCGCGATAGTGCGGTCCAGGTCTTCCTCGTCGCCGAGACTGACAGTCTCCCCCTGGTCCTTGTCACTACCCCAGTCGATAGACTGGTTGTCATCGTGGTCGCTGTCCGCAGCGTCATCCACGCGAGCGACTCCTTCAAAGCAAGCACGCTTGGACGCGCGGCTGGAGGCGACAGAGTCGGCATCCTCCATGTCGATGTCTAGGTCCGGGTCGACTTGCCTGACCAGAGCGTCCAAGACCTTGATGTCTTCTTCGGTGGGACTTATATTGAGGTCCCGCGCGAGCTTGAAGGCTTTCTTGATACGCTTGTTGTTGTAGTGACTGGTATCCGCCGAAGGAGGCGGGTGGAACGGACCTTGCTCTTTGACCGTCCAAGTCTTGCTGCCGGTAGGCGCGATGTTGAGGACGTGAGCGATGGTCGGAGGAGGAAGGGAGACGGTCGAGGCGATCAGGACGTCATGGGCATGGTGGTGATCGTGGTTCTGCCCCTGACGCTTCTTCCCTGCACACTTGCCACGATAAGGGTGCCTCTTCCCATCTCGCGCATTTCCGCTGCTGCCCTGAGGGCGCTGCTGCTGCTGCGAAGAAAAGGAAGGATCACCCGGCTTACGTTTCACTGCCGAGATCTTGTGCGCACCAAGTTTCTCCGGCTTCTTGCCTTGAGACTGGTCCCAAGCAGTGGTAACTGCTTCCCGTACTGCACCTATGCTCATGTTATCAGCAGAGGTAGCTTGGACCAGCATCTACGCAATGTTCTCATAGCGGCTGGGGAGCGCATAAAGGCAAATTAGACTTTGAATAAGCATGGGAATCTTGACCTTGGCCGCTTCCAGAGTGTCGAAATGTTTGGATATCTTCACGAAGGCTGGAGCAGGGTGCTGATCCACCGGAATCTTCGTCGATAAGGCCCCCCGCAGCTCATTGTAAATGGCGCCGAGGGACATAGACGAATAGAGGGAAGACATTTGGTGCCAAATTTCCTTGGCCGATTTTTTGTCCTTTATGTAGGAGGCGACAGCGGGAGAGCAGCGCAGACGGATCATACCCATAGCCCTGACATCTTTTTCCTTCCAGGCGTCAGCAGCGGTAGAGTCCCTGGTAGTACCGGAGACGACGACAGCTGGCTGCGTGATGCTGCCATCCACATTTCCCCAGAGGCCTTGGGACATAAGGTACGCCATCATTTGCTCGGACCAGGTAGGCCAGTTCGAGCCATCGAGGATGGGGACAACAGCGATCAAATTGTTCGACATTGTTGTGGAGCGATTGAGAAATCTGTAATCTGTATTGAGATCTCATCAGTATCAGCGAAGCTATGCAGCCCGATAAGGGCGCACTGCTCCATGCTGTTGGCTCCATTAGGGAGTTACCCCAGGATTGATCATCAAGCCTGACGGCTGCTGATAACAGCACCTACGGCGATGATCACGCATCAAGCCACACTGCAGCCTGTGAAGGCGCATAGGGCGATGCACAGGTGAGCGAGGCGCAACGCGCTGCAGCGAGTTACCGCGCAGATGCAAGCTGCCTATTTGGGCTCATAACCTGATGAAGAGTTATGGAGGCAGCAGCACGCACAGTGCGCCCTACACAACTCACCTGTATTGGTTGGATGCTGTAGCTACTGGTAAAGCTTGTATAAACGACCCTTGTCATTAGGCAGCAGAGCTGCAGGGTTTATATACACAGTGGCCCATAGGCTGACTAAGCTACGTGGAATATCTATAATCCTACTGAGCTCCACCTATGATGTCACTGACCCACATGAGCTCCGTGCCCTTGTGCAATAGTGAAATATACCAGAATGTTCCAGAGGGTTCCGGTACGTTCTGGTACGTTGTAGAACCTGGCAGCTAAGTCAGCGCCCAGTTCAACAATTCTCATATAATACATTTTCTTACATAATATTTCACTTCTGCCCTAGTCATTAGAGCAGCGCGAACGCTAAGGACGGGTGGTTTTAGGAGCCTGGGTTTCCGGACTTTTATGCAAAGCACTGTAGGTTGCTGTTAATTCTATGTCTACGGTAGCGGGCTCTGCCGTGCTCGCACGGCCTTACAGCTTTATCCCAAAAAGGCCAATGGAAGGCCTCGCAAGAGCTGCCGTTTTGGCGGTGCCGATTGCGATGCGTCGGGCTGAGACAATTCATCACCTCGTCTTCTGTGCCGACAACTCCTCGGCCGTGTCCTCCATCACGGATATAGGGACACACCCGAGCCAGAGGTGGTCTATCCTCTTTTGTCGAGCACTCATGGAATACTTGGAAGCAGATGAACGCAACAGAGTCACTATCCGCTGGACACCGGGCCACCATGGGATTCAGGGCAATGAAGTAGCGGACCACCTGGCAAGGGCTGCGGCGTCTCGAGTCGTCCCCGATGCCATACCTACTTACTCCTACATGCGGCGCACGGCAAAGGAAGCAGCCCTCCGCGCCTGGACTGATATTTGGCGAAGGACTCAGGGAGACGGCGGACAGCGACGGGATTTCGCTCTGGCCGATCGCTTCGCCCCGAAACTCAAACCTCAAGAGCACTTTCTCCGCATAACCAACCGTCGCGTCTACAGTCTGGTTACCCAATGCCGAACTGGCCACGCCTTCATGGGCGAGTACTACGCCCGTTTCGTTCCCACAGAGGACCCCGCTTGTCCGTGTGGATCTGGACTCCAAATGCGTCAACATATCCTCCTGGAATGCCCCCGGTACAACGCCCACCGCGCAATCCTAGTGTCCGTCTCACCCATTTCGCAACCTACGTTAGGTGACATCCTTGGTACCCCTCCGGGTATCAAAGCCCTCTCCCGCTTCATTGCAAAAACCGGCGCATTCACCAAGACCGGTGATGACTGCTTCGTTGCCCCAAATACTGACGTCTACTCCGATCCACAAGACGAGGAACCACCGGCGGCGCATAGCCGCTGTCGGCCGCGGAGACGCAGGAGACGAGCCCGTACTTGACCTATTCTATGGAACTATTCTATGTCGTTATGCTTATGTCTTTTGAGCCTCACTGCTGACCCCCCCTACATTCACCCACCCGTACACAGTAAGACTCTGCTCCTTAATGGTAGACTTCATTATAGTTTAGTTGTACATGTTTATGGCTATTTATCGCTACATAGAGTAGTACTGTGCCTTGGCGCTAGTAGTAGTTCGCCTGCTCGCAGTATAAATACAAAGAATTTCTCTCTCTCTCTCCCAAAAAGGCCTGAGGATGCGTACACGCAACGAGCGAACGATCGCAGTTATTAAAAGCGCCCTGATCGTTCGAGGTCGAGCCATCGCAGCAAACTCGCAGTTCGCAGAGTTCATCTTCGTTGCGGCACGGATTTGGCAGTCGGTAGGATCTTGCTCGCGCGATCTCCGTACGGACTACGGAGAAGCGCAATGACCATCTTCCTGTGATACAGGGCTTGGTGTTGAACAGGAATCTCCCTCAAGCATAGTGCTATCGTAACACCAAATTAAGAGATGTCTCGAAGTCGCACCGGCCCCACTGATAGGTATATATTTCCTGGCGTATTTTAATAGAGCTCCGCGTCTACATGGTCTCGGTGTTGAGCACAGGATTCGTGAGTGTCTCGATCATCTCATCTTGCTGTTCTTACCGCTAATCTCATATTAGCCCGGAATGCTGTTTAGAATCATATATATGTCGCTTTATAGACGCTACTCCCGATATCTCGCATACCCCAAGAATCACGATATCATCAATCCAAGAATCTGATATTCATGCACGCCATCTCATCGCGAACACAAAAGCGATTGCTGAAATATGCTGTATCTACTTTCAAATGACGGTATCGCGAAACCCTTCCTTGCCGCCTGCATCCTACGGAGTACCGCCGCTTCACCATGCGCATAGCAGATACTTCGTTTACCACAGTAAGCCTAGAGGCCTACATAGTACTGTTTACAGTGGCTGAAGAAATATCTGAAGGTCCTCGCGATGGACTGTATCTCTTTGTGGGTATGTGTATCCTCATCGCTTGCTCGAAGGCCTGTGGTGATGCCAACTTTCTTCTAGCTGGGCAGCATGATATATGGTGAGTACCTTGCTCACTGGAGCTACCGGAGGTCTCTGAACAGACCGCCGTTTCACAGGATGTCATGTTGTGGTCCTTGCTGCCTGTTTTTATATTCTCCTACGCGGGCGCCTGAGTAATTTGCACAAATGCTTACTTTATATCAACGTCGCCTCCTTCGTATTTGCAACTGCTCAAATTGTCGTCGCCTTCCTGGCCGTATTCCTGGTGGTAACTTTGAGTCAGGGAAAGCCATTGGATTATCAGTTAGCGGCGATTAACGCTTATAATGTTCTCGACGCTTTGTCGGACGCTCTTATTCCCACGACTAAGTGATTCATTTTTCATTCCCCAATTCATGGAGCTTACTAGTATGCGACTGACGATAGTATTATTGCCGATTCTTTATTGGTTTGACTTCGAACTCAGAACACTGTGTACTTTCACTAATACTGTACTTTGTCCCCAGATATGGCGATGCTACGTGGTCTGGGGTCGCAGGCTTTGGGTTGTTGCTCTGCCCATCATTCTTCTGATAATTGGGACAGGTGAGTTCATGTTCCCCGTTGTCGTTCGAGACAAGAAAATATGAATTGAATTCTCGACCAACAGTCTGTGGTTACATTCTGGCCTATGCGGAAGTGGCCGCTTATTTGATCCGCCTCCATCAGTCGCCGACCGATTTTTCAACCACGCCTGCATTTAACCGTCTGGGCTACCTAGTCCAGTATATGAACATAGGATACTATGCATCATCTCTCGCCACCAACGTTTTGATGTCAGCACTGATTGGTCAGTGGCGTGTATGGGGGCACGCACATGCTGGGAGATAACTGACGGAGATGCCCATCAGCGTATCGCATCTTCGTCGCTGCTCGAGGCGTACTCACCCACTCCGGCAAGAGCTACCACCAGAAATACACTCGGATTGCGTCTATAATGTGAGCGCACTTACTTGGACTACCCAGACAGACATGCTTACATGCTACAACTCCAACGCAGAATCGAAACTGGTGCTGTGTATTCTACCTGTCTTCTGCTTGCGTTCATCCTAAAGGGACCGGTTCCCATTCCCGTTGGCGTATGTCTGTTCGAGCTCGATCCCTCGTTCGTTCACCACTAAATAATCATGCAGTATGTCTTGGGTACTTTGGTAGCACTGAGTGCTGTGAGGTGTAGTTTGATTCTGTGCTCATAACACCCACTGATCGGGATGTTCCAGAGCATCTTCCCGGCCCTATTCACATTGCTCTTCAGCTTGAACGTCATAACGGAGGACGGCTCCAGGGGAACGGACAATCCGACGGTGCCGCCCCTCGAGTTTGCCATGCCGCAGATAAGTGATCAAGGCCGCAGCGTCGCGCAATCAGACAACGCGATTGGCGCTGAACTGATTCGTATATCCCATCCGGAATGTAGCGGAGCAATTCGTCTCGGCACCCAGGCAGACCTTGTTCACAAAGGTTGAGGATATCTATATACTCCGTTCCGTCGTTCTTGTAACCTCGTTACCTCTTGTACCCGGTCGTACGAGGGAGAACATCATCATTCGCAATTGGACACTTGTCTCTACATACTGTACATGTAGCATTCTGTTGATTTTGAATCCAAACTCGGTGGTGTCGAGACAACTGCGATACCGATCGCCGAGTCAGAATGCGTACGCCGGGCACTCCTCGGCTCCGACGGCGACTGATACAAAAAGTGCAAGGCGTACAGTGACTCGCAATCGTCCCTCATGTGTATGATTGTCTACGGTCTCTCAAAGTCTCCAGCTTTGAGGCTGAATCTCAAACCCAAACCATAAGTATCAGTGCTCATGAGCTCAGTCCCATTCAATTCATGGCGTGCCGAAGGTAAGATGACCCTTCAAGATTCCGTCAAACTCAGTTCATTCTCATAGTTCGTTTTTCTAGGAAGGATCGCCGGTACCTGGTCGGGTGCCACGTCGGCGCCGTCGCACTCCGAGGATGCGATCACGACTGCTGTCCCTACCCTCGGGACAGGTGGGGCATTATTGCCAACGAACGCCTCCACTACACACCTCACACAGTCCCACGTCCTCCTCACCGACGCGGAGGGTGCAAAGACTCGTACAGACCCAAATTCGTGTGTATCGAGTGCCGCAGGGCGTTCAAGATGTGCTTCCGAGAGGAACATATCTACAGGCCATCAAGACCGGGCAGCGGCTTCGAGTACGCGCCCAACTTGGAGCGACTCGAAGATATGGAAGAGCGGATGGTTAAATCCACTGCTTACCGTAGGAGGGCCAGCGGACGAGTGGACGAATTGGAGCGCCTGAGAGAAGAAATTCGCTCGATCAAAGCGTTGCATTGGGACGTATTCTGGACGAAGCTTGACACGTTGTCTTGCCCCGCCTGTTGCGTCCCGGGCATCCCTGTCGGAAGCACATTCCGACCACCGAGCAAGAAAGACAGTAAGGCTTGGGCGGCCGTGAAGGCGATTTTGGAGGGCGGCGAAGCGCGGAACGGACATCACTTCACGTACTGTCCCACTCGGGCAGAGGAAGACGAGGCGGAGCTTATTGAGGAAGCGCGGCGGGTCGCACGACGACGAGAGACGGAAGAAGCTTGGAGGAAAGAGAGAACTCGGCGCATCGAAATCTTGCGCAGCTCGTGTGGATGAATGTAGATTCGTCGAGAGAAGCTGTAGATATTCACGGTTTCGCTCGAAAACCATACCGTACATGGGCGTCCTCTGTTACACGACTCGTCCCAAACTTACTGAGGACACCTTTCATCAACGCCTTCGTTGCGACAGCGAAATCGTCCTGGACCGACTCTTGCAGCGGATATAGCATGGGATATAGCATATACGATACGCAGCGTCAACCAAGGACAGAGGCGCTGGCCAGGAGAAAGCCATGGCAGAGGACAAAACCGCGTAGCATCGCTGGTGCAAGCCATCCTATAATCAGTCTTTACGACTCGACTCGTACTACTGCCCTAGGGCGGAGACAGGCGCTATGTCCTCTACACGTTTCTTGATAGCGGTCGCTTACAACGCGATCAGCGCATTGACCGCCACCAAGGCTCTAGGAGTCATGGCCAGCCGTCAATACACATCCTTCCCCACTGTGTCAAAGGGCGTTCCGCGTTTCCCGTTTTGCGGTCTTCATTCCAAGGCTGAAGGATCGCCTGATTTTGATGGGGCAAGGAAATGCACCGAACCTGCTTATCGTGCTGGCAGGGCCAAAAACGCACGAGGAAAGAAACGGCCGTCGCGTCGACTTGAATAGCTTTTCAAGGAATTTCATCTGCACTGCCTGCGAGCGGTGCGCAGGGATTGACAAGAATCCCAGACAGCACCCGAAGACGGGAATGGCTCGTGGAGGTCAACCGGAACATAGTGCGAAAACGCCTCCAAAGCATATCAAGTCCCTGCTCTTTTCTGCTGCAGCATCTTCTCGAGCTCCTCGAAAGCGCTGAGGGTCACATTCTTCGTCTTATTACCCTCCGATTCCTTGGCAGCATCGCCAGCATCCCGGATAGATGCAGGCCATTCGCTCTCGGGCACATTCCAGGCTCTAAGTGTAGATCTGAGCGCATTGAGTGAAGCATTATACGCCTGTAGCGACTCTTCGTACAAGTCATATACACAGACGGCGCAGCCTGACATGCAACATTCTATGATACATTAGGGATATATGCGCGTCAACAAGTCCAACAAACATACCGTCTGCAGCTGGCGGCTTAGGCTCCTCTGGGATCACCAGTCCTCTGAACGTCTTCACAGTTCCAGAAGGCCGGTGTACTGGGTGTACCTCCCTGCCCGGCGGGGACGAAACCGCCGTGTCTCCAGGGAGGTCGCCGATGAATTCCGTCAACGATGCTTTCTCCCGAAGGGACCGTTCAAGACGTCTATAGCGATCAGACAAGTTTTGTCCGCCTCTTCTCGGACGTTTCCAATGCTCTAGCGCGACGGCTGTCGGAGGGCGCACGTCCCTACTTGTAGTGCCATCGCGAGTCGCTGAGCGTCGCGCTATCCATCGAGCACATGGATTCACAAGTCCTACTGGGTGGTCGGCTCGGATACTCCTTGCGATACATAACATGCGTTGAAGGCAGCAAGGCGGAAAGAGGCAAGAGGCAAGAGGCAAGAGTAACCCTGGACTGGAGGACTCGCGAGCAACCGCGACAAGCTTGATTTTATACTCGGAGCCGCCGGGCCGGCGAGGCCCGCACGAGTCCTGAGGCGGACTGGCTGCTGTCACTGGCAGTCGCAGAAACTCTCCCAAGCATCTGCGACCGCTTGAAAAACTTGGGAAGTATTCGGCGCTGCGCGGCACGCCAGGTCCGATTCCTCGTAAGGTAAACGAGTGGCAAGGGTTCTACAAGTAGGTCAATAGTCTTTCTAGCCTCCCGGGCGCTGCGCGGCATCAAGAATACTCCTAGTTATTATATGTTGATCTCAGTGATACTAAATCATATAAGTTCGTAACTCTCAAACATAACTGTGTGTGGCTAGAACCTTCAATCATCCTATACTTGGTGTCAAGTACAGTTATTTCAATACACAATACACAGTTTACTTCAGTACTACACTCGGGTAGCATTACTATTGAGTCAGTGCACATGCATACTGTAGGTGAGATGCACATCGTCAGGCTGAGGCCTCAATGCTGCCAGTACTATGCCTCGTATGTAACTTACCTATCTTGTGCCGTAGGCCGCAGGGTACTTGCCATCGGCGCAATTCCACACACAGCCGGGGGATGCCTGACAGTGCCATTGGCCCGAGATCTTGAAAGGATCGTGCCGTGCAGAGACCACACTACAAATCTGGAATTAGTCCCTATTCACAAACGGTAATTATTGACATGAGAGGTAATAGCTCCTATTTGCTGATGGCGGTAAGATTTGGATCGGTGGACCTTCCATTTAAGGAGGGTGCTCCCGTTACAGTTAAGGTAATTTGGGCTATAAGGGGTATACCCCCTGTTCAACGCTGGCAATTTTCGATCACCAGAGAGCCCTATACAACGACTGAACAGTAAACCGATTCTAGGGGAATCGGAATCCACGGATGAGGCAGAAATGTTATATAGGCTCGGTTTACGCGAATCAATAGGTCCAGATGCTCTATCAGTGTCCGCCTCCTGTCGAACATTGCATAGTCCAGTTGCGTGTTAATAAATATGAGGGAACAACGACAAGCAGCGTGCTGTCGACGTCGTGTCATCCATGGTCTTATATTGCGGAGGCCCTACTGCAGACCCCTGGACATAGCCACCTCTAATGCCCGAGGTCTACATCCCAGCAGTGTGATCACTGGCAGTCGTCCACATATCATCACATGTCGTAGACATTAGCTGTATCACAGGTATCCCAGTTCCCATGCCAAAGGAGTTGACGATCCTGCTTATACAAGCTGTGATATATAGTGTAGCTTGCCTTGTAGTTCACCAACGGCCTCAGGAGCGGCAAACTCCATGGGCCGGAGGACCACAGTGGTGGCCCTAGAGGGTTCGAGACGTGTATCGGGAGTGGAAATAGCCTGTTCCGTGGTTCGGTCTAATCCCACATAAACCACGAGAAGGGTCGGGAATATACCCTAGAGCAGAGCGTTGTTAGACGGTGAAGACCGGAGACATAGGAAACAGATTACGGATGCCATGCCCACGATCGCTCCAGACACACCCTGCATACGACGATGAAAAAAGGAGCGCAGAAAACACAGTGAAAAGACTCACAACCGCAGCGAAGTCAGAGAGGGGATTGCCGGACTGGGTAATCACAGCCAGAAGCAGGCACGCAGAGTAGATTGCACCGGATTCAATGCTAAAAGGTGAGCACGCAATCTAGTCGATATATACGCGGCTGTACTGGATATATATACATCAGAGAGGCGAGCCGGATATACTTTCTGCTTTGAGTGCTTCCTATGTATTGCCGTAAACCACGGTGTGTCCAAATAATGCGGCCTCCTGGAGGAAAAGCCATAGAATGTGTCTCTGTCATCCCACGACGACTATACGAAACACGTACCTATTAGTACAGTCACGAGAATATTAGTGACCAAAGAGGCGGAATAATACATTTGTCTCATATCGTAATATAAGATTTGGAGATCCGTCCATTCTTGTGGAGGAGTGACCTCGGAAAGCGGGAGTCGGAGTCGTAGTCGATATGCTTGCGCAGAGATATAAACCATGACCATCCCACCGGCTAAAAATCCACGAGCGCTCGTGACAATCCGAAGAGCCCGATGATTATGATCATGTACCTGTGCCTACAGTCAGCATGACAAGAGGTATGATTGTGACTGCTCGGTTCCGCCACACGATGAAGCAGCGCCATATCTAAGCAACATCAGGTGACTGCATGGATAAAATATATCGTGAGTTGGACTGACCAATAAGCCATCCGCAACGAAGCTAATTAAATTTCCAAGGTCAGCGCCCTGGTAATTACTGTAGTTGGGGAGGGATGACACTCACTTGTTCGCGGTATTCAAAGCATTCGCGAAGACATCCAGAAGGTTACCAACGTCTTTCTCTCTCAGGACAGACTCGGTTTCTCCGGGATATGTGCCATCCGCTAAGACATCAGTCGTGAGGAAGGCATACAAGAAGTTGACGATAGCGAGAGCAGTGGAAATGATAAACATGATAGTGATAACTAGGAGCAGCCGTTTGTGAACTACTCGTCTATCTTTGCGAGAAAGCAGTATGCGCATGCAGACAGCATATAGTACTATGTACATCCCTGAATATCATCGCTGGCGTGAGTGAAGGATCTATGAGACAGGAATAAATCCATACCATACAGTAGAGTCTGTATCTGAGGTGATTATGAAGACTTGAAATGAGCGAGAGCAGATATAGTCTCGAGGACTCACCCAGAGCCACAGTATGGCACTCTGAAGATGGTCAGGATGTCAGGCACTGACCCAATGCCATTACGTACCTTCTGGGTGGACAGCATAGCTACACGTAGCAAAACAACTGAGGTACCTCGGAGGGGGGAGGGCGGGGGAGCGGCTGACCTGGTAGGGATACGTAGTCCCGATGAAGGGTATTGACTGAAGCCACCGCATCTATATAATGACGAGGCGTAATCAGTTAAGAAGTGGAAGACCTTTATCATTAAGAGATGTTAAATAAAGTAGATGTTCCACAGATCTATCACGACGACTTCTGCATATTGTCTCCGACGCGCATGGGACTCGTAGACCCCGGGTCCGGGAGAACGAGGGCCGGTGATCGAGCTTGGTACTTCTCCCTGACGGCTGTCCATGCATTGTTCGCCAGCGCTACCTTCACGTTGAGAGCCTACTACAGAAGCTCTTGCAGATACTTCTGCCGATGTGAACCAAGGGCATGTACTATCAACAGCTCGTTTCAATGAAGTCAACTAAAATCATGATGAATGCTTCTTATGAGAATCGACAGATGGCACAGCTTTGCAATATCGGATGACGCACCCCCATCCGCGCCCAAGTTCGGGAACAGTCAGAAGAGTGACCATGAATAGTGAGCGTGATCGCCGTCTGAAGTGCGTGTGCCCAGTTCTAGCTATAGCATTTTGCTTGATGGTACGATCGTGCATTGGAGTGCTGGTGTGAGTCCCGAAGAAGAACCATCTAGTTGAAGTTGATTTCTGTGTAGGACACTTGAGTACGAACTAGACCAACGGAAGTCAACAACTCACTGGCAAGACAGCTGGCGGATGTCAGCAACGGTCCGCCACTCCTGGAGTTTCAAAATAGTCATAGAACTTCCCTTGGGTAGCCAGATAACTCCCGCACGGAAAGGTTGTACAAACCGGTACCGAATCCCAGCGCCACTTCATAGTCTTTGGAGGAAACCTGGTCATGAGGGCTGCTCAATTCTTAACTACCTCCCGTCGTTCGTTCGTTCGTTCAATCCGTCGTGCTAAAAATAATGAGAAAGAAGAGATGGCCGAGCCACGCCGGTGGCAAGCTGGGAGAGACAAATCACATGGACGTGGTCTCGAATCATCAGCCATCGCGCGATTGAACGAACGACGGCTTGAACGACGGGAGCCAGTTGAGAATTGAGCAGCCCTATGGGGTTGCATAGGATTGATATCTAAATCATATGCAGACAGTTCATCGCCACCATGTATCCTTGATGGCAGCGTGACTCAGCACAGAACGACCGAGAGAGCTCGAGGCCTGATGACGAACGCTCAAAATGGTGGCGTCCATTTGATACACGAGCGAGTCAGCATACTGCTGGAGATCACGAAACTCAGGCCGTAGAAAGCCTACCACTATCGACATGTAATGGGCGAGTAGGGTGAAGCTTCCACTAGGATACCTGCAGTCCAGGATGAGCATACCACTGAGATTAGATTTGTATCGTCAAGTGTCTGGCCGTGACGCAGCCATCACTGCCTTAGTTGCAAACCGATACTCGACAGATATGCACATCGCGCCTGCTGGTCCGCCTGCACCGTCTCCATTGCAGTGCCATTTCCCTGGATGAGCACCCGCTGGTACCCCTGCTTGGCCCATGTACCCCATTCCGCTGACCCACTGTACCGATACGTATTTGGGTTGAACGTCCGAATAAAACTCGTCCAGTAACCTTGCATGACCGGGACCACGCCTGCATTCGTAGTAAAGTACGATACTGGTGCCTGACCGCTGACATACTGCGGTCCCCAGATGGCATTGATCTCGACGGTGTGCGGCACTCCGAGTCCCTCGGCAACTTGCTCCGGGTCCTCAACATCGTAGTGGTAGTTCCAGCTCTCCGTGACACCAGCTTGCACGAGGGCGCCCGAAATGTAGATACCCGGGCAGATATAGCGGATTTCGCCATATGCGTTGCTGCCTTGACGCCAGTACTTGCCAGCGGTGGGTGTCGCGGGAAAGCTATCGTTTGTAACAGGGTACATCGAGTTGATTGTTGCCAGCTGCTCCAGCGTTATGGAGGGAAATTGGGCTTGTATGAAGGAATCCGAATCACCAATCGTATTCGTCGTATTGTATACGAAAATAGTGCCTTCGTTCGTGACGTCGCCGAAAATGGATGGGACTCTTATGAACTTCCCCTGTTCGAACAGGTGGTATGTGTAGTCGGGGATGAGATCTCCGTCGAGGGTCGGGCCATACATGTATAATGCAGCGTACTGAGCCCCTGGATAAGCGGTTTGTATATTTACCACCTGGAATTCGGCGGTAGTTAAACTCCTGAGGCAAGCAAGGGTGTCCGAGGCGCCTGTACACCCCGCTCGTATAACCAGGTTGTCATATTCCCACTGGCTTTGTTCCGCCGTGAACAGGGTGGCGAACGTTTGGGACTCGGAAGCGACTGCATGGAACAGGCCGTCGTCGCGCCCACCATGTGCCGTCAAGTGATAGGTTATAGAGGCGCCTCCAGCGCTGTCGCCCCCCACAACGACATGATCTGGATCTCCGCCAAACTAAATAGCAGTGTCAAGTTTGGCCGCACCCATATAGAAAACGTACCTACCCGCCTAATATACTTCTGAACCCACTGCATCGCTTTCCTTTGATCTTTCAAACCATTGTTCAGACTAGCCTGCGTAGCAACCTCCTGACTTGCGAGGAAACCGAAGGAGCCGACACGATAATTGAAGTTTACGACCACGATATTCATGTCAGAGGCTTCTATCAGCCCCGTACCATTGTAGTTCGGGTTGGAGTTGGTTGCAAAGCCACCCCCTTGAATGAAGAAGTACACTGGTAGCTTCGATGAGGTATTAGCGGCAGAAGGGGCGTATACGTCCAGGAACAGGCAGTCTTCCGAGGTGGTCGTACTATTTGGATCTCCGGGAGTGCTTAGACAAATCAAGCCGTGCTGATGTGGGAGGGATAAGCAAGAAAACGCAACGGTGTATAGTCAAGCCAGTTGCATACCTGATCTGCCATTTGGATACCTTCCTCCGGTAGGGGATCCTGCGGAGCGGCAAAGCGTAATTCTCCTATGGGTGGCGCTGCATACCTAATTCCAAGCCAATCCGTCACTCCTCCAGCACGCGCCGTGCCAAGGTACTTGGCGTAGTCGACATCGACGATGGGACTGACCGCTGCGACTGCAAGCACTGGGAGAAAGAGTTGGGAGAGCATCATGGAGGGCCTCCGTTCCGAACTTGTGCATCTTCGTTTTAACATCGGCTATTTAGCCAAAAATACTTCAGAAGGCGTGACCACGAGTCTGAAGGCCCAGGACCCGCGCGATGTCCCGCACACAGGAAAACTTATTCTGAACGTTCTAGTAGAATATTATATCGGACTTACTTGAAGCTTTAATGTAGGAGAGTACGGACGACTACAGCGACTGTGGTGGAAAGATGGCTGTGGATCTTCCGAGACTTGATTCGCTGTCGATGTGGATTCACTACACGTGTCTCTTCCGAGCATCCGCAAGCAGTGGCTAAGGGAGCACTTTGATAAAACAAGCGATGACACCGGCTCCAGGTTAGTGAGAAAAAACTGGAAGTCGGTCGTTGTGGGGGAAAAAGTCGGAAGAACATCCGTGGTTGATCTATAAGAGCAACGAGGACCCGCATATAATCCATCGACTGTTGTTTCGGGGCACAGCAAACTCCTGTAAAAGAGGCATGAATAGAGGCAAGGGGGGAGGTGCTCACCTTTCAATCGCTGATGGAGAGAAGAGCAAGAGGCGACTCTCGATGAGATGAAATGTCTGCAGTGTGATGTGACAGGAGTGAAGAAAGCCGTACCACTCATAGCTTGAGAGGAGCTGCGTCGTCCCCGCGCTCGGGGGGTCACTATTATCCGATTGAAGCCGAGCTTGCAAAGAGCATGGACTATGTCAGTAATAGTTGCCTGCCATCCCGCTCTAATTCGGGGACTCAAGCAGTATGTATCCATGTTGGCCAATCCAGGGTAGTAACTGCCACCGCAAAGTGACCTGTATTATAAAGCTCTATAGACTGGGACAAGCCTAAGCACGACTTCACCAGTAGGATACAGTGAAAAGAGCCTACTCACATTAACCTGTCTACCCGCTCCCTCTTCCTGCTGTCCCGGAAGGGCATACTGGAAGCGACGAATTCTACTTTTCTGGAGATGGGGATCTCCACCTCCACATGGGAGGCAGCGGGAGCGTCAGCCGTCTCTGGCTCACCCTGGGGTTCAGGCTTTGAGGAGACAGGCCGACCGCTCAGTCTGTCGGATACTTCCAGCGCGTAGTCATGAAGCGAGTCATGAAGCCCTTCTACGGTACCCGGCAGCAAAAGGTGAGGCAGTATGCGGGTGTGGAATATCCTGTGTGCCACAGTACCACCCTTCCAGAACAATAGTTCAGCACGCAACTTCATGAAACCTCCGCACGTTTGAGAAATGAAGCAAGAGACGCACAAACTGATGATATATTCCGCCCGCTATGGCCTCCACGGTCAGACCAGCAACCTTAAACAACCCGACACTTCTCAGTAGCTCCGCCTTACCCTCTCCCCCCGTCATCGCTAACCGCCGTCTGAGCTCCTCCTGCTCTTTTGACCGGTCCTCGCCGAACTCTAATCGTTTCGAGGCCCCGGGGAGATTCGGCACCCATCGCATGACACGCCCCAGGGACCACTGGGAGGCGACATGCTCGCCAAGAAGATAGGTATTTAGTGTCCGGGCAGCGACCAGGTCAAAGTCAAGCGAGGGTGTTCGGACAGTGGGAGGGACGGAGTGCAGGAAGAGAAGGAGATACGCCTCCATAGCGCGGCGACCTACAGATATTTGAGGTTAATACAAGAAGCAGTGAAAGTGAAGGTAGCATCGCACCCATGAAAGCCAGACGGGCATTATGCCCATGCTTGCCATCTTTATGGGTCGCATGCGTCAGCATTCGCCTCGCGAGTTCATCAGGAAACTCAAGAGGCTGAAACAATTCATTGACATGCGCAGTGAGATGACTTGTCGGATGGCCGGTTTCGGTTGCAGAGTCAGAGGAGTCGCGCTGTGATCGCGTTGCTTTCCGGTTCAACCTTTGCGTCCTACCGACCGTTGATGACCGCTTTGACGTCCACTCCTTTTCGCCCTGCGCTGCATGCTCGTGGTTGTACCGTCTCCATACTGCATTGATAGTCAATACACGGCGGTGACATGGAACGAACGGATCGTCTGACCTAGCGCAGTTCGCCCGGGTGCCAAAGGTGAGCCGCACGGCACCTTCTCCAGCGCGCGTTTAGACAGATTCAGACATGAAGAGCGCAGAGGCATTGCTGCCAACCAATTCAGAAGACACTTGAAGCAGGACCGTGACGGCTGGAACCGCAAGCATTTCGGAAAACCGGAAACGCATAACAAATGGCTGATCACGTGACCATAAATAGCTGTAGGGCAGGTCGCGGGGGACAATCTCAGCGGTCATACTTAGATACTAGTCTGAGTAGACCTCGACAACATTATGCATATGTCGGCCAGATACGTCCTGACTTCAACTATATTCTAAACAATTATGATGTTTCCTAGAATTTCACAGTCTGACTTCCACAACAACAATCAACGGCGTCCTCCCGAGATTCGGAGGTACATCAAGCGTAGCTTTGCTTCAATATATCCGAGGCTAAGGAAAAGAGTGTGAATGCGAAAGATAAAGCGGATTGAGGGCGACGAACCTTGTTCAGCTATAGCGTACGCAGTAGCTGCGAGTAAACTCAGCACCAGCCTGCCCGCCAACTTAGCAGGGAAACGTTCTCTTACCTTGAGTATGCGCCGCAATATGCAGGGGAACAACGGAAAGATCGACAACTCTAATGTTCTCCGTTCCATATACCTATCTCGCAGAGTAAATCGTCTATTTCGTGTCGAAGAATACCCTTCTTGGCTCACCTTTAAATCAGGACCTACCACTCCGCCTTTATCCTTCGGAAGCATGGAGCACGACCCGACCGTGTCTATAGATTAATATTCAGTCCTGTCACTAGGTGAAACAAACAGAAATTACAGACGGAACGTCGTCATCATAAACTTCTTCAGCCAGTCTACAGAACGATCGATGTAGTGGTCAGGTCTCGCAAATATATCGGGGGGAAGCTATGTACTTCCGATGTCCTCGTCTGTCTGGACCTCAGGTCCGGGATTCAGTTCTTCAACTAAGACAATTATACAGTTGATAATCAGCAGCAGGAGAAATCGAGCGAACAAATACCAATCATGTCGCAGAACGGAGCCGTCTTGCTCAGCTTCGTCCGCACGAACTTGACGGTGTCGACAAAGGTCTGAAGATCTAAGGTTACTATCCTTCAGCTGCTTCGCAATTTGATCATAGGGTATATTCCACCAACCGATTTCTTCTTCGAAATAGTGAGGGTCAAAGGCCGGATCTTCCTTCGGGTCTGGCGACGTGCAATGCTGATACCATAATCAGACAGCTCACCATAGTTACCTGTTAAGACACGCACTATTGTTCCCCTGGAAAAGTTATGATTCGTAGCCACCAGAATCGAGATATACTTTTTCCCAGGCTTCGGAGGAGCTTTACGACCATAAGAGCCGTCTTAGACCTGGACAGAAAGAGTCACGTACCTGGAAACCCTAAGAATCCAGGGTATGTGATAATTTCGCAACAGGGAGCACCCCTGTCCAACCTTCCCAGCTATAATGAGCGAGTGAGAATTTACCCCCAACCCTGAGATCCAGACGAACCTGTATATCGATCATCTCCTTCATTCCAGGCTTGTCATATCGAGCCGTCTCCCGCTCGACTTTCGACTTCATTGCAGAATAGACGTGCTCAGCAGTAGAGGGGGAGAGAGTGGACAACGGCGCGAACGCAAATCCCACTATACCGAGGGTATACACGCCCTCCCCGACCGCACTGACAGTCAATCAGCACCGTTGTGCCAAGATTGAAGCATTACTCACTGGAGTTCGATGTGTTCCGCGACAACCTTCGGGTCTCTTAGGATATCCAAAGTCTCGAATGCCGCATCGTCCTTCAATTCTACACGGAGTCACATTTGACAGCTCTCCCCGAGATGAACCGTTGGCGTACCATAGACAATCCCAGTGAAAACATGTTCTTGCACATTCTCGCCCACGCTGGGCAGTTCTACGACCGTGCTCATACCTATCTTCTCCAATACCTCGCGTTGCCCGATTCCCGAGAGTTCCAGGATCTGAGGGGATTTAAGCGCTCTAGTACAGAGCGTTATATCAGACAGGCTCTACTCAGCCCAAACATAGTCTCGTACCCTGCGCACAACACCACCTCCCTCACAGCATGGACAACGCACGCCCGTCCTTCGCATTCAAATTCCACTCCAGTGGCTTTTGCCAAAACACCCTGCGTCATTGAGTCTGTTATGATCCTGTGACAATGCGCGTGGACCAGAACAGTGAGATTAGTGCGATGGATGTTGGGCAGATAAAACGCCTATGTGAAGGGACTGTCAGTCGGAGACGCAATGAAGTGGTGATGCGAATGCGGACAGTTGTGGAGTAACTTCTCGTGTGGGTCTTTGGATCCACTGTGTTAGGGCCGAAGAATATGCCACAGGGCTGTTGCACCATATCCAAGTCAACTTAGTAATCCGTAAAATGATACCTAAAGGTGTGGAACGTACGTCGCCTCCAAGCTAGACATCGTTAAAGTAACATTAGCGTCGTGTATCTCAATAGACGTCAATGCAGCCGTACAGGGTTATGGGCGACACTCAAGCCTAAGTTGAGGAGAGACTGCGATGAGTGTCAACGCCAGTCAGGATATACGACGAAGACGCCTGTGGTAAGACTTACTTGCTGTACTTCGAGTTCTATCTTCGGTATTTTCGCCGGGAAGGCTGTGAGAAGTGAGCCTTCGTGTCCACTTTCCCAGTGATCGAGCTCTAGATTGTGGTTCTTTCGGAATTCTGCGGTAGGGTACACAAATCTATCCTGGTGTCAGTATCCTGTTTCATCGTAGTAAGAATCCGACAGAAGGACACTTACTTCTCAGTCCTATGTGAATATTTCTGATAGTTATTCCAATTCCAGCCGGGGTTTCCTAATCTCTCAATGTCTACGTATCGATGTGAAGGTAAATATACTACGAAGGGAAACATACGGTGACCCACCGTCAACATCTTCCTTGGGAGGCTTACTCCAACACAAGAAGTTGATTCCTGAGCTTCCTCCGAGCCCTTTACCTCTGGAAACGACTCGCATGAGGAGATCATACGCTAACGGAACTACGATACGATAACCCACCGTTGCCATACAAACTGATTCCCATTGCAGTGTTTCTGTGCGGTCTAACATGAATAGCAAGCGGTCTTAGCAGTGGATACGGGAAGAAGTAGCCGCACTTACGGTGCGGAAGCACCAATCATAGTGAGGCTGACCGAAGTGCGTTCCAAATGATGCGGGCCGGACTGGGTGAGGGTACGTCGAGACGCCGTAAACGTTTATACTTCGGGAAGAAACGTACTAAGATCAGGGTCGTTTAGGTGGGCAGCACCAGCTTCTAAAACACAAACAGATATGTTTGGATCCTCAGTCAGACGTGCAGCTAAGCAAAGGCCAGCGGTCTATCACGTATAAGCTTCGGATACCAGTAACATGTTCGAATACATACTCCTCCACCTGTTTGGGGCGTTAACCAAAGTAGCGCTACTGAACGCCGTTCGGAAGCTCACCGACGATAACAAAATCAAATCTCTTGTCGACAACTTCATCCAATCTAGCGGGCATACTGAAGACGCGATAGGGGGCCCGTAACGCAAGCCAAGAAAACAAAGACTAGTGAGCGTGTACACAGTGTCGCCAATGGTACGGTTGAGATCTCTAGCGTACGCATATCGAAGCGACCCTTATACTCCTCGTCTACGGCCAGATCGGACCTACATTCTTCCTCAGAAATGGACGACGCGTCGTATCACCGATGAAGGAAGAACAGTAGCTCTTCACGGGATCGAAGTGGCGCTGTACAGTCAGAGTTACCCGTTAGCGGGAACGCTCGTTGGTTGCGACCCTTCCCGGGCCTTCGCATATTCGAATCAGGTATTGCAGCAGCTCAGCTGGAGCTCAGCGTTTGCGCTCCTTCCGTGCTGCTCTCGCGACCAGTTTGCCTTCAGACATGGCAAGCAGTCCACAGACACCCTGATTTCCAATGAAGATGAATCTGGCAAGGCTGCTGCTGCTTGCGACCTTGCCGAGCCTCGGCTCAAGGAGTCCTTCCTCGGTATCCACCGTTGATTCACGACCTCGAATCTCCTGCCGCTCCGACACTGCTGACCGCGCGCACAGCATCTACCGCCTTAAGTATCGCCAACTGCCTAATGTAACGTACCTATGGGTGGTCTGAAAAATATGTAGTTGTTGCTTATGTTACCCTCGGACTCGTTTGGAGAGGGAGGAATCAAGCTATAGGGGTCGTCCTCCGCTCGGATCCAGTTCACATGGTCACAGTCCAATAGTACGCACTGACATGTGAAGCTTTATTTTTGAATGACGAAGGATGTCACTTTCACCGTGCATCAACGCTTTCCGAATCCCAGAGCGGACCATGCGGCCCGGGCAGGGTTAGGGTTATGCATACTTGAAGCAACCACCAAGACCTAACATGTCGAGGCCAAGTCGCACTGACAGCAGGATAGCTACCCCAATGGTCAAGAAAATCTAGAGTTCATCTATTCAGAACTGGTCACACGCGATCGCGGGATCCGTAAGTAAGTTGCTTTCTTCCACAGCCATCTCGACTAAGGAGGGCTGTAAAGAAGCCGAAATCATCCATGTGTATCACTGGCTACCTGATATAATACAAAGAAGCAAAAGCACACCATCACATACAAATCAAAGAACCATGACAAAGGGTGACCGATCGGTCAAGGTCGAGCGAAATGCAAGCTCGAGGAATCATCACCGCTCTGGGTGTAGTCCGTGGTACCAAACGTACTTCTGCTGAGGAAGGAGTGAGCAATGGAGAAAGAGCTGGTGTATCGGAGCAGACTTACTCGGTAGCGGTTGTGGTTTCCATCTGGACTCGAACTGCCATGGATTTGTCCATTCCTGGGCGCAACACCCTCGAGCTCGGTTTGTAAAATTCGAGGGTAGACAGAGTGGAGATAGCGGGATTGCTGTATGGTGTCAATGTCCTTGATCGTCGCAGACGGGGATGGAATATGACGTACGGGAGCACCTGTGGTGACAAGAACTCCGATAGTTCTCTGTACATCCTGGTAGAACAGGTGACCCTAATCGAAACGTGTTAGAGGTACTCTGTAAGATAAATTACAAGGCGGCGCACATAACTATCGCTGCGTGCGAGAAAGGACCTATTAGTATTTCGGTGATACCCCAAGATTTCCAACTTACAAGCGAACGGCTGGAACATCTGAACCGTAGCCTCGAGTAAGTACCCAGACAGATGGAGACACGTCGCCACTCACGTAGTTCATTATGTCTTGAACGCAACGCATGAGCTACAGGAGCATATTGCTAATTGCGATAGATCAAAGGACATACCATTTAGATTCAGAAGAAGGAACACCTGGGCAGTCGTCTCAGCAAGACAACACATGAGCAGAAGTGCCACCATGACACACCGAAGGAACCAGGTACGCCACGGTCGCGACGCCCATACAAATCAGGCCCTAGATGTTGTCAGGTTCGGTTTGAAATGATGGACGTATCGCCTAACGTACCTCGCGATACAACATCCGCCAGAGCCGACTCAGTCCCTCCTTACGGAGAAGGGAGACGAAGCTAACGCCCATGAAAACGCAGTCCGCGGCGAAGCTGGTAAGGACGTTGGGTTTGAACCTGGATGTTCCGACCGGCGAACAAGATGATGATTGAGGATCCCAGACAGCATCCGCCTTCGAGTGCCTTAATAATCACGACGTAAAGAGCTTGCAAGATGGATACGTACGACAGACACCGCTGTCAAAATGAGCTGAGACGGGCTAAGAAATGCGAAGTCAGAAGGACGTACCATGAAGCAGGGTTCCCCAGTTGGCGCCTAATACGACTGCTAGTGGTATCATATATTTCTTCTTTGACGCATTTATTGCAACGCTGGATAACGGTGTAGGTAACAGTATACGCGTTAAGAGGCAGGTTGACAACCTACGCTCGGATCATCAAGAGCAAAGACGCCAGGCCAACTGCGATGTTGCCTAAAGCCTGACAGTGTTTGTTATGGCCTCGCGTCGCTTCTGGAGAGAAGAGATCCTACCGTAACGGCTTTGAAAGCACCCTGAAAGAATTCAGAAGATAGATCTTGCCATATAGAAACCACATACGGAGCAATTCAATTCTTTCTTGACATTCAAAACAGCAAGAAAGACGGCAATGTCGAGTAACATTAACCATCGGGATAGGATATACACCTGAAGCCACTTCACTGGTATGTTTAATCATCGAAGCGTGCTGTCTCACTAGCATCGTCCACCGTGCTGGCTTTTTGCCCCTCCATACATCCCACTCGAACGGGAAACGCAGCGAGATTTCGGCTCTTTACAGTTTCACTATCGGCACACACCGTGAGCCCAAGAACAAAGCACGCACAAGTATAGTCCTCCCAGAATATGCACAAAATGCACGAATATTTCTAGAGCGTCTCAGTGAGAGATCAAGGAACGAGATAAGCTTCTTCACCAGTTTGATTGGCTACGACATCGGGATCTTTCCAGCCGACCATATCACGCTTTGTTGCGAGCAGCCGAGTAAGAGAGTGGAGGGGAGAGCGACGGGAAGAAAGGACACTACTCCAGCGTTGCCAGGTATATACGACTGTCAGCTGGAGAGTCGACCCTGAGTTCGAAGCTGATGACGCTCGGCGCAATGCCATAACAGGGTTTGGAGGCGCCCATACGTGTAAATATGGCAGTGTGCCAAACGTTGCGCACTTGTTGACATGCGACAACTGCTGAAACTGGCTCCGACCTGGGAGCAGAAATATTTAGAATTAATGGCTGAACCCGTAGTCTTGTAGAAAGCCTGCTCAAGGGAAACATCGCGGGCAAATGTGAACGCGAAGGTATGGGCGGAATGAAATGCTCGCGGACCCACGAATCCACACACGCGCACTGACGGGTGGGAAGGACGAAGTCTGTGAAATACACGAGCCTTTGCAATGGAGTTATTACCGAGCCACATTTATTCACTACAGTTCCCTGCGAGTGGATATCTTGCTGAAGGTTGAGGCGGCGCTACCCTTGTTAATATCGAGATACTAGTAGTCGTGGTGAGCGCCTCAAGGCCTCATGGCAGAATGGGCGCTCCGTCAAAGGATCTTCATACATCTACGCAGCTTCCATGCAAGCCATGACTGTACAGCACGAGCTTCCAGGAAATGAAGTGAATGGTGGCGGTCAGCGTCTGCGTAGAAAAGGGCCGCGGGGATGAAGGCAATTCCCGTGTCTTCCGGATCTTTTGGAGATATCTCCTAATGCTGAACGCGGCCTGCAGATTCCAAGCCAGTTATAGCTCACTATTACTAGCATCATTCATGCTTCCGCGTCGTTGTGAGTAAGCATTTATCCCAGGAGACATGACAGTAAAGACAGAGGAAGGTGCGAGGACTCGGAGAAGACGTGACATTATCGCGTTACATACGATCATGTGACTCGAGCCATCTTGTGACCCGTTACTCAGCCGACGTGTCAGTCGCAACCCGCTCTGCAGAGAGGCCGACTCGAATATCTTGAGCTGTCGACACGATAGACTACTGAGACATACTCTGGAAACGAATGACTGATAGACACCCGCGATGTCCGCACCCTTATACCCTCATAAACTCGATTTGACATACCCTTTGAAATGGACGACGCACAACTCGTCGTCGAGGGATTTACCCTTCTATGGGGACCGTACCACTGAAACGCCGGAACAATATGTTGTTCGGACGTATCTACAATTTTTATGGCTTCCCGAGGTGCGTGAATCTAGTATATAAGTGAAGCGTACATTTAAATCGTGGTTCATTGGCAGTCGATAATGCCATTGCAGTTGCTCATACCCAGTCTTCTACGTGCCTCGGGCGATTCGCCTTTTGGGATCAACGAACAGCACCCACTACACGCGCTTTTGGATCCTCTGCTTCTTACACCTCGATCCTGCACGAATAAGTATCATACTGAAGTTCCTCAGATTTTGGCGGATGAGGGTGGCGCAGGAGACATTGAAGAGGGCACCATGTGGTTTGCGTTAGGATATGAGAAAGGTGACGAGCAGGCTGAGCCTATTGCTGGGGGCTCCAAGGATCCGACGAATGATGCTGCCGAGCCTTGGAAGAAGAAGTGGCTGGAGCGAATGGAAAGACGCGAGTGAGTCAATCCCTGTGTAGCGTTCGAAAACAAAAACCCAACGTGCTCTGCGAAGAGTGCAGATCCAGATCCTCCTCCATTTCCTTGTATTGTCCCTCCCTGGCCCTCACCCTGCACCGACGACCTCTCCGAAGAAACGCAAGCGTGCGACGTCCGTCCATGGCTCCCCTTCAAAAGCGGGGCCAGAAGAGCGCTCTGACATACTCGAAGCTCGACTGGAGTCCTTCATGGATAAACTGTCAACCTGGCAGCTGGTCTCTTCGCTCGACCAAGACCAGGACGCCAAGGGTAAAGCTAAAGAGGCAAACCCCGATGCGCTAGACTGGATGCAGACGTTCTGTCGAGACATCGTTGAACCTCGGTACGTTAATCACCGTCACCGCACGATTAGTCGATTTTGCTGACGACATAATGGTCCAGCTTCAAGACCGCGCTTCCCGAGCTGACTGATCTCCTCCGCTCCAAACTCTTCCCAGACTCCCCATTTTCTTCCTCGTCCCGCTCCACATCTCCCGCGTCCCGTTCACCTTCTCCATTCTCTTGGCCCACCAACCCTCGTAAACGAAGTAAGCAGGACCATCGAGCGGGTAGCAAGGCTCCACAGGAACAGCGAGAAACCTCCCGCGCCCGATCACTGTCCATATCACTCGCCGAAGACCGGATGTCTGTGGTCCCCGGGCGGAAGAAGCTGTCTAGGGAGGTCAGCATGAGTCGAGTCTTCAAGCCTAAACCAAAGCCTCTGCCGAGGGCGAACGAAGTGAAGAGCAAAGTCAAGCCTAAAGCAGACAAGACGAAGAGTAGTAAAAGCACCGGCTTAGGCGTCACGCTTGTTGCCGCCACCCCGGTGAAGAACCGGTCGCGGTATGAGAATGTACAGCAGAGGAGTCCGACACTGGGCAGCGCTGCTCCGCAGGAAGCAAAGCCTGAGGAAGACGACGACGAACTACTACTGGGAGGTGACCTGGACGACAGTGAAGATAATTGGGATGTTGGGGAGAGTGTGTGGGTAGCCGATACCCCGACGAAGAAGGTGAAGTAGTCGTCAGGATAACGATGCACTGTACAAATAGTTCGGGAAGGCCGCTTTCCATGGTACCATTTAGCTATCTAGGTGAGCCCCAGTCAACTTCACAATTGAGTATCTAACAAGTACATCGTCATCCAGACGAGTATGGGAGGTCTTGTAAACTACTTATAGGTCAATTATGCAGCATATGAGACAGAACTGGGCTGGGTCAAGTCGTCGCAATCAATCACGTAATTCCACGTCGCCATTGGAATTCATGTTCACGTCTTCGATTCGTACATGATGAGGTAAGCTGGTATGGCAGCATGTTCGTCATAGACTACTAGCTCGTCGTAATTCAAGTACCTGAACGGAAGCAAACGAGCTGTTATGCCTAGAGGTCAGTTAGTTTTTCTGTCCCCGTATGTATCGTCCACTGACGGTGGGTTTGATCCGGCTCTCCTATCACCTGCAATTGAGGAAGAGGTCGTTAGGCCGTGAAGAGCGGCTGCGGCGCCCAGGACGTACGCTATCGTAACCGGGTGAAGGTCCCGTCCGGCGTGCATCTGTCTTTGTCAGTTTCTCTCCATTTCCAGCCACCACCTAAAATCGCACATGCAGCTCATGACTCGAGCATGAACCTGGGTGTGCCTACCTTAGTGAGAAGCATGGCCTTGCATGTGGAACGTGCAGAAGGTAAGTTCTTGCAGTAATCGTTCGATCTGTCGAAATATGGCTGATGGTCAGTTGTCAAGAGCGAAAATGAAGCGACAAGTAAGCACTTGGACGACGTCGCAGATGTGTATATTCCGGCTCCAAATCTTAGTATGCCCACGTGTCAATACAGGTAAGAATGGCGAGGTCACAGCATACCTTCCAGCTTTTCTACGCCATGGATGGGCGGTGCCAGCTAACGAGAGCTTAAAGGATGTCTTGATTATTCCACAGAGGGAACATTCTGGCAGGGAGCAAAGCATCGTAGAACCCTTGTCACCGAGGTTGCAGGCTCTCTTGGTTCCATGGAAACGTCTGCGCTCGTTCCCCTCCGGAAGTCCCATTGACTGGAACCTGCCTTGCGATTCCACAGTCGTACTGAATATTGTCAGTGAATCTCGGAGCATGTCCCCCATGCGTAGGACTGACCGATAATTTTCGTACGCGGTCGTGATACTCTTCGGCTGAATCACCTTGTAAATGTACAGTACCTCTGGACACTTGCTATCGTGGAGCCATTTCTTTCGGAATTGGTTTAAGACTGAGTTATTTCTGAGGATTATATTACAGCACAAGGTGAGTGGTCCGCCTACTGTCTGCGTATTTCTCATCGCTCGGCTGCAGCGTAACAAGACCGGTGGCGGACCTGCGCAAGGATGAGCATTCTTCAATGCGATTCAATCGGATACGCACCCTTGATGCTCCGGAGAACAATACCCACTCGCCGGATACGCGGGCAGGTCACAATTGAAGTGGTCGCATATCTTCATTCTGCCGAGTGCATTGCTATAGAAGGAGGTCACGCGAAGAATTCATTTCTGATGTGAAGGAACGCACTCGCGATGCCGCTTGCAGCAGTATATTCCCCCAGGGTGCGCAATTTCAGTACAACTGGGATATGGACATTGACTCATTGCGTCTGGTTGGATCAGTTGATGTGGAGGGCCCGGCGCAGTCTACTGCCGCCAGAGCATTTATACAACACCGAGAGCGCTGACCAGGACTGGATCATGAATATCGTCACAGGTGAGATACAAATATTTTATGAAACATTCCTAGGGGATGAATGTCGGGTGCAAGCGAAAGTGACCAGAAGGCAGCTCCATCAGGTGCATGCAAACTCGTGGTAGCATCACATCGAACGCGAGGCAACGGCAGAGTTGTTCAGAAACGAACTGTCTCGTGGAAACATCCCGAATCCCAATGCCTCGGAGAGTACACGCATCCCGTGGAGACGCCCGCGCAATCCATTCAGCTCAGCGGTCCTTTTGTTGATGCATGCGCGGAGTCTTCGATCATTCCGAGAGAGCATAGAGACCGCGGATCTCTGAAGCTTATCCTGGCGTCAATCGTGTTCATCTCTGAGCTGGGGTCGATTTACCGCTGCAAGTACCCGGACCGGATCCGTCGTCCAACGATATCGTGAGTCAGCCTTCATGCACCATGGCCTGCTGCCTCTCCGATATCGATCTTCCCTCCCTCACTCGTTCTATGCAGCATCTACCGTTGATAGTGGAAGCGAAAGGCGCAGGCTTGTACCTGTATACGACTTCGCAGCAAGCTACAACATGAGCACGAGGTAAGTCGCGCATTAACTTGCTCATAGCTGCTACCATCGACGGCGGAGGCGGGTCTGATGAAACAATGATCAATAGTGCTATCACGATCTCCATACATGTCTCGGGCTCTGGAATCGACATATCTCGCATCAGTACTGCTAACGTCGGTCCAAGTGCGCCGGGTTCTAACAACCCTCCCGCCCGCCGTCGGACCATCAAGTTTTACCAGCGTGAAAGGCCGTACTTCGAGTTCAGCAACTTCTCTTATCATACAGTTCGATACAATGGGAAGGACTATGCAACAAGCGAACATCTTTTCCAGTCTATGAAGGCATGTTCCCTCCATCGTTCTAGATACGCAGAGGTACTGACTGTCTTCAGTTCGAGGACGAAGCAGATTCAGAGACTATCAGGACACAATCCAGCCCTGGGGCCGCATCACGAGCAGCGCACAAGCTATCTCATCGTGTGCGCAAGGGCTGGTATGATGACAAGCTCAATATCCTGACGGTACAAAAGGCGCTTGGGTCAAATGTCTTATTCTCATCACATTTTGGCAGATGGGCGAAGTCCTCAGGCTAAAATTCACGCAACACGAGTGTCTGAAGGAATTACTTTTGTCAACGGAAGATGCTAATTTGATTGAGGTATGCAATATATTTGGCAGTCCGGCAAACCCTGACTCGCGATATAGGATTCCCCTCAGGATTCATTCTGGGGTATCGGGGCAGACGGACTAGGTCAGAATCAGCTGGGCAGGGCTCTGGAGAGACTACGGACGAGTTTGAAGGAAACTTGATGTGTGGTTCTCGTTGATGGAGACCTGCTCATCCCCGCTATTGACATCGTGATGCTTGCACTGCCACGAACTAGGCCCCACTCTGAGGCACACGTGAATATATGTTTCCAGGCGTCCGCAGCCTTATCGTGGAGTTTCGGAACGACGCAGGGCTCGCGGAAGGTCAGGTTCCAGTACTGTCCGACGGGGCGACTGCCGAGGGCATAGCCAAGCTGGAAACAAGAGACCTTACCAGATACAAGGGAACTCTGTCTATAAATAAGGAGTACCAAGCCCGCGATACAGACAATAATCCTCAGACCATATGAGAACTCCGCTTTTCCGGCAGAGGGTGTTCTAGATACTGCAGAATTGCCTCAAATTGGACCGGACCTTCTCCAAAGCCTTCCCAAGTTCATTCCCCCCTTTTCCATCGGAGCCAACACCCCAGAAGGAATCTATAGGAGAATCCTGCAGTATATTCCCTGTGAGTCACAGTCCTTACCAGCAACATGGACGCGACGAACTTCCACCAACGACGCATCCCCGGTGTCAAGAAGCAATTTCTTGAGCTGGTCGTATTGCGTAAACTTGAGCAGGAGGACGATCTCCATCTGAACCTGTCATTAGTAAGCAATAAAACGTCAAGGGAGGCTCCATTACTGCTTTGACATTGAAACGTTGTTCCGTCCATCCCTTCCGGACGCGATGTTGATATTTCCTGGCTTCCTCTAGAGCACCACTGGGTGTCGATTGAGTCCGTATACGCTCTGCATCGCCGTCATCTGCGAACTGCAAGAAACGTCAGAAAGGTAGTTACAGTCCCCGACAAACTCTGGATTGTGACCTTCAAGGACTGAAATAGATGCTCGCTAGTCGGATAGTCCTTCTGATTATACCGGATCGTGTATGGCGCAAAATTTGTGAATTCGTAGTATGGTTGGCCCTTCTCGTAGAACTTAATTGTCCCAGAAGACTTGCGAGGTCCCGACCAAAAGAACCGGCTCAAACCAAATAGCGAGAGAATCCCACCTGGACTGTTACCCTTCGACGCCTGGGGGGCCGGCTGAGGTCTGACAGGGTTTTGGCTATCCGAGAGGATCATCGTCAACAAGCGAAGCAAGGAACATGAATCATACTCTTGAGCATGTGTTGATGCTTTTGCGTGCTCGCTATGGGAAGGTGTGAGTCCATACGTATCATTCTAATTCAGATTCCTCACCGAAGATGCGTCTTTGAGCAGTACTCGCTCCCTTGATAAGTGGGTTGCTGGCACCGGGGATACCGACAAGTACCCTTGGGTTTGGCGGAGGAGGATCTAGGGCAATGACGCGATGTCAGGGAGTCATTAGCCTGAGGCTAGAAAGTTGCCCTACCTTGCAGACGACGATTCCATGCCTTGCTCAGAGCTTTGAAACCGACTGGTAGTGGATCCCGCGTTGAGACAGTAACCGGACGTTCTGCTGGTTGTTCTCCAACTGCAACTTTAAGAAGTTGCACGTGGAAGTCATGCTACTGTGCTATAGAGGCGAGTTTCGTGGGCAGGACGTCCGAGAGGAAACTAGACACGGGCCATACGTGATAGTTAATAGGACAGGTATTCGGCATCATGAAGGGGTCATGCAGCACTTCAGCTTGTGCAACAAATTCGCATCAGCTTACATTACATTACTTTCTCATGGCACTTCGTAGCTTATGACCTCGCAAGATGAGTGACAAGAGAGGGAAGATCAAGTCAACGTTAGAACGTACCACAGACTACCCAGGCTCGCACCGCGTGCTCAAGGGGAGCTGCTCGAACGATGCATACATTAAATGAGGCTGGGCGTGCCCTATCGCGGGAACCATAACAATACACGATCATGATTCATGCGTGCATAAATAATGTCCGTCAATTGGCAATGCAGATCTCATATCAAGAATACCAAACCACGAAGTGAGAACACGAGGAGAGCGTGCCTCCAAGGTCCCCGTCAAGCGCCTCCATCGACCTCAGAGCCACAACGTTGTCTCGGCGCGTCCCCAAACTTCCCCCCGGCGTAGACGATCAGATATGCAGGTATCACAGCGTAGTTGTTGTAAACAACCAGTTCATCGTAGTTCAAGTCTCCCATGCCAGGCTGCTCGGCTGGAGGTGACTCGGTCAGGGAATTCAAAGGGTAAAGAATGATACCTTAGACCTCACATTTCTCTCCAATTACCTAGTGAATTTCGGTTAGTCTCGCTGAAGGTACGATAGCGAAGCACGTACGCTATCGTAACCGTCCGGTGGGGAAGTAAGAGGAGGGTCGTTATGATGCAATTTCTTAGCTTTGCCGACGACGACCTAAAAATATTTACTCGTGCAATCAGATTTGTACGGGAGTAGTACCTTCGTTAGTAGCATTGTCTTGTTGTATGGCGAAGTATTGGGAGGCACGTTCCAAGAGTAATCATCTGCCCTATATCGGAAGAAGTCAAAATTCGAGTAGATAATAGCGCTCCACTATTAGCCGCACTTCGATGAAGTAGCAGACGTATAGATTCCGCGGCCAAATCTACGATGAAGCGATCAGCAGGCGTGGATCGTACATACAAACAATTATTCTGACACGAACCTGCCCGTGCTCAGGCCCTTCCATGGTTTATTTGCACCAGAAAACTCAATTTTAAACGAGGTCCGAATGATCCCGCAAAGGGAGCAATCCTGTCTGTCGCACAACTTCTTGTGGCCATTGTCGCCGAGAGCACACGCTCTCTTGGTGCCGTGGAATCGCCGACATTCATGCCCATCAGTGAGCCCCCGCTCTTCGGCGACATGTGTCCTATATCGGCTGAGGTTAGAGTAATATAAATCTGGTAGCATGCATCTCATACTGGTACTGATGATAACTGTCGCGAATATCTTCAGAAAGATATACGCGGTAGATACATTGTACAGCAGGGACTTGTTTATCGTGATGGCGCCAGGTGTTCCCGAATTGTAGGAGAACTGACAGCAGTCAAGAATGAACTAGATAACAATTGTACATCGACCCTACCATTCTGATATGTCTTGCTCGTAGGTGGAAGCTCAACCAGTGAATCGCCATTCGGTGGCATCCTGCTGTGAGGCCGATATCGTCAAAGGGTCAGTGAATGATGCACAAATGTACATACTCTCGATGAGTCAACGAGCAGAAGTCACTCCCAGGGTATACCTGCTTTCCACAGTCGGGATAGATACATGTTCCAGGCGGCGGCGGGGAGGCCTTGCTACCCGCCTGGCGGAATAGTTGCCGAAAGCAAGAAGGGATCTGCATTGGCATGTTGTACGAGTCTGAGGTCGCAGTGTAGGATGGATGGTGTCGCGGTTTAGGATGGGTGGGCAGAACCGCGGTCGGTCAAGCTTTTGAATGGCCTCGCTGAAGAGCCGTGATATTTGAAGTTACACTCCCAAGGCAAGGAAACCTTGCAATTCGCGGACCCACAGCCAGAACATAGGCGCAACCTCCGCAAACAGACATCGGTCTGCATTAATTGCGTGCTGTAATTGTGCAACCAAGTGCGTGCAAGTTCTTTGCGACAGTACACGTCACGAATGTCTCCTTGGGCACTTCCGATGCGAACAGCAGAGAGCCTGGCGGTGGGGTATAACCACGGAACAAACATTGAATTTACATGGCAACACCTTGGACTACCGCATTGGGTATGGAGCCTTCCAGCGACAAACATGCAAACCTTATAGTTGTGACCAGTGCCAGTATCTAAACACAGTGGTGACAGACGCCAAAGCCGCGGCTAGTATTCCGTTTCAGCGCATGTGAGGATACGTTCCCGTGGAGTCCCGAGATGATACGCGTGAACGCAACAATACGCGGTGAGGCGTGAAGCGGAAGTTGTTCCAGGAGCAACGACTGGTCCGATCAACGAGAAAGTACAATTGGTGACGAGCAAAATCAGAGAGGTCTTGCGCAGGTTGGCAACATTTTAGGCAGGCTGCCGGCAAGACTAGAGGAGCGACATGTTTGAGATCCTGAACACTTTCAAGCAGCAAAGGGAATAACAGTGATCAGGGTTCGGTTCCGCGAACTGTCGAGCAGAGTAAATGACGTCCTTCAGATCGATAGCTTTGAGAACAGCAATAAGAGCACCCTGCGGAGGCTATCTGGTCATACGGCTTGCAAATATACATCCGGGAGCGCAGCGATAGTAACCGAGCATACAGCGATAGGAGACGCAGAGCCGGAGCCAGAGTGACGCATAGTCTCTAGTCCTAGTTAGCACGTCTGCCCTTGCACGCAATGATACATCGCTGGGCGTCAATTGCGTCGTGGCCTAAGAGTAAAGGCGCCTCGGAGGAAGCAAGGGACACATATGCACCGCAGGGAACCAATGAAGCCGCGAGGATTGGCGGCAGTTGAGGCAGGCTGCAGATATGGACGAGAGGAACGGCATATATTGGAGTGAGTGGATAGGCGCGTACGCTTTCCAGCAAAAGCGATGTTAACTAAAGAAACCGTGAAGCTACTTACAGCATGTCTACTCCGCGTGAATGACTGAGACGGCATGGTACCGCTCGCATGTTCTTGTAGAGGCAAGAAACCCAGAGCAAAAATCAATCTAGCACCTCAAACTTCAGCTGCGGCGATGGGAAAAGTCGCTGCGGTTGTACACAATGGTGCGGGAATTAGAATGGACAGCGATAAACGTCCCTTATATCGGGCAGGTGAACGAGGAGATGAATCAGAAAGTATATTGCGAGAACGCTGAAGGACTCGACAACAGCGAAGACGACGTCGCGGACAAGAACGACCCCGAGCTGCGCTGTGTATAAAACTCCGAAAATTTCCTTACCCAACTGTGGGAACTGTACGTAAACGCGTCGCGTCTTAGGCGCCGTCATTCGCGACGCGACGCGTCCAGTGCTGAAGCGTTGACGGACAACCCGTAATCGACTTCCAACTCAAGAATGTCGCTCATGTACGGAAAAGAGAAAGAGTCCAACCAAGAAATAGGTTCGAGTCTTACGCAGCTGTGCGATTATTTCTATGGCTGAGTAGGCACAGAGCACGACCCGGGATTCTGCTCATTCTTCACGAAGTTGCCGTCGAAGTCGCCAGAGACAGGGACCATACGGCTGTTTTCACGGCCGGAGGGTTTCTACACGACTCATGGACCTGATGCTCAATATGTGGCAACTCATGTCTTCCGGACGAACTCTGTCATCAAGTATCTCGGTGGAGGTGGCAAAGCTGGTCTGCCCAGTGTTAGCCTGAAGGAGAGCGTGGCAAAGACATTCTTGAGGGAGGCTCTGACAACTAAGCAGCTGAGAGTAGAGATATGGGAACCTGAACCTGGTCAAGGGAAGAAACCCACGAAATTCAGACTTACAAAAGAGGTCAGCAAGCACGCCCGTCTCCGGTGCACTCGGTCCTGACTTCTATGGGTAGGCATCACCTGGAAACCTGCAGGCGGTAGAGGACCTATTGTTTGAAAACTCAGATATGATGTCCGCACCTATTGTAATGGCCATCAAGATTGCCTCCAGTGTAACCGCAGGATCAGGCAAAGCCAGAACGAAAGCCGTCGGCGTAGCTTATGCGGACGTGAGCATCCGTGAACTCGGAGTTTCAGAGTTTGTGGACGACGACCTCTTCTCGAATACTGAGGTGGGTGCCGCTATTTTCACCAGGTTCCGCTCCTCTAATGGGGTCGCAGTCCCTGATTATACAACTAAACGTGAAAGAAGCACTCATCACCACAGGCACCGCATCTGGGAAGACTGAACGTGACGTCGACCTGAATAAACTCAAAGCCGTCTTAGAGCGATGCGGCGTTGTTGTGACAGAGCGCAAGCCTAGTACGTAGTGGATCGACTGCGTCAATAGCTAGCCTAACAGTTGTTCGGTAGGTGAATTCACGGCGAAGAATATTCAGGAAGACCTTGTCAGGCTTTTGACTCCAGCGTCCACCTCGTCCTCGGTCACCATAGACTCGGCGATCACTATCCGTATGCACTTTACCATAACTCTATAGCTCTCTTGGACTTACATTTCGTCCATATAGCCCAGCTATCGCTCGCGCAAGCTCCGTCGTCTTTGGCGGCCTTGCTTTCCTACCTGTCCCTTCTGTCTGATCCCACGAACCACGGCTCGTTCACCATCCGAACGCATGACCTGACTCAGTACATGCGCCTGGACGCTAGTGCTCTCCGTGCGATGAATCTTTCGGAGTCGGGACCTTCTAGTGTGAGTTTGAGAGCCATCTCGCTACCGACTGCGAGACTTATATATGGGCCCCTTCTCGCAATCCATCCCTTTAGGGATCATCAAATAGAAATACGACTCTTCTTGGCTTGCTCAATAAATGCAAGACAGCGCAAGGGACTCGGTTACTCGCGACGTGGATCAAGCAGCCATTGGTCAATTTACATGAAATCCGTTAGTCCTATCCTCCCTCATAGAACCCTCGGCACGGCTTACGTGTCTGCCATAGGAAAACGGCAAGACCTGGTGCAGATGTTCGTCGACAACCCTGACACCCGACGCACTCTCCAAGTATGTAGCTCATTGTAGCAAGATTGCCTTTGTTTCACTGATCGTGACTGGCCTAGGATGACTACATGAAATATATGCCTGATCTGCATCGGATAAGCAAGCGGTTCCAGAAATCGGTAGCCACTCTGGAGGACGTTGTCCGAGTTTATCAAGTTGCTTTGAAGGTAAACTTGAAGGATATATCTAACCGGTCGCTTGCTTAGCTGACACGTATAAACAGCTTTCGGGCCTAATTGCTACGCTTGAAGCCCTTAAGCCTGAACAGGAAGAGCTGCAAGAATTGATGACCGAAATGTACATGACGAAGCTCCGCGTACGCGTACGTTCACATTCGCGATACCTATGGCTAACGGTTCCCCTCGATTTAGGAATATGACGAGAATCTCTCCAAGTATTCAGAAATGGTCGAGCAGACCCTTGATCTCGATGAGCTGGATAACCACCACTTCGTCATCAAAGCGGATTATGACAGCCGGCTTCGGGAGCTAGCAGATAGGTTAATTGAGGTAAGGTGCCCACTTGTCCTTTCCCTGGCCCACGTATCTTAGCCTCTTGCAGATCCGCGATGGTCTGGATGAAGAACATAAACAAGTTGCAGAAGATCTTGACGTAGAACTCGACAAGAAGTTACATCTTGAGAATTCTCAGATGTATGGGTACTGCTTGCGCTTAACCAAAAACGTGAGTCGACTCAAAAGGCATTGTGCTCTATGGTCACCAACCTTTCCTTTCCCTTACCTTCCCTTCGGTTGACAGGAGGCGAAACTCATCCACAATAAACGTGCATATATCGAGCTTGGCACGACCAAGAGTGGCACCTTCTTCACAACGAAGACGCTCAAGGAGCTCTCAAATGAGTATCAGGAAGTTACCGAATCCTACTCTAGGACACAGAGCGGTCTGGTCAAGGAGGTCATTAACATAGCCGGTAACTCGTTACCAACGGTAGGCTGATTACCTACTGACATGGCTTGTGAAAGCAACATACACGCCTGTCTTGGAGTCTCTCGATCATGTCATTGCCCATCTAGACTTGATCTTGAGGTATAGAGATCCCCTACCACCTGAGTATTTACTAATGATTGCTTGCAGTTTGGCTCATGTGGCTGTTAATGCGCCTGAAGCCTATGTCCGTCCCACCGTTCTAGAGAAAGGTAGGCAGTGTCATTGACTCCGTATGTTCGAATTCACAATGCGCCCCTCAGGTTCCGGCAATTTAATCTTGAGAGAGGCCCGGCATCCTTGTCTGGAAGTTCAAGACGACATAAGCTTCATCCCGAATGATGTCGAGCTAGTCAAGGGTGCGTATTTGTATGCATGCCTGGCACACCTAGTATCTCAAAATTAAGATTTTGCATACAGGCGAGAGCGAATTCCAGATAATTAGTACGTTCATCTTTCCTCCTACAGGCCTTTGCTGATCTTTCCTGTGCAGCCGGGCCTAACATGGGTGGGAAATCAACGTTCCTGCTGTCGTGCGGTGTCATCGCCTTGATGGCGCAGATTGGCTCCTTCGTACCATGTTCAGAGGCGCAGGTTCCTATTCTCGATTCAATCCTGTGCCGAGTTGGAGCTGGAGATAGTCAACTGAAGGGTATATCTACATTCATGGGTGAAATGCTCGATATCGCTACTATCCTCAGGGTACGATCTTCTCTGAAATCCCGAGGCTGGGGCGTATTAACTTCCGTTCAGTCAGCCACAGCGGACTCGCTCATAATCATCGACGAGCTTGGACGAGGTAGGTGTCCTGCTATCGATCCAGAATAACGGACATCTCATGCTTCCATTAGGCACATCCACCTACGATGGTTTCGGTCTGGCTTGGGCAATCTCGGAGTAAGCTTTCCGACGCACCCGAGGATTCGTCACTGACCGTGCGTAAAGGCACATTGCGTCCCAGATCCATTCTTTCTGTCTCTTCGCAACACATTTCCACGAATTAACGGCTCTTGATCAGCAATTACCTCACGTCAAGAATCTGCACGTCGTAGCGCATGTCGCGAAGACCGGCGACTCCAAGCAAGACCGCGATATCACATTACTATACAAAGTTGAACCTGGTATGCCACCTCGCTATTTCGTTTGATCGGGAAACTAACATATCTTCAGGTGTTTGTGATCAGAGTTTCGGTATACATGTTGCCGAGCTTGCGAACTTCCCTGAGTCGGTTGTGAAGGTAAAAGGTTTTCTGGTCAGAGAAGTATTCAATACTGAGGAGAGGGGGTGCGTCACAGCTTGCAAAAAAGAAAGCAGAGGAGCTCGAAGAATTCAATACGGGTAAGCGTGTGTCAAAATTCCTTTTATGATGAATGCTAACATTCGGGAAGATGGCGACGAGGATGAGCCGAAGTTCGACAAGGATACGACAGACGCCGGTGTGAAAATCGTGGAGGATCTTATGCGTACCTGGGCATCTCGGATCCCAGACGAACTGGATGGTGAAGACGTCGTCATGCCCGATAGTCCCCTTCCAGAACTGCAACTGGAGGAACTTAGAAAATGCGTGCAGGAGTTCCAGCCGCAGATCAATGCGAATCCATGGGTACAGCATCTGTTAGCATCTCTCTGAGACTGACGTCTCACTATACAGCTGTGCTTCATCGAGCTTCTCGCCCTACTGTACATTTAATACTAATTAGTATCGTCCTGCTGTCGTCGCCTATGCATTGTCAATGTTATCGTTAGACTGTTCCAGATCATCTTCCGCCACAACTATATGTTCCGTCTCCTCCTCGGCAACTACTGTGGATGCGCTGTCCGTAGCAACCTTGGCCTTTTGATTTGATGCTAGTGCCCGTCCAGCCGTGGTGATGTCTTTCCCGAAGACTCGGAGACTGAGAGCGCTGTATAGTCATAATGAGATCAACACCCTCGTGGCTTTTCACGGGTGACATACCTTTTGGCTTTCTTGTCGATCATAAGTGATATAGATACATTGGACTTCCATATTGGTAAGACGAGTTCATGAGTGAGGCTATGGGATATTAATGAGAATGCATCGTGCAAACGAAGCTCTACGGCCACTCACTTGCCACCGACATTCTTCTCCTCGGGGAATTTCAGGACATGACAACCGGACGCTGCTCATTTATAAGTTATTTGAACGAGCTGATAGAGATCGTAAACTGACGTTTCTCGGTAATTGCAGTCCTGAATGGTTCCTGGAAACTCTCACAGAGCGGGTGATACGTTTCTAGTAGAGCTTGCAGCGTTTTAAGATCCGCGTCCATCACCGTCTCAGGCTTGATAAATGGGTACACAACGGGAAGTCCTTCACTCAGGATGCGGAATCTTGCACTCGACCCTTCGCCCTCTCGCCCATCCGCATCTTCGTCAGCGGATTTAGATGCCGATTTCGCAGCCTCTTGTTTGACGAACAGTTTCGTCCCAGCTGTCATCAGTCTGATGCGATTGTAGTCGTTGTTCAGTATAACCGAGCGAACGATGTCGTTGGTGAGGTAGAGAGACCGTGCTGGTTCGCCCGACGGATTGCGTACGAAGAGGTTATGATCGGGAAAGGACGGGATGATATGGAGTTTCTCGCTGCACCACGGAGACATCAGTAAACAGGCCCCTGATCTGAAATTCATCGAACGCACATGCAAGTCTTTACAATGGGATCATCCGGGGGGAGGAACGTGTAAGGGTTCTCCTTGAAAGATCCGCCGGTTCCCTCCCGTTCCTTCCCCTTCCCTCTCTTCCCCTGCGGTTTTTCTTTCTTGTCTGTGTCCGCCTCCATCCTAGGTGCCACTTTGGCTTCTCCGTTTGCACTAGGAGACGCAGATCGGCCAGCGTCGCCAACTTCAGCCAAGTCACCCATTGTGACGTCCTCGCCGGCAGACTCCAACTTGACTTTCTTCGTGGTAGGCTCGGCAGTGCAGTCCTCCGGGGCATCAGCCTGACGCTTTCTAGGTTCTGCAATGAGAACGACACGTGCATACGGAGCAAAGAAGCGACTCACTTTGCCTCAGGAGCGTCATCCTTTGCCCTCTTCTCTAGTACAGCGATGAAGAACCCGCCGGTATCCTGCAGATGAGGGTAAATCCGCATACTGGTACGCACATGAGGATAATTATTAAGTCTTTCCACGAACAAGAAGTGAAACATTTCAGGCTCTTACCATCTGTCCAGTGCCCAGCCCTCCTCTCCCTCATCCGTAGGAGGCCACATGCTCTCCGTATACTTTTTATCGTCCTTCTCACTCAATGCCGCAACATACTCCTCATACGTCGGGAAGAACCGGAGCTCCCGCTTTCCGCCCAGGAAGAACGCGGGTGTCCATGATTTGAGGCCAGGCCGACGCTGGAGGGCCGGGAGGGACGATGATGTGGGCGCGAGAGTGAAGTCTGAGTGCGATGAGGATTTTGTGGTCAAATTGAGTGAAAACGGACAGACAGTAGGAACATACGGGGTATTGAGCGCAGGGCTGCGGCCACTACGGCTTCGTTCTCGACTGGGTTGAGGGAGCAGGTGGAGTAAACTACGCGACCTCCGGGTTTTAAGAGACGCATAGCGCGCTGCAGGATGCGCAGCTGCAGTCTGCAAGCAGCCATAAGTCGGGTTGAGGCATGCTGAATACGGAGTGACCGAGGACTACGTACGAATGCAGTCCATTCCCATCGCCAACGCCCCACTTCAACCAGATCCCCATGTTCTTCCTGAGTGTTCCATCCCCCGAGCATGGCACGTCGCATAATATCCTATCAAACAGCAGCTGCCTCGTCCCCTTGCCCGCCTCGCCGCCCATGTGCTCGGCACCGACGCGGATGACCGGGAAGATGCTCGCGTCGAGATTCGTGACGAGCAGCGATGGAGACGGTAGGCGGGCGGACTGGTGGATGAGGAGGTGCGTACGCTTGTGGTCGGAGTCGTTGGCGAGCAGGAGGCCGGGCGGGATGGGATTTGACGGGGAGGGGTCGGCCGGGGGTGTGTGCAGTGCTTCCAGGAGCTGGGCGGTCTGGAATCGTTATCGTGGTAAGCGATGGGTGGGACTACAGGCCATGGAAAACTTGCTTTGGACCCCGGAGCTGCACACATGTCCATAACCTACGGAGATTCGGGTTAACCAAGCTACGTACTGAGGTTGAACGGATGTTCCGTGAGCAATGGGTAGAACGGCTTACCAGGTGGTGAGGTTTGACATCTAGTAGCAAGGGCGGAAGCATACTGACGGCCTCTTGGCGGGAGATGTTACCCTGAGTACCGGACCTTGATCAATATCAAGAACCGTCATGCGAGACGCATTCACGTACGATCTCGGTCTCGAAAACTAGGAAGGAGTGGAACCTCTTGAAGTCGGGGTTTTTGCGGAGAACCTGCTTGGACACGTTAAACTGCCACGCAAGTCCATCGGGGTACCTTGTTTTGAGAGCGTTCACCATTTTAATGGTGGCAGTATATAGCTGATACGTACCATGGGATCTGAGCAGGAGGTTGGACCACTTCGCCATCCACTTCATTGCTCAGGGTCGAGATATATGTGGTCTTAATCAGGTCGTTGAGTACGGTGGCCGTCCTGAAGAGGAGAGATGCCTGTCAGATCAGTCATTGCGAGAGCAAACCGCATTTCAAGAGTGTCGACTTACTCTCTGAACCCCGCGAGCCTGAACGTCGTCGGTAAAGGCGCTCTCAGTCGCTCCATAAAGGCGTCCCATTCCTCATCAGGCACTACCTTCTGCGTCTTGTAATAGTTCTCAAAGTGCGCGTTCTTCATTTGCTCCGCCGATATAATATCTGTCCTGTTGTCGTTCCATGCCTTGGACGACTTCGGGCCCCGATTTGGGGCAGCTTTCTGTAAGGATCGTCAGTATAAGCGTAAAGGAGCAGCAACATACGGTGGACCTACCTTGCGGCGTGGCATAGCGAGCAGGATAGAAGCAGGTCTCAATGGGAGCAGCCTCAGCTCTAATGGATTTCCAGGCAAAGTCGATCGCACTCGATGATATTTTGGCAGATGGGAATTGTTTCCCTCTTCGGGAGTAACCCTAACCTGAAGGGCAGCTATCGTCCCTTTTCATTCGTGTCCTGCACCTCACCTTGCGCTACAGCTTTCTAGATTTCCCACTCTTACCTACCGCTGTCAAGAATTCATCAAGTTCCTCATGATGCATCATCAGCTAGCACCAGCTACAAAGCGGAGAAGTGGAGAAGGGTCTATTTGTACCTATCTGGCGGAAGAATCGGATGACCGCTCTCAGCAAATCACGGTGAGTAGTGATTCATGGCTCTCGTGAGAGTGTGTGAGGATTCGGTCCTCGGTTGTGCGTTTACGGTTATTCCGCCCGATTCAGTCTGGGCACCTTTTCGTTCCTTATGTCGTTCCTTGTTCCTTTCGTTCCTTACCAGCTGCAGTGCTGTTGGTTATTCATAGGGTTATTCTTCATCCTTGGGCCTTAGAGGAAAACATATAAAAACCCTAGCTACTCATGTACTGACGGCAGTTTACGCTTCATACGAAGAGAGACCTTACACCTGTCTTCCAGTCGTGTGAACTCTGAGTTTCCTTATTCGTGTAGAGCTACTGTCGCTTCGACCCGCTAGCCTTACAGAGTGGGCCTTAGCTTGCCAACATGACATCCTTGATGCTTGCTGTGATGGCCCTCCCCGAACGTAACACGTTTGCGCAGGCCCTGCTATTCCTCGGGTATATATATAATGATACTCTCAATCTGCTCCTGGAAGTCGGTGCATCCTCTCCTCTGTATCACTTAGTGTGGTCACTGCATCAGCCATGCCGCCATGCGAAGACAGCAGTGAGCTTGCTTTATATATAAGTCAAGCTCAGCTGAATGATGTGCTCTTCATTATCCTTGGTGTTTTACAGGATGTTGTGGTGTAAGTCTACACAAGGCCAGCCTAACTTGGGGACTCATATCCTGGTAGTCTACTTGCAGATGCACTACTGGTAAGTATTTGCAATATCTTCTTTGCAAGTGACTCAGGTTGTGAATTAGGTGTGATGTGCCTTTATGATTTCTGGGAGAAATATATGGATACTGGTTATGCCAGCACTATTACTTCTTGGTGAAATCAGTGAGTTCTCAGATTGTGATTCAGTCAATATCACTTATAATAACACTTCCTCCAGTGTGCATATGTGCCATGGCTGGAGAGTTCACTGTGGCAGACATTGCCACTCAGCAGGCATTTGTGCCGAATAAAGCAACCACATTAAGCAGCAAGAGCATTGCCAGGCTTGTGAAGGCCTTTCCACTTGCACAAGCATTCAATGATGCTTTCTGGATTCTAGTCATTGTGACAAATGTGCTACTGATCATAACAATTGGTAAGTGCTGCCTTACAAAAGTGGGAAAGTCTTCTCAATATATCTCTGCTTTTTCATGCTAGTTGTTGTTCTTAGAAGGGCTCAAAGGCAGACCCAAAAATACTCCCCAAGAAGTCATGCACACTGGTATTACTACCTGATGCTTCTTATGTAAGGATCCCTCCTAGACTTGTGCTCATGATCTGACCAAGCAAGTATAGCCTCAGTGACTGTGACTATCTCTGCGATCTTTCTTATCCGACAGAAAGGGACTATATCTCCTATTTGTGAGGTGAGCAAGGTCCTTGAATGCCTGATTACTGGATGCTTGAAATCAATGTGCTTGTCAGGATATTTTTGGAAACCTTGCCATGGGTCTTGCAGTAAGCCACTTACTGGCCATAATCAGACACAATTGAAATCTTACTTAGGGGATTATACCTACTGGGATGACAATTCTGGTTGGCCTGGGCAAGACTTCTCAGCACACCTGTCCAGTGCAAATGGGAATGGGGGAGTGGTATCCTCTATACAATTTGCATCCAGGATGGCAGTGGTGGATGTGGTATCACATCATGATGTAGATGGAATTGAACTCATGGTACAGCTACCCAGCCTAACATGAATGTCATCCTGGCTTTGGTTAAGGCAAATGAGTCTGTTCCATGTACTCTTGTATGGGATTTATATCACATAGTCTGTATCCCAGAGCATGGCTTTATTGCTTGCCTAATAAGATAGACACAGCGCATAATTAAGTACTATGGTCACAGAATGACAGCTGATATGCTGTAGTTTGACCTGTCTAATGTGAAGTGTGGACAAATGGCTAAATGTCACCAATATTTATACCCAAGTTAGGGCATAAGATGTAATTCTGCTTCTGACAAACCCTTCTAAATACTTACACAAAACCTTTCTTAGAAGCCAAATCATGATAGTTGCTCTACTCCAGCAGGAGATGGAAAAACATTGTGGGACTGTCACACTTCACTACTCATTATGACAGAAATGGTCATGTGATAGTAATTGATATGGGTTGCATCTATCTTAGAATGAATACTGGAATGTCCAACCACTTCAAAAGGCCCTGAGCTACAGGAATCCATTCAAAGGGTTGACATTCAGTTTATGTCTGGACCTAGACATCGGTCCCCTGTAGAAGCATGGTTATGCATGAAGTGGATGCTGTTTGTCACAATAAAACCACAAGAAGACACCACATTGATGGCAAATTGATACGAAGGAACTACTGGTCCTATGCCACCTGACCTGGCAGCATTGATTGGGGTAATGGGGACCATGGAATCAGGAATGAACTGCCAATACACACAGAAATGATGAAGAGTGGATACAAATTGGCAAAGCTTATGCTTCTGGATAGAATGTCTTCTCAAGCTTTGCAATCAGTTTCACTGTAAGCAGTTCACTGGCTGACATTTGTTGCCAATTGACTGACCATACATCAACTTCAGGGGATTGTGCCAACCTGCATCTTAATCCTTGTTGGCCTGGGCAAGACATCTGAGCACACCTTCCAGTCATGCAGCAATGGAGTGGCATCCGCTATCCAATTTGCACCTAGGCCAGCAGTCACAGATACAGAGTCCCAAATTGAGATGAGTGGTGTTGAGGCCACAGCAGAGGGAATCAAGGTGAAGGAAACCCCTGGAGGTATAGTGGAGGAGCAGGTGTGAAGTACCACAGATATCTTTGAACCTCTAAGCTAGGTGTAGTTGAGGGAAGTCATGTTTAGTTTCAGTGCTTCGCAGTCTTCTTGTGGACAGCCTGAGGAAAGATAAACACATGTAGTAATATACATGGACACAAGCTGAGCAGACCTCATATACTGATTTATACCTGAATTGTATCCAGACCACCTGGTGATTTTCACCCTGCAGCCTTGCCACATGAAATATTCCCTGACTTATATATCAAAGCTGCAGATACAAACATCTCAAATACTGGCATCTATGCTAGGATATTGATACATTCAGTTCAATCAAAGAAATATCAGAGAAAATACTATACAATGTGCTATGAGTTCGCTCCCGGCACAGAAGGTCGGCCAGCTTTCTTGGGATCTTGCAATGCTCTCAGACACCTAAAGACTACGCCGATGCCCTCCTTCACGTCCGCCTGGTCCTCCTCCACCACCCGCGCCGCGACCGGTCCCATCTTATCCGGGTGCCACCTCAGCATACTCGTGCGTATCCTCTCCTTCCGTGTCACCGTACTCCCCCTCGCCGCCAGGTCCGCGAACAGGAAGTCCTCGATCTTGCGGAACGTGATCTCCCTCGCGCACTTCGGCGTCTCCTCGACCGGCCAGGGGATGTCGGCGAAGCGCACGGGCCCGCTGGACGCGGCGAAGTCCTGCCAGCGTGCCTCGTACGCGGCCCAGCGCGCGAGGGCTCGTTTCTCCTCTGCCTCGCGGCGCAGCTCGGCGCGGATGCGCTCAGTGCGCTCGACGTCGCGCCGACCGGACGCGTCGCGGAGCGTCCCGCCCGAGCGCACCCAGTCGATCTCGCCAGCCTCTGCAATCTCGCGTTCCCGCTCGAGCCGACGGAGGCGGGCTTGCTCTTTGAGGCGTTCTTCGGGCGAGGGGGTCGTCGGATGTGGAGGCGAGGCGGGGGGAGGGTTCTCGGGTTCTGCTTCTAGAGATAGTTTATCTTGTAGTTGCGTGTTAAGCGATTCAATGGGGTCGCCATCGGCTGAGAGGACGAGGTAGCCTTTCCCCCAAGGTGGAGGAGATGGAGGCAGCGCGTTCTTGGGTCCTGCGCCACCCCCTCTTGAACGCGTCGGCGAGACGTTCTCGATGCTGCGGCCAAACGTCCAGGGGAATGACGAAGCGCGCGACATCGTGAGCCACGAGTTCGAATTTCGAACGCTGCCATTCATCCCGTTCGCGTTGAAGACAAAGTCGAGGTCGAGTGAGACAACGGGCAAGGTGAGCTTGCCACTGACGCGTTGGTGCCATCAGCATCAACCGTGGGAAGATATCTCCCTATAAGGCCACGTATATTGAATATTGACAGCTGCTACGCTTCCCCAACTTGAACGCTTCCAGGTTCAACTTGACGCAACTGAGACTTGAAGGTAAGTATCCGCCTTGTAGCTGGTATAAAAGGCCGACTGACGGGCGCATATATCCAGGATAGACTCGGCCTCACGCCCCCCCTCCCTCTACGATCTCTTGACGAAGTTACGCGTATCGGTCACTACACATCTTCAACATGGGCGCGACCGTGCAAAGACCTCTGCGAGGCTCCCGTATATCTACCTTCTACCCCGTGAAAACCCTCCCACCCATCTCGTCTCTTGACAGCGCGTTCCAATTGCAAGAATACATCTCGCTGCTCATTCGGTCGGACCCGCATGACGTGGAGCACATAGTCTCTCTCCCGGGGAAGCTTGCGAGTAAGGAGAAGGAGGGCACGCCGGCTGAGGAGGAGGCGAAGAGCGAGGAGAAGGAGGGGAAGAGTGAGATTACGGTTGATGAGGCATGTTGGATATATGAGCAGCTACGGTAAGTGTTACTAGTGACTATATGCGCGTATGTATACTGTACTAATGAATCTGTGAAGACGACTCGCGCAGGACCTGACGCATCCCCTCATTACCATGTTGCAGCAAGAGTGCACGAGATCGTCATGTCCTGAGATGAAAGCCGGTGAATGGATGTATTTATGCGTCGCCCACGGGAACGACGGCGCCATGGAGGTACGAACCCTCCTTCTACTCCGCGTACGTCTCCCTAATGCGAACGCCTATAGCAATGCTGCGCAATCGACTACATCCTGCACACCCTCGACAGCGCCACCGCGCTCCTCAATTCCCCGCGCGCCTTCCCCTCCCGGTGAGCCCCTTCCCACCCACATACATACACACACGCTTACCCCTGCCCTGTATACCAGCCTATCCATCCCGCAAACCTCCACGCGCCACTTCTCCGCGCTCGCGCGGCGCCTTGGGCGCATCTTCGCCCACGCCTACTTCCACCACCGCGAGGCGTTCGAGCAGGCCGAGGCCGAGTCCTCGCTGAATGCCCGCTTCCTCGCGCTCACGCGCAAGTTCGACCTCGTCCCCGCCGAGTTCCTCGTCATCCCCGACGATGGCGACGTCGAGCCGCCGCGCCTGCTCGGCGCCGCGCTGCGCCCCCAGCCGGCAGAGGAGCGGGACGGCCGCGCGCCCAGCCCCTCGGGGCCGGCTGGGAGTCGCAATGAGAGCCCAAGGAAGATGGGGCGGTCGAGGACGGATACGATGGTGTTCAGCGAGGCGGTGAACGTCGCGGACGAGCTGGCGCGGAATGGGAACGGGAGTGATGGCGAGGGCAGCGAGCGCCTCCGCGCGCCGGGCACGATTCTCGGATCGAATTCGCCGTTTGCGCTGCAGCCCCTGCAGGGCCCGGAGAGCTCGGCGGCGGACCCGATTGTCATTCCCGAGGGGGAGACGGAGGTGCCCTCTGGGGAGGCTGAGCCCGCGCCTGCGCCCGAATTTGCGGAGGAACAGCAGGCGCCTGCGGCGGAGAGCTTTGTGATGCTCGCGCCGCCTGCGGAGACGTGCTCGCCATACCCGCCGATTGAGGAGCAGGAGCAAGCTGAGGGCAACGACGCGATCGAGGAAGAGGGGAAGGAGCAGGCGGAGGAGCAGGCGGAGGAGGCGTCGGTGGCTGAGGCGGATATTGTTGATGCCGTGGCTGAGCATGCGCCTACGAGCGAGGAGCCGGCCGAAGCGCCCCCTGCTGAAGAGGCGACCGTCGAAGGTGTCCCCGTCCCTGAAGAGATAGAGGAGGCTTCACCTTCGAGTAACTCTGAGGAATCGTCTACCGACGCTCCGCTCGAGGAAGCGCACGAGGAGCATGTCGCCACGCCCGATACGACTGATGAACAACCAGAGCCGGACTCGGAGCCTTCACCAAATTCCCAGTGATCGCGTCGTTTGTATGCTGATTTCCGCTGCGTGGGTTGATGATGGCTTTGTACGCTGACACTGGTAGCACGGATGCCGGTCACAAAAGATACGTGCGTCTGGCGCGTGCTTATCGTGTATATTACCCTTTTTCTCGTCGGGCCACAGGGTGGCGGCGATGAAGTTGTCTGTTTGTTTTGATGAGTCTAGTGAAACCCTACCGGTTCGACTCCCGCTTCCCGTGGGCTAGACAATTGTATACCTCCAGCTAACGATAGACAAAGTAAGTCCCGGAGGAGCCGGTCTAACTCGTGAGTTCTGCTCCGGCGTCCCAGCACGGCTCAGAGTTGAATATCATCCTCAATATGCCGACCGTCCTCTCTCCTGCCAAAACGGGAGGCAATTCGGTCTGCCTACGGGAGACTACATCCTCAAGGTGCCTGAAGGTAAGTAGTACTAGATAAGATAGACGCAACCCATACTCGTCTAGTATCACGTGACTATTTTTGTCACGTTCATTAGGAAAGCGTGACATTTTAGCAATGTTTCTGTATCTCCTCTTTCAGTAAAGCACTTATTGCAGTTCTGCTTCCGAGGAAAGTTTGAGACATATATTTAAAAAGGTTTGTCCGAAGAAGAATTGTATTTTACAGCCGCTTGCAGATCGATAGACCATCAATTCAGAAAACCACGTATGGTCGGAGTGGGTCGGAGTGGGTGCCAGGGACGTCGGAAGAAGGTAGAGAAGTCCAGATGGTCTGATCTCTGTCTCTCGGGGACTTGAAATTGCTTGTCCGACGTGGTCCGACTGTAAATGATTTTCAAAAAGTGGGCCCATCGACCTGCAAATGGCTGTAAGGCCTAGTGTGGAATAAGATACCTAAACATTGACTCCGTGGGGGAGATTTTCGCCGCGCGCGCGAGACGGACGAAACCAAAACACGTGATGTGTCACACTGTGACCATAGTAGTCGAATATGGGTTGCGTCTATCTTACAATGATGACGAAGACTTGACGAAGAGCATGGCAGCCCCCCCCCCCCCACCGCGGACAGTTGCCACAGATATATACATAACAAACCCAAGTGTACCCATTCACTGAGTACGGTATGATATTCGCTGCATATTCGCGGAACTGACGGACCGACACTACTTCCGCGATATAGTTTCAAGTTCCACGGAAGCCTCGGGAGGATGGGTGTACATCCCTTCCTTCTATTAATAATCGCTCTTGCCAAGGTTCAATGACATCACCCATGTATGTTCGAAAGCACCAAATGGTAGCCGAAACATTGCTATAAGGTACGCATTCCCTGAATGATGTCCAGACTGTCAGTCTTGCGGTACCCCGAGCATTAACATCCAGCGCAATGCAGCAGGCTCCGATAAGCACAGGGCCATGTCGCCCAACAGTGGCAAATAGGTACCTCGCCGCGCTGCCTTATCTCCTGTATGCGACGAAAGTGAGAGCTTCCCGGCTCATCTTGGGATTACACCAAGCAAGAATAGGTTGGTGCACACAGGATGACTCATGTCTTGTTAACTCAGCTCTAAAGGCATATAAGATCATACTTCGGATACTGTATCCCTATCTCTAACGCAGGCATACCAAGGCCATATCAGCAAGAAGGTTCACGCTTACAGAGTTTCAAAGCCCCATGTCCTACCAATACCCTCAGGTCACCAGCATCGCCACTTCAGAGACCGCAAGAGCTGCTGCTGCTGCCTCACTCGATTACAAGACTCGTATCCAGGAATTCATCCATAACATAGGCTACCGATTTGAACCGCCAGTCGCCGATCCCGTCTTCACTCGTCTCTTCCACGCCTGGATCACCGACGAGCTGCAACCTATCTTGGGCTGGGACAAGGAAAGGATGGCCGCCATCGAAGACGTAGCCCACCGCATCTGCATCCGATGCTATCCGCATGCGTGCACGGAGCTGAAAATGCTGATGGGCAAGCTGACGGCGCTGGGCACGGTCATCGATGATTCCCTAGGCAACGACACCATGTACAGCCATGTGGCATTATTCACGCACAAGATGTATATGGGGGAACCCCAGCCTGCGGGCACCATATTCCCTCTCTATGAGAAGTGCATCCGGGAACTATCGGCTTATTACGGCGCCGACGGTGTACTGCGGGGCATAGGCGTTACTTCTTGGATGACATTTATGGAAGCTGCTTCATTGGAGGAGAGGATGCAGGTGTTTGATGAATACATCCGTGCCAGCCCGTTGGATCAGGGTTATCAGCACCTGGTCGAAGCAAGGCGCCAAGAAGGAAGTGGTGAAAGTCCCGATGATCCAGTTACCTCCTTCAACATTGTGAACGCTGCGAAATCCTGCGGTGAGCAACTTGAGCCGAGCCCCATGAAGCTAGAGGCGGACGCGATTGCCTTGTAAGTGAACATCCGATGCTTTGCCTGATTTCCCGAGTCCATGGTTACTGTCTTGATTCTAGCCCGTATTTTCTCCGCACGAAGACCGCAGTAACTGAAGGATATGCTGCGGCTATATTCAAGGCAGACCGTGAGCAAGCCTTGCCCTTGACTAGATACATCAAGGCGATTCCCGACATTGCATATACTGTGGTAAGTGAATTACCCCCTGGCTGCAGTTAGCGCTCACCGACTAATCTGCCGTACCTCGTCAGGCCGTCGTAAATGATGTTCTGTCCTTCCACAAAGAGGAGCTCCAAGGAGAGACCATCAACCTAGTCCACCTCTTGACTCAGTGTTTAACCCCGGCGCGAAAGCAAGCCGGGTATGATAGATGGGATGCGAACAACACCATAGACTTTCTATGTGCGCAACTTGAAGAAGCCTTCCGGAGAATTGACTCTCTGCTTGGCATGGACGAGTCTGATAGTGCAGCCATAGACCTCGCGGACACAGACAAGATTGTGGATGCGCAGATAGCGAAGCAATGGAGGGCGTGGCGGCACGGGTATATTTCTTGGCATCTAGAGTGCGAAAGGTACAAGCTCGATTTTTTGAGACATCACATTGATCCATAGTAGCGCTGAAGTGATATTGCACCGCCGATCGTCAAGGGCTTTTCTCTTCCTGCCCGTCTCTTACCAGGTCTCCTGTGTTCTCCTGTGTCCCCGTCAGTTTTAGGTTATATAGCGCCTCGTAGCAGGTTGCAAGGAAACCTCCGGTATTTCTTGATCCCTGACCAAATTCTATGTACAATTAAAAGAGGCGTTGTCTTAGTGGCAATACCGCTAGGAAATTCTTCAAACTGCCATCAAGTCTTGCCAGACATACAACGGGCAACAAGAGCCATCTGCAACAAATACCAAAACGGGACCTACTCGCGTGGAGTCCAGGGATGACGTCAATTGCAGACACGGTGCGCGGTCCCGCAGCGATTGCGGCGCAGACTTGCGCAGTCCTCATAAAGCGCCTTTCTTCCCGACTATACACATCCCTGCTCAGTAACTGAGAATACCCAAATACCTCTCTTCTGCAATCCAACATAAACTGCGACAATGGTACAAGCATCCGACGTTCTATTGATTCTGGTCGGTTTGTTTTGTTGGAGGACGACTGAGCAGGAACGCTGATGCCACCCTTTCCCTGCCATACGCTGTCTTTTCTTGGTTTTGTGACGGTTCGAATGCGTTGGATAGGTCGCTATCATCTTCCCGCCCGCGGCTGCCGCGTTCATCACCGGATGCAGCTGCGACTTGCTCATTAACATCCTGCTTACCATGTGAGCCGTCTTGAGGCTTCTCCGCTTGCCTTGCCCGACTCATTTGCTCCATACAGCTTGGGATATCTGCCTGGACACATCGTGAGCAGTATTACTACGCATTGTTAAGCGGATCTAACTGTTTCTGCTCATCCTTAAGCACGCTTTCTGGCTTATCTACAGGAAGATGAAGGCGGAGGAGAGGTACGGCCGTGGCGGCTTCGTCTGTGAGTACCCCTACCGACCGTATGTTCATTTCGAGTTGCATGTTGACCACGCGTTGCGGTAGACGTCGGCAACGGGCAGTACCAGCCCTTAGCTCCTGGTCAGGCGCCTTATGCTGCGCCGCAAGCCAACTACGGCGCCACGCACATGTAAGAGGCGAGTCACGCCGTGCGGCGACTAGGAGGGTGATACACGCATCCATATAATGAATGTTTGACGATCTTGGAATGATATGTATGATTTCTTGTGTATACCATGTATGTACCGACCTTCGAACGGAACATCGTACGTTGCTTGCTATAACACCCCATGCCCCGAGAGCACGAGCGGTCATCCGTATGAAGGTTCAGTCGCGGGCAGCAATATGGTTCGTGATGATAGATGAGAGATAAATTAGCACAAAGCCGATTACGGTAATTAGTCGAACATCAGTACACGAACAAATAGCACACCATATTCCTCTCCGCATCTCGTAGATCGCGCGCAGTACACCTAACCCTTCCCCGCTCCCGTGCGTGTATCCATCCGTCCATCCATTCCATGTGTACATAAGAAAATGAGTGAGATGTAATGCGCACCGGGCGCGGGGTGGTCAGATGCTTAGATCGGTGGATGAGGATCGCGGGGGGAGAGGCAGACGAGAGTCGTGCTCACACGAAATCGGAGTCGATTAGGTTGTTTGTTAGGATGACTTCGCGGACTGCGGGATGCGGAGTCAGACGTGACGTCGTGAGCAACAAGGAAGCGTTGAGCTACTTACTGCGAACAAGGATGATAGAGGTTGCTCGGTGATCCTGTATCGGGAGGGTTACGTTATGCATCAGACGGTGGGGAAAGGGAAGACACTTGCCGTTGCTGTCGTAAGGTGTATGTGCAGTTTCCGATTTCGGTTGGAGTGTTGTCGATGGATGGCCGAGAATTTCGCCTTCAAATCTTCACGACAACCAGTCAGTTTGGGACTGCAAGCGGTGAAAGCAGGAGGGACATGGTACTTACACTTGCTAACGTGCTCTACGTCGTTCGGCTGGTCCTTGTAGCTCGTCACATACTTCGAGAAATTCACACCCGCCTGGAGCTTCGCCTCAAGGACGTCCACTTTATTGAGTAGCAGGATGATGGTGACATTCGCGAGGATGCGATTCGTGCATATCGACTGCCATAGATAAAAGGAGTCCCACTAGATTGTTCGGGATAGGTTAAGACCCGTAGAACTATGCCAAGACGAAATGGACATACTAAACGGTTGACAGACTTGTCTTCGGAGAGCGTTTGGTTGAAGGCGGATATAGGGGCGAGGAAAATGATAGCGTTGACTACGACCACAGAAGTTAGGTCTCACGGCGCAAGGAGCGCGAATACTTGGGCTTACCGTCATCAAAGAAAGGTGCCCAAGCAGCTGCAGAACAAGGTGTCAGTCTTTTGCGCTATAGGAAGTACGCGCTAACTCACGTCTTTGTCCTCGGCTACCGCCGACGTCGTAAATGACCCACTCCTTCCCTGACTCCGTCGCTGAAGGCAAGAAATTCAGCAAAGGATTTCGTCGAGGACAACTGTGGCAGACGGACAGAACTGACCAGTCTCCATAATAAGACGGTGCTCCTCGACGCCCATCGTCTGTAAGCGCGCCTTGAGGATATCCTCTTACAGACAAGTCAGACCACAGTACGTGGCACTGAAATGACTCCTACCTGGTGTGGGCGTGTAGTCTTTGACCGCTATTCGAGAAACTTCATTTAGGAAACTGATCACAGGTGTTAGAGGAATCGTTGACGCAATCACGGGTTATTACTCACAAGCCTGACTGCTCCTGTAGCGCAATCTCGTTGCTCTTCAAGCCCTTCTGCACAACGGGGTCCGCCCACAACTCAATAATATCGTCCCTGCACGCCTCAATCACGCGCCCGGCGTCCTCGAGCTCGTCCGGGCTAGCGGGGCGCGTCCGGTGGCTGAGCCTCGCCAGCGCCTTCCACCCGCTCCCCGACCGCACCGACACCTCGCTCGCCGAGTTCAACCCCTTCCGCACGGGGTTCGGGTCGTCCGCGGATATGCGCTTGCTGAGCATCTCCTCCACCCGCTTCAGCGGCGACAGCCGCATCCTGAGCTGCTTGAGCTCGGGGGTAGGCTCGATGATGGGCCCCACCGGGCCGTCGGTGTGCACGTACTGGGGCTGCTGCTGCCCAAGGAGGTCAGAGCCGGAGATGATGACGGAGGCGGGCGAGCCCGCATGCGTGAAGCGGGGGTTGGGGGAGAGAAGGTCAAGGATGAAATTGACTGAGCGGACGAGGTTCAGATGGATGACTGCTCTCCATGCCCCGGACTCAGCCTTAAACGCCTTCGGCGTAAACTGCAGCTGGAAGTTCTTCAGCATTGTCGATTTACCCGACTCTGCTTGCCCTGCAGACGGGTTTTCTGGTTAGTAGGTTACATATTAGAATCGAGACTGCGGGGCGGACCTAGGAGCAGAATCTTCATCTGTGGCCGCCGTTTCTTCATCTCCTCCCGCTGCTGCTCAATCGCCTTGTCGATCTCATCGCTCACCCGCTTTGCTTCTCGCTCCTGCTCCAACCGCTCCGCTCGCTGTTCCTCCGTCTCGTCGCGTTCGGGGGGTGGGGGCGGCCATACGTGCCCCGACTCGTAGCTGATCGAACCACGCTGGCGCATCACAGATGCTGGTGAAATGGACAAAGAAAACGAGCGAACCCGAGAGATACAATTTGAAAGCGTGCACGGAAAGATATTAGTACATCAAGCTGCTCATATCGAGCAGGCTTTGAAATGAGGAGAAGCCCCGGAAGGAAACCGCATAAAGAAGTCTAGCGGTACCGACCGTCGGCACGTATTTCCGGCTTACTTTGTGGCATGGTTGCTATGTAACGTCTAGCGTACCGCGCAGGCGCGGTCGGTGGCTAATCCATAAACGTCAAGTTAGTGCCAGGCACTGCGGGGCATGGAATATTTTTTGAGAACTTTGGGGAAGTACAAAGTTCAGCCAAAGATCACTCTCGCGTGTTCTGAGTGTGGCCACCATCGATATCGCAGGTGCCCAAACGTGTTACGCTCGAGCCGGGCGACTCGGAGCCGCCATCTTTGAAGAGCGGATCCTCCCAAAAGCAGTACTAGCACATTTCCGATTCCTATCATTGTGGTACATCCTGATCAATTCTGTTCATGATCCACCTGGCTCGCGGAAAAGGCGCAGCCCAACGTTTCGGATACAGGTTCCATCTCCATATAACTCCCGCTGACCGTCGTCAAGTTTTGCGGATCCCGTTCCAGCACGATTCTTGCCCTGTAGTCGAGCGTGTACGACGGCCACGCGGGCGACCGCGCCAGCTTGTACGTGTTGGGGTCGGCTGAGCGCACGAATGACAACCAGTATGCGATCAGCTCTGACGCAAACGCGAGGTCGGCAGGCGTTTCCGGAACGTAAGTGGTCGTGCCATTGAAACTACGGATTGTAAGCATTTGGATCTGGGGAGACGTAGGAAGTCCCGACACACCTGGTATTTGTCCCTGCGAACATCATGGAGATCTCGGCCGCATGTTCCACTAGGGGGTCGCTGAGCGACTGCGTAAGACTGACGGTATTATAGCGGTAGGTCCAGCTACTATTCGTAACTGAGAAGGCACCGGCCCAGATGGATCTCTGCAGTAAGTATGTGAATCTGCTATATCGCTGATGGGATTGATTGACTCACGGCACATCGCACGGTGGGGTTGCCAGTAGCCACTCGAGATTGCTCATCACTCGAGGAAAATTCAGAGGCTGGGTACACATATTCATAACCCGCCAAATCGAAGGGCGTTAAGGCTGGGAAGTAGGACTGAAGGGCGGAGGAGATATTTGCTCCACTCGCTAAGGTCTCATTCGAGACAGAACTGGGGAAAGGTACCAACCTCAGCCAAACTATGGGAGCTTGTAGAGGCGCCACTTACCCAACGAGCAAAGGGACCTTCGCAAACTCTCCTCGCAGCACAGATCGAGTGGGGTAGTCGGTGATGACTGTCCCGTCAAGGACAGGTACAAAGTTCTTGTAAGGACCGGTGCTATATGCAGCCGTGTCAAATAAAGCGCGGCGAAGATAATACGGATGTGATACCCACTAATTGTATGTCACTGTGTCTTGCGCTCGGGCCAGATCACTGATGCTAGCGTTTCTCAAGCATGCCATCTGTTGAGCTGAGGTCCCAGAGCCACATCCAGCCTGAGTAGCGTAGTACTCAAATAGGGCCTAGGAAATGGTACGTTCACTGAAACAGGGATCGCAGTAGATGTGATGCAGCACTAACAAGCTTCGTCTCAGGCGGGACCACCGGATGCCTATACACACTCTGCGCGACCGCGCCATGGAACAACTGCGCACCCTCATTCGCCACAAGGTGCAACGCAACCGAGGACGCACCCGCGCTTTCCCCGCCGATCGTTACCGCGTTGGGGTTCCCGCCAAACGCGCCGATGTATTGGCTGATCCAACGCAGCGCCTGCACCTGGTCGAGGAAGCCGCCGTTGTTGTCGCCGAGTGTGCCGTTCGCGAAGTCGGGATGCGCGAGGAAGCCGATGGCGTCGAGGCGGTAGTAAATGGAGACGATCACGACGTTCGGGCTCTGGTTCACCCAGGGGTCAAAGGGGAAGTCCGCGGGGTTGCCGTATGCGTACCCTCCGCCATGGATCCAGACAAAAACTGGCACTGCCGCGCAATGAGTTCTCGGATGCCGTCCTTCGATCTAACAACACGTACAGTTGTCGCCTTGTGCCGCTCCATACGGAGCGTAGATGTCGACATTCAGGCAGTCTTCACTTCCCCCTCCTCCAGCATCCCCATCTATTTGACATTCAGATAAACTCTACCTCCTTATCAATCAAATTCCTCGATAAACTCACCGCCCAAAGTACCCTGAATACAGAATGTCCGCGGGGTCGTAGCGTCGACCACCTGGCCATTAGCCTCCTCTACCACACGCGTAGTATTCAGCGGCAGCGGTGCGCGGAACCGGCGATCGCCCACGGGGGGCTCGGCGTACGGGATGTTGTAGTACACCACCGTGTTCGGGTACGTCTGGTTCCCCTGGTAGCTGACGTACCCTACGTCAACGACGTTTCCTGCGGTGGACCATGCCCAGACGAGCCTAACTAGAGCGCACGTCAGCCAGATTCCTGTGAGACGAGCCATGCTTGGGGAGGATGCCTTGCCGACGTGAAGGCGAGTTTTCGATTTTCATGGGTATTTGTATGCATCCGGCAGGCACGTACCACAACTCGTGCAGTGAGTGAGTAAGTGGTCGCTCGTGGGCGAGGATACGGAAATAATGGGAGGCGTGCGGGATGAGGAAGCATCCAGCGATCAGCAGACCCCACTGAGCGCTAAAAGAGATAAGCGGATATTTTTGGTCTGGCCTATGCAAGTGTCGGAATCCCGAGACTGTACCGAAATTTCACAGATTTCCTTCGGAAGACCTATATATCTGAGGCTCTATACACTGTTTGAGACCGGTCTTGCGCCGCCGGTTGTGGTTGATTCTGGTCTTCTTGACGGGCTCGGGAAGCGAGTGTTTCCCGAGGCGAGAAGGAGCGGTCTGAAAGAAATGGTCCGAGCTGCCCTTGAGAACCCGGAGTCGAGGAGCCGCGCAGCCTAGTACAGTGTGAGGCGCTCAAAACCGACCACTCGGCAATAGGCGAGCCGCGGATCCTATCACGATCGTGAGAAAAGACTTTTAGGTCCCGAAAACCAGACCAATCGATTCCTTTTCACGAGAGCTTTCGAGCCATCTGATTATTTTCTCGAAATTCCCACTTTTAAGAATTTAATCCTTCACATATTTGAATTTGGGTCGGAGATGTAGCGGAGTTACCATAAAGGGAAGCTTTGTAATCACGGCCATGGTAGCCGAGCCACGTGCCTGGCTAGGGTTAGGGTGAAGGCACTACTTGCTTTGGACGTGTGGGACACTCCCTATCGCAGGAATTCCATCGGAGAACCCCATTTCCGTATTATACAACCATATTGAGTGATCAGGACGCAGCTGGCTCCCAAATAAATGAGGTTACGCTCGGCGACCCCATATTTGAACGCTTACGTAAGCACCCGAAAAAATGAAAATGCAGGATTACGCATCTTTTGGCCAGGTTTATGTTTCAAATTTTTTTCTCGCCGCCTACGGCGCCATAATTAAGGTGCCACAGAGGTGCCGACTCTTAGTGACATACACTGTAGGCTACTGGGGTTTCCTTGTCCAATGATCACATTTGCGCCGTGAGCGACTGCACCAATACAGTAGCTTCAGGTGGTGCGAGCTGCCGTTGTTAGAGTCTCTAGCCAAAGAGAGCACTAGTACTGTAGCGCAAGGGATGCGATAAGCAAGGGCTCTCAGGCTCGGAACATCTGGGGCAACCAAAATCGACACGTTCGCAATACACATGAGACCCCTTCCCGAGGCTTCAGTTTGGCGTGCCCATTTCGGAAGCTAGTATGCATGACCCTGAGAGGTTTGAAAACGAACAGACTGATGACGACTGTTCATGCGCAAGCGTTAATTCATTAGTTTATACGGGTCTGAATGGTGTCCAACTGCAACCTGTCGCAATGACAACAGCATGGACGCTCGTTCTATGGATATAAGTGGAATCCGCCGTCGCAAAAAGTGGCGACGTCGAGCAGCATCGAGGGCAAGTAGTCACGAGTTTGACTGGGCTGGCAACGCTGCCAGCCTGCTCATAGCCTCGGATCCGTTGCAGTCGCAGCAGATGGCTGCAGCTTGAATTCAGCGATGGCAGAGCGTCTGATCTTGTCGAGGCGCCTGATAGCGGCAATCACCGCCGCGGCGAGGTGGACTGAAGCTGCCACAAATTATGATTGGCCACAGACCTTGAATCTCTTGAAACCAGCCACATTCATTTTCTAACTAATGCTAGTATTCACCTGAATCCCTGAATTGGAGCGCTCTCTTTGTCAGAATCTCTTCTCTCTGTGCTCGTACGTATACAGTATCTGTTGCGATATCAAGCTTAAGTGTTCCTCGAGACTGCCTCCGAGATCCGCTGTATCAAGTCCCGCAGCATCCATCTGTATCGAGAACACTCCAACGTGCGCGGACGCATCATGCAAACGGGTTTGATGCCGCTCTAACTCAGGAAACTTAGGACGTCCAGCAAAGTCGGCGACGTACCGATTACGCCCGACGTGGAGCCTTGGCCGTGGGGGAGCCCTAGCAGGCTGTCGCATGGTATTTCTCTGCATTTTTCGGGAGACTGAGTGTGCTATGCCACGTGCAGTCCTATTTTCCTTTCCGTCACACCCACACTCCGTGCGACCTCACTCTGCAGACTGCAACAGAGGCAGAGTAGTGCATGTGGTGAGGAGCTGCGATCACCTCCCTGGAACCTGTAATCTGGATTATAGACTGATGCATGGATCCGGGTTGTCTCCGTGGAATTCGGCCCAGGAATGACACACATTTCTATGGCACTCTGTCCGATGAGTGCCCTCCGGTTCCGGCTGCCAGCGGATGTTCCTGACATCGGGAGAGCCAATGATATCCCATTCCGCGCATGGGTACACGTATCCCATGTAACATCATCGTGTACGCCTCCTCTGGCTTGAGTCTTGAGCGTCTTACCTGCCTCTTCAAGCCCAGACAATGATTGTATCGGTATTTTCGCTCTTCCGCTGGCTCCGCCCGTACAATTCGCCTGATAACCTACCAAGGTTACAACAATTCTCTGCGCTAACTAAGGCAATAGCATGTATGCATGCAATAGACTTTCTCGACGCCCGTTTGCTCTCAGCGCCTTGATCGCGGTCGTGCTGGATTACAGGCCCGAGAATCTGGCCGACTCTTGTGTCGTTTTCCTGAGGAGTGTGGCTTGATCAGCCCATCAAGTTGCATTATCACTGCCTTGCGATTTCCCGTATATAATATGGCAGTCGAGAGACTTCCAGGCATCACACAGATAAATTCCATCCGCTCATTGTACTCGACTCTCACTCACAGACTCTTCCTATCCCTGTCTTCATTGCAAAATGTACTTCTCCATCCTCGCTTTCGTTTCTTTCCTCTCCTTAATCGCCAGCTTCGCTCAAGGAGCGCCGACCGAATTCACTCTCGCTCGGCGCAACGAGACTGAGCTTGCCAGGCGAGTCAGCAATGCACGCTTGACTTGGTACCAGGTCGGATTGTGAGTATTTCGGTACTTGTGGACCGCGCATCCATTTATCGTCATGCAGGGGAGCTTGCGGGATTGCCAATCAGCCAAGCGACTTCGTGAGTGCTCTGTGTCGGTCACATTGGGATTACTCCTGACGAAATAAACCATGTTAGGTTGTAGCCTTGGATGCCCCTGTGAGTCTCACACAATAAGCCCGTCTTGCACGTCAAGGCTAGCGCCCGTGCTTACTGCCGTTCGGCATATATAGGATTTTGGTTCTGGCTATCCCGGTCCGCACTGCTTCCAGCACGTCTCCATAACCGCCAATGGTAAGACTGCTACGGCCGAAATCGTTGACAAGGTACGCAGATGTCCGTCAATTCTCTCCCCACATTGAACTTAAAATCCGTGTGGACATAGTGCCCTGGGTGCCCCGAAGGCGGTCTTGACCTCAGCGAAGGTTTATTCAGTTTCTTTGCCGACCCCGGGGTCGGTGTCTTGACCGGCTCTTGGAATTACGTTTAGATATGCCCGGAGGCATTCGACCCGGCAACTCAATCCAGATGCGGGTCATCCTGGATGTGGCGTTTACTGTGACCGCCGGGTTGCTTACTTCATTTCCCCTGAAGTCATTCCTTCATATTTATTGTGTTTATTAGTGCCCTCGTCATAGCATTAGCTTATCTTGTATATAAGGGTACCATCAACCCTGTTATAGTGCTAGTGTATTCATTAAGTGGAGCATCCTGCTCTTTCATAACCTTTCATAACACTCTAAAGACAGCGGTCATCAAGGAGTTAATCACGTGGTAAGGCACTGAGACATTGCACAAGGTCGGGCTGTCGGCAGGTATTCTGGAAACCGAGAGGCCATCAGTAATTCCCCGGGCAAGATCTGTTGCCGCATCTTCAGGGGAGATCGGAGTTGATCAAATTAGACTCGGAGAGCTTAAAGTAGAAGTCATCGCCGCGACTCATCGGACGACATGACTAGCAGACGGTGGCAGAGGTTAGCCATAAATCTTTGTAAAAAGCTGATTCACTGCATCGGATACCCGGGAGGTACGTACGACCGAGCAGTCCGGGTCCGACCTTTTCGTTCATACACATGGTCAGGACAGAGGCAGCAGGAATTGGGGCCTGACGGGCAGAGACTAGCGTATTTCAGGATGCGGAGATGTGGCCGGCGTTAGCAGCAGATAGGCCATCCCGGCAATGCGATCCTGTGACCTATGCGTGGGTCATCGCATATAAGGCGTAAAGGTCCAAGGACTTACCTTCACCTCACCAGCATTCAACCCCGACTTTCCCTCTTTTCAGAAACTACACATGCCTGTAGCACAGAAGCGCTTCACGCTGTACGATCTAGAGGGGAGAACCCGCCCTTGGTCGCCCCATGCATTCATCGTGCGCATGATCCTCAATTACAAGGGGGTCCCGTACGAAACCATATACATCAGTTTTCCGGATATCAGGCCTACCATCCAGAAATTGGATCCGTGAGTGAACATTCGTGCCTGTAGCATTCCACGTTATGGAACTCACGAAGTGACCTTAGCAACCATGAGCAGTACACGATACCTTTCCTCGTCGATCACTACAAAAGGGTCACCGTGGTGGATTCCGTAGAAATAGCGGGTTACTTGGAAGCACAGTGTCCGATGACACCCTCGGTTCTCCCGGGAGGCATTCAGCCGCTCTGTTCTTTTTGGTACAAGGATTTTTTGCACCCGAAGGTGTTGGTACCGATGTTGAAGCTTCTACTCGCTCCCGTATGCAACGGCGTCCTAGACCACCGAGGGGCGGAGTACTGGCGAAGGACAAGGGAGAAGCGCTTCGGCATGCGCCTCGAGGAAATGGCCGGTACAGAGGAAAGGTGGACGCAGCTCTGGGAGACTATTGATCCCGAATTGCAGCGGATAGGCAGAGCGCTGAGGTCGAACAAACACTGCTACCTGCTTGGCAGTACCCGTCAGTATTTTTTCGTGTACCTTACATGGGTTACAATGCTGACGAACCACTCACCTGGCAGCATCCTATCCCGATTTCTCGTTTTGCGCGGCGTTAGCATGGGCTCAGGTGGCAGATGAACGTCTCTTCAAGAAGATCCTTGCCGCCCACCCGGCGATATGGCAGCTTTGGCAGAAGCTCTCCATTTACACGGGCGGTCCATAACAGACCGGGGATGACCACATGCCACACCATCATATCGAGAAAGTGCTTGTAGAAGCGCCTTAGTACCGCGGAGCTGTAATTTTGTATCCGTATCTTTCCTATCATCCCGCTGTAATCTCTCGCCATCCTTGGATGGCCGTATTCTTTTCGATGTAATCACGTCCTGACCGAAAGAATAGTTCTTTGCTGTGAAAGTCTGTGCGCTGCATGACTCGTTCTTGGGAGATCTCCATCGCTACAATGCGCTCTATTCAGGAGCGCACCGCACTGTCTCCCTGGGACATAGTGGATGACCATGGCAAAAACATCGTTCGTCCGAAGCTGTTGTGCATTAGAGTCATCTTCACGAACAAGAATCCGACTGCGCCATGTTACCGGAGCCGCCTAGCGAGATTGAACAGCTCCTGATGTTAAACTTTGCGCAGTTATTATTGCACGTCGGGCGAAGGACGACGAGCCCGCTGCGGGTATGCTCTTGAACCTTAGTATGACACAGAGGCAGCAATGAGGCGTAAACCGGCGTAAAGCCCGGAGCGCTTCATCTCGGCGACTGAGAAGTTCGTTAAATGAAAGGAGCCGTACGACCCGGAGAGCCGATCTACCTTACACAATCGAATCTCCCATAACCCATATCGGTCCGCCGACGCCAAAATATACGGATTATTACGGCTTATTGGAGGTTATGGGACATGGGAGGTATGGGTCAAGGGCGACTGAACTGTGAACTGTAACTCGCTGTCGTCATTACAATATTGGGCATTGCCTCACATAATCCTAATCGTATGATATCCACGATACGGGTCCATTAGGAGACCAGGCGTTCGTTCATAGGGAAGCAGATAACGAGGGAAAAGATGAGCAATATGTAGGCAGTGAACATATATATGTACACTTACCAAGCGTAGGTGTTGGAGAATGAGCCAAAAAATGGATCGATTGTAGAACGTTCTCGGCCATGGGAGGCCCCCCGTCGAAGACGCGCAATGATATCATTACATAGTACCCTTCCATCTCCGCAGCACGCCAGATGAGTCCACTTAATTAATGTGCCGACCACAACAGCAAATCTGATGACTTAATTTGTATGGATGAACCATGATGCATGAACCACTAGATATCATAGCCAATAAGGGGCAGTTTCAGGGGCAGTGGTCTTGCAATCCAACAGGTCTGTGCGGTCGCCGCGCGCGACCGCGAGTTCCGTCGGGGCTGCCTGAGCAAGGATAGCCATTGAGGAGACTGCAGATACGATAGGCACCACTGCGAGCGATGACAACGAGAAGTGCGACGTCAGAATCGAATGTCTGGGCGATGCCTCGAAGTACCCAGAATACCGCCTGGCATACGGCTGTCAGAGAGGCGGTGATATGTGGGTCCTGATGCCGTCGTGAAGCCGATGTTCTGCAGAGTTGAGTAAGCCACCGGCGGGTCTCTGAGAGTCCCGCAGTTCGAGACGAGTGCGGTCCCGTTCTGATATTTGAGAGCGCAAGAGTGTCCGGAGTGTAAGGTGCATAGCCGCCACAGAGGATCCTTCATAAATCTTGGGCAAACGACTTCAAACCTAGAAAGCGCCATATAATCAGCGTAAAGAAATGGCAACGTCACCCCGCGCCCAGGACAGGTAAGCCAACACGATTAGAACCGACCAAAGAAAAAGGAGCCCCAGCGCTACGTCATTCGATCCAGCGGCTGTAAGTGTTTACGGCCAACCCGTCCGCGGAGTTGATTAGAGTTGAACGTCAGACAGCCCAGCCTATTTTGTGGAGACCGTCACTGGCCAGAGACCCAGATTTCCGAAGTAGATCCCTGTAGTCCCCGCTCAAGGCGGACCCCTAAGCCCCTGGCCAGCGCTAGCCTCCACTGCGGCATCACTGCGTGCCACATCAGACTGCGATTTTAGGCACGGAGAGGAAGGCAACAGCGCGAAACAAATTGCCAGGAAGCGGCCCAGAGCCGACGATTAGCAAGCCATCAGTGCCACCCGTGCCAGAAGTCGATAGCTCACGCAGCGCGACGCCAGACAGAGAAGGAGATCTTGCCACATAGTGGAGCATCATATCCAGGAGCACACGTTTACAAGCCCGATTCCAGGTTCCAGAGAGCGCCGATTTTGCAAGACTTTAGATCTGGAACTCCAGCAGAGCTCATCGAGAGGCACATGTGTCCGTTCCCTCTGACAATCGCCTCTTCCGGCTGGATATGCTACGAATCTCAGGCAGGTGTAGATCCGCTATTCGCTTCGAGATTTCGGGCCTCCGTTCCATCCGTACAATCCAAACCAGCATCGCCTGCAGCTAGCAGCAAGTGGCAAACGTTCAACGCAAAAGAGGGTGCCAGACGGTTTTGCTGTCTGATTGAATTCGGTATCGTAGAGCCCCCGATATGATGGGTCGTGCATGATCGCTTGCCCACTGCAACCTAATGACATTGTTACAGAATCAGCCTCTCCAATCGTGCAGTGCCTCCCGAATCACTTGTCGAGCAGCAAGATCTGTCGAGCGAGGCCAATGCTAGTGAAATTTAAAGACAAAGGAAATGAACGGATACGCGTTGACCGAAGTGATGCGTGACGTCACGCGTACAATCCACCCAGCGCCGGCTTTGTCATTCTTCTTTTCAAGCGCTGCGACCTTGCTGCGACCTGCAGCCCAACGAACAGACCGTCTTGCACGGTTTTCCAACCTCGTCTGACGCTGCAATCTCGGTATTAGAACCCTTAGGACGCCATGGCCTCTGCTTACTACGAGTTCTACCGGGGTTCATCGTAGGAATCTGGGATGACCGTGCCACAACGTCTGAACTGACCCCTGCGACTCTCTCAGGATCGGGATGGCCTTGACGGACTCCCTTGACGAACTCATCACGAGCGGACAAATTACGCCTCAGCTTGCTATGAAGGTATTGCAGCAGGTGAGCGCGTGACGGACAGGCTGAGTGATGTGGCGTAGAGAACTAACGCTCGGTCACTTCGGCCAGTTTGACAAGTCCCTGGCGGATACTATGGTGAAGCAGGTCAAAGCAAAGACCACGCTGAAGGTTCGTACGATTTGTGTTATGAATGCTCGGCTTGCACTGCATTACCGCACAATTGCCATGCTTCACACAGGGGCATCTGAAAACCTACCGATTGTGCGACGATGTGTGGACGTTTATTGTCAAGAACGGCTCCTTCAAGATGGAGTCGAACGAGATGGTCACAGCACCCCGGATCAAGATCATTGCGTGCAAGAACGGCGATGCGATAGAGGCTGGGAAGAAGTGACCAATGTGCTTTCTTTCGCTCCTGTTTCTGCCTGTGTTGTTTCTCCACTGTCGGACTTTGTACACGCTATTGATTGCTCTAGGATGTCTCTAATTCGTATCATGTGCCATAATCTTGTCAACCTGTATCGAAATGATTGTTATCTCTTGTTGTCTAGGTTAGGGATGATCTCCTGCTGCTAACGGCATTGGCATGCATAGAACTTTGCAAGTGCCGCATGACCCAGTTTGTAGGTCCCAATGAGATGGTACCCTTTACAGCGAGCTTAGACCGAGTGGCATCGTTGGTCCAAGTGTATTTCGGCCGCTTTGAGCATGGCAACTAAATAGCAATGGCCCGCTTTGAGCATGGCAACTAAATAGCAATGGCCCGCTTTGTATTCATAGCAGATTCTTTGCATCGGTACCGGTTGCTTTAGATCTGCATTGGCCACTCCAGACCCTGTGTGGCACAGCCTCACGATTAGGTAACGGCAGAAGATGCTCCACGTGCCTCGGTTAAATTCAGACTTATGGGTCCCAGCTTGGCCATTTCCCCTCTCACACTCAACAGCCATGTCTCCGCAGAATCCCTCCGAGCCACCAACAGAGTCGGCGCGCCAGGATGCCCGTCGATGCCTCGACGAGAAAGAGAAAACCCTAGGCGACATAGAGGCCCAGCTCGAGTCCACCCAGCATCACCTCCAGCGAGTTGTGGCAGAGCTGAGGGCTGGCATCGACCAACTCGAACTGGAGCGATCCCAGCTCCAGCACGAAATAGCGGAGGCCAAGTCCACGCTCGCCCCCGTTTGGAGACTGCCCAGGGAGTTGCTCCGGGAAATATTCCTCGTGCAATGCGAGGAGGTCCCGGGTCATGCCTGGGTCCACGCAGCTGTGTGCCGTGCGTGGCGGGATGTAGCACTGGGAACCCCCAGAATGTGGCGTAAGGTGAGTAGACGGTTTTCTTGACTTGGGATAGGGCTCGCGAGCGCTCAGACTCGAAGGTCATGCACGACGCCGTCGTCGTCGTTGATCCCCCTCTCCCGCTATGGCACGTCCTTGTTTGTAGCCCGTAACCTCCGGGCGTGGCTGATGTGGCCGCCACATTCCGTAGCCTCACCTGGCCCAGCCCGATTTTTCTCAAAAAAATTTTAACCAGAGCGAACTGACGCACCATCCCCAGATCCGCCTCGTAACGGACGAAACCACCTCACCCGACGTTCTCCGCCTGTGGCTCGAACGCGCGGGCCCGACGATTCCTCTAGACATCGAGATATACCTTCGCGCACAGCGCACGCCTCTCGCACCGTATCGCTCCCGCTCCCCGTCGCCCATTCCGAGCTTTGCCCCCCCGCAAGCGGACCCAGCAGGTGCCGTAACATACGTCCACGGTGCGGCAGGAGGGGGCCCCATCCAAGTAATTCCGATACCGCAAGGGCCCGTTCATCCGACACATCCTGGGTCCCCGCCGCCGACGCCCTCCACAGCCCGCGGTCGCTCTCGCGGCCGCCACGATGACCACTGGGGTCATATCGCCTTTTTCTACCTGGTGGAGCAGATTCACCGCTGGGAGAGGTTCTTATTCCGATTCGACAAGCACTTTACCTCCATCAGCGCGCTCAAGTCCATCAATAGTGAGCTCGCTTTGTCCAGTTGTTCGATACCTCATCACTGACTCTGTATTATCCAGAGAATGCACCGTTGTTGAAGGAATTCGAGGTGTCGTGTGCCAACCCTGGGTTCTTCGGTGATTGGACGTGGATAGCGACAGATATCAACGCCCCCGTGAGGTTTACACGGCTGCAGGCGTTGACCTTGCAATACATCCCTTTCCATTGGTCATCCCCTATCCTCAGGCACAACCTCACTTCGCTGAGCATCCGCGCTCTGCCCAACCCGCTGAGTCTCGACCGGATACTGGGCATAATCACAGCGAACCCGGCGCTCGAGAAACTTGCGCTTCATTTCAACCAGGTACTCCCGCCAGTCTTGCCGCTGAACATGGCCACGCTTGTCCATCTGAAGGACCTGACGCTCGGCGGGCATCATCACTTCTCGATCCTCGCTGACCACCTGATTACGCCGTCCCTGACACGCCTCGCACTCGATATCGAAGCGCGCGACCCCATTGAGGATACCATCACCAACCTGCTGGCGCGTTCGAACAACCCGCCGCTCACGCACTTTGCGCTCGCGTACGCAAACAGCGGGTCGTACTACTTCTCTGGCTCCATCGTCAGCTGGGGTTTCCTTGCGGACCTGCCGTTCCTGAAGTCACTGAAGGTTGGTGGCGCGGCGTTCGAAACGTTCCTGATGACACTCGCGAGTCCGGACGAAGACCACAATAACCAGTGGATATGCCCCGGCCTCACCACGCTCGGGTTGAAGAGCTGTCACGGACACCAGGACGGCCTCGGGAAGCTCGTACAGCTGATAGACGCGCGGAATCCCGAGGGCGGCGGGGTCGGCCCCGTGCATGCGGGTGTGAGCCCCGCGAGGCTGAAGAAGTTGGAGATCCTTGAATGCGTTCCTCTTGGGCAGGATATCGTGAGCTGGCTGAAGAGGCGCGTCGACAGGGTGATCTGGGCGGAGCCGCCGTACGACAGGGCCAGTGGAGTTCAGGGAGAGTATCTTGATTACTGACGGGTCTTGGGCTGTAGATGTTCTGACCCGCCGAGCCCGCCGTACTACATGTGAACGTGAGAAGAGAATGGGAAGAATTCGGACTGGCTTGTAATGATGCCTCGCGGGTGGAATGTATTGCTTTTGGGACGGGAACAAGTAGCTTACTGATGTTTTATTTCTTGTGTATAGCGTGTACTGCATTGCTTGTGCTCTTCTTCTTGTTTCCGTAGACACTCCATTGGTTGCTTACGTGTTTGTGAATACTGTAGCTCTTGCAATCGTATTGGATACTAGCTTGTATTCTCCCACTATCAGCGGGCCGGGGGCTTGAGTCGCCTCTGGTAAGAACAGGACGTTCATTAGATTAACGCCTGCGGGCAGAGCATACAGTTTGTTCGAGAACAATGGATTCCACTACATCCCGCTGTTGGATGTAGCCCGGGCCGCAGGGATGGAACTCGTAAACCTTGAGCGCTATAAACGGGGATGCACATGGAAATACATGGTAGCTTCAATTGACCAAGGCAGTCTAAAGCCTTGGGTACCAGCAACGCATGAGCTTGGATCGTAGGGTCTGGACATCACTATATTCGCCCTCATCAAGCTGACGGCGTACCGCTCTATGTTCTCCATGTTATAACCTAACTTGAAGGGGTTTTCTTTGGTCTTCCGTAGAATCGCCGATCCGTTTCTTGGATCACAGTGCAGTTTTGTTTCTGGGACGCATGCCAGCAGGACCCAGGCATTGGGAGACGTACGACGCATAGGCCATCTTATTTGTCAGAATGCTTCAGAGCACGGACGATCTGTATGCGAGAGGCACCTCCAGAAGCTCCTGAGGCCAACATTGCACTTGTCAACTTCGAAGTTGAAGAGTTGGGCCCAGCATGAGACTTGGCCAAGATTCGACTAACCAACTAAAAGAGGTCCCAAGCCGAGTCACATCGCCAGGAGGCTGCAATGCGTGCTGTAACATCCAGGTACTCGCCGAAATCCATGTATAAAGTAGACCGCACACTGGCAAGCACGCTCAGATCCCAACAGCTCGGGCCCGAGGTTTGATTAGGGAGATCGACGTTCGGTTAATGTTAACGTCCAGCAAAGGCTTCGCTATTGAGGCGAAATTAAATGTCAATAATGACGAGCCAGCGGTGAGGAGACGAGAGCTGAAGGGTGTAGAATACCTGTAAGGCTGGAGCTCAAGCTCACGACGGGACAAAGGATGGGACGCGTGACGTCACGCGTTACCTCTACTCTAAGTACTCTCCTCTACTTTGCCTTACGACAACGCTGTCCCGGTAATGTAAAGTCCTGGTCCTAGGTCATTGTCAACCTCGCAGTGTCTCTCAGGTGCTTACTGAGGCGGACACAGCCTAATGAATGAATTTCCAGGGATTACCTTAGCCCTCCACAATCCGCTCTGTCTGCGTTGCGGTATAGGCACCTTTCCATGTAACGACCAGGTCTGGCGGGCTTGGTGCTCAAGAAATAGTGCTGCGATGAAGACATTGCCAAATGGTCGATGCCTTTTGTAGCGGTCGATTCATGGGTATTGACTTTGCCTACCATTTAATCGGTCATACGGCGAATGTTATCGCAATAGGATGTGCTGGCGGCCAAGGAAGGTCATCGGCCAATTGTCGTGTCATTCCTCATCTATCCTCTGTCAATCAGCCGTCTGCACTGGTGATTCTCGGAGGTTTTTGCTCGAGAGGAAGAATGTGTAGGCCGCCAGCTCAAACAATTGGGATGGTATCTATGATCTGTCAGAATAACCGCTTCATGATACTGCGAGAGTGAGTTTTTTCTTTCTCCATCTGGTCCTCAGGCTGGGCCGCACAACCTACTCTGCGAATCTAAGTGCCGATTATACTGACGGATCACCATCTGGGATGCTCGATGTACCGCCGACAAATGCATGTTCGGTTGCTTGGACGGCTAAGCCCAACTCGACCGACGTAGGTGGCCCATCATCAAACGTTTGTTAAAGGAATAGAACGGCACTATCCTGTGCGCGACCTTGCGGTCTTCCCCGCTTATTACGACTCCTGCACGAGGATGTGATGTGGCACGCAGAGGTCAGGGGCGTAGCGGTCCGTGTGGAGCGGATACCGCTGCGATCTCTGGAACATTGCAACTTGGATTATTGCCTCTCGATACTCCTGCGTCCTGGGTGCAAGCGGGTTTCACTAGCGCCTGGTACGTCCAACACAGACCCTGCCATAGCGCTGCCCTTAATTCAGTCGTTCCGGTGCTGCCTACCGACGATGTTCCTGACTTCACATTGGTCATGAATTCCAGGTTAGTGGCTTGGATCAGACAGCGTAACGCTAAGCGCCGTTGTCTTTCTGTTGGATATCAGCATGCCGCCTCTCTGTCACGCCGTTCCGTGCAATTCAGCAGATTCCAGTTACGGTCCTCACATCAATTATGGCGATGAGTTCCAGGGGGTGGCTTGTGTTAGAGTCTAACATCAAACCCTCTTACTGTTTGCTTGGATACCAGCTCGCGGCTTTGCCTCTTCCAGAACTGGAGCTGCCATTACGGTCTCTCTGTCGCGTATTTCGTGGACCCATCCGTCCCTCGGGTATACTGTGGGATGAATCGCCCCTCCAACCTCCGCTGCTTAATAATGGCTCTAGCTCACCGTTGACAATTGCGGTTTAGACTCATTGCACACTCAAGGTGCGGGCCATTCTTCTCCTGAGGTGTAGAACTCTGAGAGACCGGGCGGCCATGCCTTAGTCTCCGCCTGGAAATCGCGTTTGACCGTAAACCTACTGCCTATCATCCTGGCGTATATAAAGCTGCTCTGTCGACTCTCACCATCCATCCGCTCAATCCACTCTCGTATTACACTCTCCTTCCTCAATACTCAGTATTCGCAGCAAGAACAACATGTTCATCTCTGTCGTGCCTGTCGTCTCCTTCCTCGCTGTCATGGCCGGCTTGGCCCAGGGCTCACCCACCGAGTTCACCGCTGTGCGACGCAACGGAACCGACCTGGACAAGCGCGTTAACAACGCTCGCATGACTTATTACAACGTTGGACTGTAAGTTCTCTGCGCGGGTCTACCTGCGGTGGCTGAACTTGAAGATGTTTTGAAGCGGGGCTTGCGGGATCACCAACCAGCCTACCGATTTTGTAAGCAATCTGGTCTGTTACGCATTGGAACGGAATTGATGTATAGAATTCCAGGTCGTAGCGTTGGACGCAACTGTGAGTTACCCAGCGACGCTTCCAATATCCGAACAACGCACTGACTGTCCTCAGGACTTTGGGTCTGGCTACCCCGGCCCGCACTGCTTCCAGCACATTTCCATCACCGCCAATGGGAAGACGGCCACTGCCGAGATCGTCGACAAGGTTCGCAGTCTCCTCCCTTTTCCTCTTTTCGACACCTCATGAATCTCGTACCCCTGTTAGTGTCCCGGGTGCCCTGTTGGTGGGCTTGACCTCAGCGAGGGCCTGTTCAGTTTCTTCGCGCCTCTCAGCACTGGTGTCATTTACGGTTCGTGGAACTACGTCTAGATGGCGGAGGGGATGTAGCCCGGCGAATTCGAGTCAAGCCGAACGCAGGTCGTTTTGGACGCGGCGTTCCTGAATTACCGGATAGTAGTGGTTGATGATCTACACATCCCGCGAAGCTCATTTCTTGGTTATAATGTATAGTAGTCTGCTTGTCGTTGTACCGATCTGTCATGTGTGTAAATGAAACATCAAATGGATGATGGTTCTACTCCTAAATAGCTCCCGCGTTAAATGAGAAGTCATAGATTAACCCTTTCGTTCCTAACGGAGTCAGCGTACTTCCCTTAGATACAGCAACGCACAGTGCGGCGAGGGGGTACATAGCCACGCTATGAATACGTGACGTCACGCGCAACTTGTCATTTGACCAGCGATTCTGATTCTAAGGCTGTGTTTCCCCCCTTCAAGTTCTCCCTTAGGACTGGAAGGCCCGTATTTACTACTAGCAAAACTCCTCAATCCCAAGCCTGCTCATGTTTCTGCGCCTTTCGCTCGGGACCACTGTTTCACTTTCGCACCGAATCATATCATGACGCTTTGCCAATGCTCTGACGGGAATGCACTCACACTGGCAGGGATTCGATTCATCTGCAGGCGCTCGCTGGCACTAGCCCATCCCAAGACTCAGATGGATATCGTCCAGAACTCATGGGTTCAAACATAGAATATGATACTGTCTGCCATCTCTACCCCTCCATTCCACCATGGCATTGCATGGCTGACTCTCAGACATGTCAAAAACATGAGGGGGGAGGGGGGCACCACTATCTCATTCCCCCGGCGAACGGCTTTGGCAGGACGACCGCTTAGAATACCCTCGAACTGGCTTGTTTCATTCTCCATTTGGCCTTAGGCCGCACAATGTACGCTCAGAGTCTGAAAGTATGATTGTACCAATGCATCACCGAGCGGGGTCCCCGACGTGCCGTCCAGGATGTGTATTCGGTTGCCCGGACGTCAAACCAAACAAACTGTCGGACTAAGGGAAGGCGCCCGGTGATCATCATCTTGCAAAGGCTCGAGGATGCGAACTATGCGCCACCATTTTTCTCCCTTCTCTTTCTTACTGACAATTTGATGTGGCATGCAGTGATGGCGTAGCGCTAGCGTAGGCTGGCACTGGTCAGGGATTGCAACCCCATGGAGCGGACACTGCTATGTATTAGGTCTCTGGGACATCGCATACTGGACCTCTCGATCGAGCTGTCGCTAGTGCTACTTAGCTCGGTCGGGTTTCACTAGCGCCCAACGCGGGGTGCATCCCGTCATCCAGCTGCGCTCAACGCAGTAGCTTTCGGCCCTACCTGTTGACCGGGTTCCTGATATCAATTCAATACGGGCGATTAGTTTGAGGGCGGTGGGTCGGTTCAGAGAAGGCAATGCTCGTCGCCGTTGTCTTTCTGATGAACATCAGGCGGGCCGCCTCAGCCTAATGGTGCCCGCGCAAATCAGCAGTGTTCACGATGGCAATCCTGGCATCAATGCTGGTGGCGACTTCCAGGGCTGTGGTTTGTGTAAAAAAGCGTAACGTTAAGGGGCCTAGCTGGTGTCTCCTTGAATCACGAGCCTGCCGCCTTACCTCAAGGACCCGTGGCGATGAATTTATGGAGCGGTTTCTTGGATGTATGCGACATCAGCGAGCGTGGCACGCCCGTTTCCCTAGACCTCAATTTGCATCGGAACCCAAAACCTCTCTGTCGCGCATTTCGTGGCCCATTCACCTCAGGTGTATAGTGGATCGCTCCTACGACTCTCAATGCTTACGCGCTTACGAATGGAATTGAGCTCCGCGATCACACTTTGCCTTATATTCGCTGCACCCTCGTTAAGCCAAGTGTGGCTGTCGTGCACGGTGAACTGCGAGAGACCCGCGCGCCAACTCTATGGGCACGTTCGGAAATCGCATCTGGGAAGAATTTCGAGAACTAAGCCCTACTGCCTCTGACTCTGGCGTATACGAATCAATTGCGGAGAAACTTCAAACAAATCATCACTCATCCCTTCAATTTATGCAACCTTTCTAATGCTCAACACTCGTCCCAAGAACAAGCTTCAAGACATGTCCCCAGTGCCGCCCCCTTCCTCGCCGTCATAGCAGGGTCTTCCCAGGCCCGCGAATCGAGCTCACGCCATCCGACGCAATAGGACGGAGTTGGAGAAGCGGGTCAGCAACACTTGCATGACTTATTACAACATCGGACTATAAGTTGTCCGCGTACGGTAGCTGAAAACGTTATGCAGCGGGACTTGCGAGGTCACAAACCAGTCTATTGGCTGTGTAAGTTAATCAGGTCTGTTACGCATTTCAACGGTATTGATGCATGCAATTGCATGTCGTAACTTTGGACGCAGCGGTGAGTTTATGATAACCGAAAACCGAAGCTCCCAATGTTCCGACGACGTAACTTGAATACCGCCTGTAGGAATTCGGGTCTGGCTACGCCGGCCCCCACTGCTTCGAGCGCATCTCCATCACGGCGAATGGGAAAACTGCCAGCGCGGAAATCGTGGACAAGATTCGTTCGCAGCAGTCGCCTCTTCCTCTATTTTTATATTGTTTCCGGGTTGAACTTGCGATATAAGCTGACTGAACTGTAGTGCACCGGGTGCCCAGTGGGCGGACTGGACCTCACCGAGAGCCTGTTCATTTGCTTGGCGGATACTTTTATACGTGGATCGTGAAACTACATTTCGAACGAGGCGGGAGGTTGTAGTGGATTGATGTGAGCACGGGGTCTGAAGTCTCCCTAGTCTTACATGGACATAACATCTAGTAGCAGGTCCATTCAACGATTGTACTGAATTATAGTCGGGCACCCAGTCTGTAATTCTTTCTGTTATGTAGCGGGGATTATTGTGCGGGTGATGCAATTGGGCCGGACCGTTCCGAATCCATTGTCTTGTTTCTTACTGATAGCGTTCCACGGAACCTCAGGAGATGGGTGTTCCGTATCACCAGAAGGCTGATATATATACTGATCAGGCCGAATGAAGTCCAACCCCTTCATGCAACAAGCTGACGGGCCCCACGTCCTGAATGATTCAATGTTGCTCTGTGATACGAAGAGTCTTCGGGATGGGGAAGCGGCATAGCCTTTACAAAAACCACCATGTCTGTAAGAGTGTTTCGATAAAATATCCCGCGGCGCTTTGTGGCTTAAGATTAAGAACCTCCAGATAGGACGTGTAAGTGTCTTGATAGGCCGCATACACTCGATATCTAATCTTTCTGTGCTAGGACTCGGTGGTATGATTCCCCGGCCGGAACATACGGTACTGGTAGTTGAGAGCACAGAAGGCAGTTGTTCCCTCGGAGACTGAGGTGGTATCGCTCGTAAGAAGCCAGGCCCAAGACTAATAGCAAGGAACCACTGCCATGTATGCATGTAGTCTAAGTATATACGAGCCTATGACGGTTGATAAGGCCCCAGTCCAATCACAGGTAGATGCGATACGTCGTGGGAATACGTGTAATACCTCCGCGAATCTCTCGCGAATGAAATCGCTGCGGTACGGCTCAGCTACCAACTTTTATTCAAACAGCATATATATCTGGTCTCGAACATCGTACGCAGTGCCACAAACCTCGTCGTTTTTGTATCAGGTACAGGTAGAGCTTACGCTACCATAACTTATGAGGTTGCTGGGCTTCTGGTTCGGGACGAAGCCTAGGCGGTTTCTTTCTAGCTTACCGCCGTATAGACCTCTATATTACGCCAGGCTTCCAAATGATGTGATGCACATTGTCACCTGTCACTGGTACGAGGGACGATATATATGAACACTGCACCTCTGCAAAGTTCTAAGGACGCATTCCTCAGAGCCAATCACGTCCTCAATGCGTTGGCCCCCCGTAACGGTGAGAAGTTGACCAGCTGGCGTAGAATTGTTGGCTCCACTAGACTGCGGGATTGCTGATAGATATGATCATAGGTCGACTCGGATTGTTTCCATTGACAGAACTGATTCGGCCAATCGTCAATGCTTCCCTTACCTTGCAGTGACGGGCAGGGAAGATATATTCGGAACATACAACGCGGAGCGAAGTTTTACGCCCACGTCCAGAGGCTGCCAGTGCACTCCCCTCCGTCCTAGCGGACGCGTATCGCTGGGCCCATGCCGAATAGGTTTGAGGTATCGGTCCCGGGCCTGACCGCAGAGCAAGATACTCAGCTTCAGATCACCCGTTATGTATACGTAGCCACTGTCACTGTGAGGCTTTCGATGTATTCATCAGGTGCACGGCTCCATGCTAACAAAGTTTCCCTGGTACGCAGGCTTTTGTCTATGATTTCCTGTTGTCACTGCATGAAGAGGTCGCGCTCATGCAGTACAAGGTCAACATTGCCACCCTAGTGTACTGGATCTCCAAGTCAGTGGTTTCCCAATACATAGGTATCACGCTCTGTATTGACCACGGCCATAGATTGACAGCGGGCGGATTTATAACCACCACCATGGTCCTCTTGGGTACGTAACTCCCGCCTTTCCTTCCGCACGTACAGCCTAACACCGCGATGCTGATCCTACTCCAGTCTACCCAGTCGGCACCTCCTCTCAATGCCAAGCCGTGCAGGAAGCCCTCGGCTGGTGCTACGTTGTCGCCGCGCCCTCCGCCGCGCTCCTCTTCTACTTCCGTATCACTGCCATCTTCGCCTTCCATCGCCCGGTCGTCTTATTCTTCTCCTTCTTGTGGCTCGGGGTCGTCGCCGGCGCCTTCACCGTACCCTTCTCCGTTACCGTCGCGCAGATCGGCGAGACGCGGCGGTGCGTGGACGTGGACGTGGCGAGCTACAGCTCGTCCACGGTGATTATCAACTGGATCAACGATACCCTGATTTTCTCGGCGATTACGTGGAAGCTGCTAAGCTCGTCGATGGTGGAGCAGACGTGGAAGGGAAGGATGCGCTCGTTCGTGTCCGGCGCGGGGTTCTCTGAGCTCACCAGGGCCGTCCTCCAGGGCGGGCAGATGTACTACCTGTAAGCATGCGCACCTCCCTTCCAGCTCTATCTCGTATTGAACGTCCCTCAGCGTGACGGTCGGCTTCAACATCGTCACCATCATCGGCCTGCTTGCGCCCATACCGGCCACCTTCCACGCGCTTTTCACTGTGCCGAACCTCGCGCTGCAGAACGCGATGGCGTGCCGCGTCTACCGGCAGCTCAAACTCGGGATTATCCGTCAGCGGACCGAAGACCAAGTGGCGACGACGCAGTTTGAAGAGACACATCTGTCGTTTGCGCGGACGAGGACGTGGTGGGGGAGGGGAAGGGGGCCCGCAGGGAGGAGGAGGGAGGAGTTGAGCTTCCCGCTAACGACGTTTGGTGAGGGGGACGTGCGGTCGGTGAAGATCCAGGTGACGCGAACGCAGGAGGAGGATGTGAGTTAGGGTGAGGCGCAGTTGTATTTGTATGGACTAGGCGGAGTAAGATATATCTTATTTAATTGGCTTATGTACCGCTATGCTGTCACATTGGGTATTGTAATGAGTTCATGATCATGGAGAGCCTGGGTGTTCGTCTTGTTGAGGCTCCTGGGCGAAGGAAACACTCTGCATTCCACTCCGGCTCGTGGCTATTCGCCACAACACACTTAAGAGCAGATGGCTGGGATCCAATCAACCAGCGTCGTACATCCGTTTACTCGTACAAACACCAGCCACCGAGGAAGGCTACAAAAGACAAGACAGCAAAACATTCAAGCAAGCCCCATCCCTCAACTATCTCTCGGCGTCAACATCGCCTCGGTGCACCCTTCCTCCGGGATAGTCGTGAAGCTGCCAATCACCCGCTTAATCAGAACCCACTGCTCGCATTGATCACAATGAACGGATGGAAAACAACACTCACAAATCATACAACGTGACAGGCTGGTCCTTATGCGCAGGCCGGACCTCGTAGAGGCGGAAGAAAGCCGCAAGGTAGATGTATATCTCCGCCGTCGCTTAAGTTCGTCATCCCGTCAGCGCATCTGCAACCAGGCGAAAGTCAAGCGAAAATGCGACGCACCCATCGTCTGGCCGATACACGACCGAGGGCCCTTGCTGAAGCTGACCAGCCAGCTCTCGAGCGTCTTCGAGATCCCGCCGTCTTCCGAGTCGTCGAGCCATCGCTCGGGGCGGAAGGTCTCGGGCTCGGGGAAGAGGGACGGGTTCATGTGGACCGCGGTCGCGCTTGAGCCGACGACAGTCTGCATCATGGCGGATGAGGACTCCAATAAGTCACTTGAAGGGGGGAAATGGACGTACGCCAGCGGGGATCTGTGCCCCCTTGAATTCCCATCCCCCTTGCCCGACTACCCTCGGCAGATCGCCTGCAACGGGGAGGGATATCCGCAGGCATTCGTACACGCACGCCTTATAAGCCGCGCATACGTGAGTCAGGTATCAGACCGCTATACGGAGACTTACGGAGAGGTACGGCAGCTTCTCGAGGTCGCTCCAGTGCGCGGTTAGGATTTCGCTTTTGGTCGGGTACGCCTGCTGCAGCTCGTGGAAGAGCTTTTCCTGGATTGCGGGGCTACGTGCGAGGTACGAGGAGCCGACGGAGAGGGTGATGCCTGTGCGCGTGTTTAGTGCCGCGCCAGGAGGGGAGTAGGAAGGCGACGTACCGGCAGTGTCCCCGCCCGCGCCGATGTACGTCGCAGCCTCCCCGCAGAGCTCGTCGTCCGAGAGTGGGGAGTTCGTGTCGAAGTGGTAGGCAAAGAGGACGGGGTATTTATGCTGTGTGCCGGTGTGAATTTAGTAAGCGATGATGGAGGGAGGGGAGGGGGCTGACATCGCGTGTGCTGGTGCGGTAGCTCTCTAGTGCGTTGATTGCGGACTGCCCGAAGGGTAGGTCGGGAATGTGAAGGTTAAGAGGGATTGATGGATGGTGTGCTTACCTGCTTGAGGTCCCTGATTCGAGAAGGGAAAGATCGAAGGAGCATGAGGAATGAAAGGAGACAAAGGGGACAAAGGGGACGTACGAGTATCCACGCTGCCAGTATGGCTTCATCCAACGGGGGAGGTACTCCAAGAAGCGTATAAACATTGGGAAATACAACCTCTTCGGTTATCGTCAACTCGCGTCTTCTTACACACTTCTAAGTAAGCAAGCGGACTCACGAAACACAGCCCGCTCGCGTATTCATCGTACACACGAGTCGGCACCGCCTTGAACTCCTCCGCGTCCAGACACCCCGGGCTCGCGCCAAAGCTGAACTGGCCCGCGGTGTCAAATGTCAAACACCGGAACGAGTCGAACAGGGTGACGCTTTTGCCTCTGGGCAGGGCGTCCAGATGGGAGATAAAGGCACCGAGCTTCTCGTGGAAGAGCGGCTCGAGCGCGGTGATAGTCTGCCGCGAGAAGAGGGAGAAGGCTTGTTTCCGCAGGGGGGCGTAGAGGGCGGGGTTGGTGTGGGTGAAGGAGTTTTTGACGTTCATGGGGAGCTGGGTACGAAGAAATTGAAAGGGATGGGATGCGTGAAGGGGTTAGGGCGCATGCGTACCTCGAATGCGCTGTAGAAGTCAGGCTCTTTGAGGAACTTCTGGTTGATGTAGATATCCTAGAGGGGAGTTATGTATCTGGGATGTGCAGGATCACGACGCTGGGCACCTTGTATGCATCGGGGCTACAGAGCCAGTAATCAGGTTGAGGAGCGAGTGCCAGAAGTAGGGTGTGAAGGATGCTTACTCCCAGAAACTCAGTTGGTTCGGCCCTATCCTAAGTATCGGTGCCCCAGTCTTCCTGTGCAGCTCGCGCAGCGTCTTAGACATCGTCCCTCGTTTCTTCTGCAGGACCTGCCACCATATGGTAGCTGCCGCGATTCTGGGGCCGGGATACGAGGAGAGTGGGGAGAAGTATATCGACTTCACATAACTGTACCTGGAAGGGATTCGATACAACAGTACTGTTAAGCAAAGCTACAAAGCTGTTTTTGACTTACAATACATAGATGAGCAGAACCGAAAGCCCCAGGACAGGTGTGGACAAGTGGAAGGCATTGACAGAGGGAACAGAGAGTCTGTTCATGGTGGCAGCGGGCGAGCAAGCTTCAAGCCGAGTGCCGGTCTAAGTGTTCTTGAATGTGCCCGTGTATAGATCTGGCATGATGGACATCATTCGGTACGTTCGCATGACAGGGACCTGTTGATCAGACTGCACAAATCAGTACGAAAGTTAATCATGATTGCATACCGCGGCGCCTGATAGGCCTTCGGTGAGAGGACGCTTGAGTTGCCGGGAGATTGTCCGATCGGGGTAAATGCTATGGAGAAAGACCTCTCCAATCATTCAGGCTGAGCAGCAAGACGCCATTTATCCTCCGGATTTCCGCCCATCAATGTCTACACAGAGGTGGAAATTTGTAATATGAATCACCCAGTCTGAGTCTCGACTCGCTAAGTACGCAGGTGTACCCGCGTAACCGTGTCTGCTATAGGCGGTAGGAATGGATTTTTGCTTCCGTCTCAGGCGTTCTTTCCCAACCCCAAGTTGGTGCCTGATATCTGGTGTAATCCTCAGATGATAACAAATCACCAATAACGTCACCAGTCTGGCAAAGCAACCAGAACCCGTGTGAAGGCATGAATCGGAGTATACCAGGTCCTAAAAGCAGAAATGATTCAAGTGACAAGTCGCCACGGCGGGGAAATGTGCACATGAAAGTCTGGGGAACTGTTGGCGATGGAGACAGTGTCCAGTATACCTATTATGGTAAAGCAGTTGCCTAACGGGGTAATAGCAAAGTGACGAGGTCCTCTGGCTCACTGCTTTTCACATTATTCAAGTTGGGACTCCCAGTCAACTATGGAAAGAAAAGGCAACTATCAGCTCCATCAAGCCTTCTTTTGTCGTATCTCTTTAGTCCTCTCGACCTTCCGTCTGTTTATGAAAAGAGTAGCCTTGAAGACACTTGCGACTGGCCTACTATTGGAAAAAATCATCCCTGAGCAAGTCCTTTGCTGCCAAGCATCTGCAGCATTCTTCAAGTAACCCGCGATTTGTTGTCGCTTTGTGTTTTATCGCCCCTTTCGTTGGTCTTCCACAGACTGGACTCATTTGGACCTACACATCCGCCCCAAACAACTGGCAACACCGGGTATGGCCGACCTTTTCAATCTCCGACGGCTCTGAATGAGCCGACTTTGGTTTTCCCAGCTCATCCTCTCCCAGCCCAAGGAGGACGGACTAGAGCCGAGTACATGCCTGGTATCCCCTACCGATCAGTCCCGTAATGACTGGAACGAGCTCCTACTACATCACCCCCTACCAGTACCAGCCTCCTCCCCAGCAATATGCCCCCGCCGCGTCTTTCCCCCTGCCACGCGTCTCGTCCCAGCCGTCGTCTCTCGACATCCAGCACGCGCTGCCGCCCATAGACCAGCTCCCGCCCATCTCTTCACCGCCGCGAGAACAGCACGATGCGGGGGTCAGCTCTGTCCTCGACTCGGGGGTCAATACCGGGATCGATGCGGGCGACGACACCCCGGACGATGTGCGCCGATGCTCGGTGAGAGGGTGCAACACGCCGCTGCAGCCCGACTACAAGCCGAAGATGTGCGAGAGCTGCCGCAGCCGCCACCGTCTGTACGCGACGACGAAGCGCGCAAAGCGCAAGCAGGAGAAGGCTGCGCTCACGGGCAACAACGGCCAGCCAGTCGGGTGGGTCATGGAGGGACCCGAGTCTCAGACGCAAGTGAGTTGCGCTTCCAGTCTACTATCATTTGACCCATATATGCGGGTCCACGGGATCGTGATTGATTCTGAACATCCTCTCGCATAATCCATACTCTCCAATAACCCTTTTTTACATCTGAGGAAGGGCATGGGTTATGGGAGAGTGACCGTATCTCCGAGACATCGGGAAGGAACAGTGCTGGGATAGTGCGAGTGTGAGCCATTTGATACTGAATATCCTCTCTCACAACCCATACTTTTGGGCTTCCGCGGTTAAGAGAGATTCCACCGTATATTCGCCGCCGCTGCCTCGACCGCGGGCACATTTCCATGTTGGGCGGCATTGTGCTGCGCGATACAAGGAAGCCTTCATACATTTGATGAGTTCCCATCGACCATCCGTTGGATGTTCGACGACAAAGACAGGGTGTGCTGGGTCCGCGCATGGCCAGGTCCCAACTACAGCTACCCTAGCATGTGCTGGGAATCTAGGACATGTACGGTGCGCCAACGTGCAGCCAGAGGGCCATTGTGACTCCCATTGTGTTCCAACAGTCCGTCCTCTGATTCGGCGCTGGAATTCGGACATCGGCCGGATGGACAGGTTGCCTGCTGCATGGAATCCATTGTCTGGGAGTCTGTCTACAGCTAGGTGCGATTCCAGGGGGATTCAATGGAAGTCCGACTGGCGGTGATTTCCAAGGAATCTCTAGCACACAGCTGGAGGGCTGCACATCTGAATCCATCCTAGTGAATGTGACGTTGCCGCAGGAGACGAAGTCAAGTCCACTCGTCCCAGTACTGTCCTGGCGTTATTGCTTCCCAATATCCTCCTTGTCTCTGCGCGCTACATAACTAACCTTATTCTACGGACAGGTCGAGAACAGCGGCAGGCAGAGCGAAGTAAGGTTTGTATGTGCCACTAGCGAAGTATCCTAATCTAAGCATGTAGAGCGTCGCCAACGAACAAGTCCAACAGCAGCACCAGAACCAGCAACATCAGTACAGCTTTCCACCCCCCTCGCAATGGGCCCCAAACAGCATCGACCCGCGCCTACACCTCGGGCCCCCTGCGTCGAGCTCCTCGGAGCTCGCGGGCGCGCTCAGCCTCCCGCTCCTCAACCACGCACCAACCCAAACCCCGTCCCAATCCGAGTCGCCCGACCCGAAGCCCGCGAGCGCGAGCCCGCAAATGGCGGCGCCCCCAGGGCCCCTGCAGCCGCTGACGGGCCCGCTGCGCTACTGCTCGGTCAAGGGCTGCAAAGCGGTGCTCCCACCGTCGTATTTTTTCAAGATGTGCGAGCCGTGCCGCGGCAAGTACCGCGGGTACGGGACGACGAAGCGCGCAAAGTGGAAGCGCGAGCGCGTGGAAATGAAGCCGGAGCTGGACAAGCTGCGCGCGGAGGAGGACGAGAAGCGCAAGGCGGCGGGCTTGCCGGTGAGTGTCCTCGGTTTCGTCGAGGGAAGAGACCACCGACGCTGTGTTATTCCAGCCCATCTCCGAGCTCCCGTCGTCCCGCAGACAAGACTGGGAAATGAAAGTGCTCAACCGGCTGCAAACAGGCAACCCCGGGGCGCCCTCCCCGCATTCGTCCGTCTCGCCCTTTGCGCCCGCCTCCCCGCTACCCGCCCTCAACGCCGACCCGAGCAACCCGCCGGTGAAGATGTGCACGGTGTCGCACTGCCACGCGATCCTGCCGGGCGACTACAAGTACCGCCGGTGCGAGCAGCACCGGCTGCAGAACCGATACCACAGCAAGCTGAAGCGGGTAAGGGAGAAGGAGGTGAAGGGCCAGGGCGAGTGGAGTGGGAGCGGGGCGGTCTCGGTTGAGAGGGAGATGACGAAAGGGGAGGAGGACGGGGAAGGGGAGGAGGATGGTGAGGGTGAGCAGGAGAGGGAAGTGAGCGAGGAGGGGCAGGGACGTGTGCAGCCGGGAACAGGAGAAGCGCCTGAGAAACCCGTCCAGGCTCCCACCGACTCGCCCCAGCCCGTGAGTGTCCTGCCTGCCTCACCGTGTCCATCTTACGTATGATTTCCACAGGCCGCCGCCCCGAGGTCGACGCGGGGCATGCAACGCACGAATAACGTCTGCTCAGTGAAGCTGTGCCACAACCTGCTGGGCCCGACGGTGCCCTGGAAGATGTGCGAGCAGTGCCGCGAGAAGGATCGACAGACGCGGCTGAACAAGGGTAAGACCCTGCGCGCGCGGAAGCGGAAGAGCTTGGGGGACGAGGAGGACAAGGTGGAGGAGCCGGGCCCGGTGTTCACGAACTTGCTGCTGCCGGATGGGACGGTTATAGACCAGGTGCGTGGGCAGATTTTGCGCTGGGTTGCTTAGAGGCTGAGAAGTTGCACCGCAGCCTACGCAGTCCGTGTCGGGGGATAAGCGCTGGCAAGTGCAGACGGGTGATCCGTCGCAGGTTCCGAAGCGGAAGCGTCGCAAGGCGGTAAACCCGACACCTGTGGATAAAGACCAGGACAGCGCGAGCACGAGCCAGAACAATGCTAGTGCGTCCACGTCTGCTTCAGTTGCTCCCGTCACCACCGAGCAGCAGACTACGCACCCTGCTCCGGCATACCCCTACACTCCGTATCCGATGCCGTATTACATGCCCACGTATGGGATGATGCCGCCCTACGGTCACGCGCCGTATGGCGCGCCCCAGCCATACGGGCAAGTAGCCTATCCTCCCCCTCCTGCCGGGAGTCCCCCGCAGGGATCCCCGCCTGGACAACCGTCGTACCCTCCTTACCCGCCGCCATACTCGTATCCCTATGGGTATCCCCCGCCTCCACCTCCACAGCAGGCCCCGTACCCGGGCTATCCCCCGTACCAGCCCATGTACCGCCCGTATCCTCCACCCCCGCCACCGCCAACTCAAACCCAGCAGCCTGCGTACGCGAGTGGGACGCAGCCGTATGGGTCGATGGCGAGTAATGCGGGGGGGAATCCTGCGGGCCCCAGTTATTTCGGGTCTTTCTCTGTCAAGCCGGTGCCCGGGCAGGCTGAGGTGTGTTTTCTTTTTGTATGGATCGTGGTTGACGTACGGGTGCTGACCTATTTGTTAACAGTCACAGAGTGTCATCAAGTTCGCAAGTCAGACTCGCAAGAGCAAGAAGGATGGAGCGGACGCAGACCCTGGTGCTCAGTCGAGCACGTCTGATCCTGCTGTCACTGCCGAAGTTTCCACACCTGGGCAGACGTCGCTCATGAACGTCTGGAATAGCAGGGAGCAGCCAGGCGCAGCTGAGAGTGTGCCGGATGCCGAGAGGGCTGGTCTTGCCGCGGGCAGCAGCGTCTTTAGAGTCGATACGTCACAGGCCGGACATTCAACGCATGATGCCAGCAATCGGGGAGGAGAGGTTGCTCCTTCTGTTGCTCAAGTCTCTACTTCGGTATGCCAGATAACTTTCTACCCGATGCCTTGTTAACGGCATTTTGCAGTCACAGCGACAATGTTCGAACAAGTCTTGCCATCGGATGCTCCCCGCCGACTCTCACGGTACGTTGTGCGAAAAGTGCAAGGCCCGGATGAAGAAGAAATTGGTGAAGACCAAGCAACGCCACAAGCTCGAGCCGAAGAAATTCGCTGGTGCACCGCGAGCGGAAGCCCCCGTAGATGCCGAGAGCGACCAGGACTGAGTGTGTCTGATTTTGGACAGATAAATTATTGACATGTAATTGTACACATGAACTGCATGACTACTACCGCTACTGTATCAAGTAGACTGATTATTACAGATACAACATACTGTTACAACGGTCGTGACGGGCGTGAACAGAGACGAGGCTGCATTGAGAAAGGTACGCATGAACCAAGAATTATCTATCGACTGGGACCTACTATAACCATGGAAAGATGTCATGCTCACTGGGTGGGCTCGCGTTCGTCAGCGTCGCTGAGCCTCCTGCGGCCCTCGCTCGTCGAACTCAGCCAGGCTTCGAGTCGCCTCCCAAGTTCCCCACCCCGCCCGCCACATATATCGCCGTTCGGGACCAGGAGCTTCTCTCTCTCCTTCTCTTCAGCGACAACCTTCGCTGCCAGCGGGACGCGGACGGCAACCCCGTTAACGCGCTTGAAGTTCTCGCTAAGCTTGTCGAGAGGCTTGTCGCCGACTTTAGTGTCCTCGCTCGAGGAGCCCGAGCCGGAACCCGAGGCGGCCGTCGGGGAGGACGGGGAGATCTCCTCGTCAACAACCGTAACGTTTGCACCCGAGTTAGTAGTCTGGTCTTCGGTCGCGTCCTGCCAATTCTTGAACCACTCGTCCTCCTCGTCCTCGGGGCCGAGGATACTCTGCACCAAACCTTCTTCCCAACCGTCCCATTCAACACATCGGTGAGCCATCCTCAGTCGAGCGCCAGATGCTTCGTGGTGAAGCCACTCGTTCGCTAGGCTAGCAAGGTCCATCTCCCGCTGGATGGTGCCGGCCGGTGTGACTAGGGGCACGGTTATCTTGCTTGACTTGGCTGCTGCGTCCACCGCAAAGTCTTCGACCGTTGCGCGGAATAGTCGAGCGGTGAAGGGACTTGACTGAAGAAACGCTGGGACGTGGGCTGACGCCCATAACGGGCGCGTGGTCGTTGACTCCCAGTCTATGACACAAGTCTGGGATAACGTGTCAACCCAGCAGAACCTAGCATAGTCAAGGAACCGCACTCACAATCCTGGAGGGGTCATTCTCGTCAACAAACACATTTTCCAAGCTCATATCATGGCAGTCCAGAGCAAACTCCTCTAGCACCTCACCATCTTTCCCATCAGGCGCGCCCCCACCCGGGACATCACTCCCTCCAATCCCCAACTTCTCCATCATCTTCACCCACCTTCCCATCTCCTCCCTCACCCTCTTCTCCCTCTCGACCAGATGGGCAACCAAGAACGTGCTCCGCTGCATCCTCCTATAATCCCTGTACATCGCGTCGCCGGGGCCCTCCCACTCGCCCTCGCTCTCTTCCCAGTCCCACTCGGTGCTCTCGTCGCTCGCGTCGCCGGGCACCGCGCGGATGCGGTGGTGCCGCGACGACACGATCTCATCCGGGTCGAGGTGGAGGCGGTGCGGCGCCGCCTTGCCCTCGTTCTCGCGGATGACGCCCGCGATCTCGCGCTGCGCGCACGAGAGCAGGTACGCGTGCGTGCGCGCCCACGGCCCGCGGTCGATCTCGTCGGGGTGCGCGAGGTCGCCGCGCCCCGAGCCGAAGAACGGCCAGGAGACGATCGGCCCGACGTGCACGTCTGGCTTCGCTGCGGGCTCGGCGCTGGGCGGTTTCGGTGTCGATTGCGACGAGGCGTTCGCCGGTGTCATCGTCATGCTCCGGGACAGCTGGAAGGCGGGGGCGGTAGGCGTGCGCGCGCTTGAGGAGAGGTCTGACGACTGTGGCGGCGGCCCAGAATAGAGCGAGCCCAGATGAGAGAAACGGTGCCCGAAGAGCGGAATGAGGAGGTGCGCGAGGTTATCCAAGAGCTTCCGGAGTTCCTCGTGAGACATAGAATGATAGACGCGAGACAAGGGTATTCCAGGAGCCTGTGCATCGAACCATAGTTATTGTATGGAGAACACCAGATGCAAGTGGATACAGTCAGTCACGTGATCGCTGCGGTCCAGGGAATGGACGAACGTGCCTTGGACATCAAGATGTACTCGCCCCCCAATCGATTGTACGGGTTGGCGTCGTGGTGGTAGACGTCGGGGACGGGTATCGAAGTGTGTGTGCGGAGGTAGTGCATGGTGGCGACCTCGGACTCGGTCTTGAGGCGCGGCATGAACCGACGGGCCACTCGCGCAACGAGCTCACGGCCATCAACCAGTAGAATTGAGTACGCCTGAATGAAGAAGTCAGAAGCGCAAATCGTGACTCAATGTAATGTATACGGACCTTATGAAACGTTCCTTGAGACGGCAATACAGTCGTTAGTCGGATGGAGCAAGGATAGTGGCGAGGGACGCACCTGCACTCAGGAAAACGATTCTGCCCACTTCAGTACCCATCTTCTCTTGCACGACATCCTTCAACACCCTCCTATCGACCTCAAACGGCGCTGCGCCGTGAATCGCCGCGTCCGCCTTCTTCTCCCTCTTTCTGTCTTCGTGCTCCACGTCCCAGTCCCACTCAATAACAGGCTTGCGAGCAGCCTCCTCCGCGGCGGCTGCGATAGACTTGTTCATTATGGTAGCTGTGTCCGCGCAGCCTTCATGAGCATGATAATGCATCCCCAAGCCTCCTTTCTGCTCAAACGGCGTCACCGGGACGTTTGTTCGCGAGTTATCCCTCTCTCTTGCGCCCGGACTGAAGGCGGGAGGCGGTTCGAGCGAGTTGTGCTGCAGCAGCGGGAGGAGGGGCCAAAAGAGTCTGGAAGGAAGAAGCGACGTCGGCGGAGGGCTTTATAGCGCGGGCTCTGGAATTACGAGTCGACAATCACGCACTTGGATGGCTCCAAGCCACAGCTATATTTGGCGATGTTTATCTCCGGCAGCCTCGATTGCGTCGTCTCGTAGGGACATGATGGCGGCCAACGTGACAGCACTTGGGCAGTCATTCCGACAGCAGCAAACGGTTTCACAGCTCCTTTCTGTACTCTTATATACGCTTGCGGATATAGCGTTCGACTTTATTCCACCTACCGCTCTAACTGCACGTTGTTTCCGCCTGCAGTGGGAGCTCGTCATTTTGTTCTGACTATAGCGGTACTTACACAGCGGGTCCGGGGAGAAGCGCAGAAGCATCAATACTCGATAACCCATCTCTGATCTAGATTCACCCCACGTATCTAAATACAGCGACCAGTCGGCTCTTAGCCGGTCCAGGGCCTGGCATGAACGTGCACTTGGCCCTGGATGGCACGAACTGGAGGGAAAGCAATATCGACGCCAAACGTATACGAAGCATTACTGCGTCGACGACAGAGGCGGGTTCCGAAGGTGACAAGCCTTCTACGACGCCAAGGCCGCGCGAAGAAGCGAAATACCCGCTCTTGGCTGCATCGCCCGAGCACTTCTCGTGAACGACGGAATGCTTGGGCGCAGCGCCCGTACCGACGAGGGGGGCGCGGGTGGATACCAAGAGCGGCGGCGCGCCGAATGCAGTCATCGTGATGCCATCCTCACGGCGAACCCACCCATGTCACCTCATATCACACAAGCTCGTATCTCTCGCTTCGGCGATGATGGGCGAGCCCGCGCCGCGCGCATGGAGATATGGTAGTCGGATGCCTGCTGGTGGATAGGTCAACAAACACCTTGGCGTACCTGTGAACGTCGGACGGCATCGAGGTACGCGGAAATAGCGCGGACGTTTCCCTCGTATTCAGAATGCTTCATAGCAAGACAGTCCTCCTGCAACTCCCGCACCGCTACGAGTGCAAGAGATACGGAAGGACGGATTCGCCACGGAACGTGCAATAGCGATGGAATGGTTTATTCTCCATAATCCTCCGAGGCGCCTAGGAATCGTTGTACTCACTTGGGCGGTATCCTCCGATGCTAAACCTTGCAGAGACAACTGACGAGCACTACGCGGGCGCATGACGGACCGGCGGCGCGAACGCGCACGGGGATTGAGCGGGAAGGAATACTGGAGACGTATGGCACGACCATCAACGTCGATGCCGAGCGGAATAGAGATACTCCGCCTTCACGTATAACTAGGCTTGTTGGGCGGATGGCAGACAATGAGACAGAGTCGCCGAAGATGGCCGCGTCTATAGTCGGGGGAACACGGATACGAGTCATAGATCATACTCACATTCACTAGGACATATCCAGAGAAGGGATACAAGCATCCAGCCTGGCACTGCGAAGCATGGTACAAGGTTTGATAGGTATGCGCTGGATCTAGACCAGGGAAAACAAGCGTCCTGCCAAACTCCTAAAAGGTAGAGCGACAGGTAAGGACTGCCATCAGTCGCAGAGCAATCGTTGACCGAGTCGAGTGTTCATAGAACAAGTCATTGATAAGCGGCGATAGACTTCACAGGAAGGATAAGAAGCAGGGATGGAGAACATTGACTGCGTCGAAGCACGAACATGCAAGAGCCAGCAGTCAGATCCACTAGAAGGCAGAATCGATCGTGAAGGACTTGAAGTATATCACGGGGCCTCTGTCTAGGCACGCGGTAGAGGCCAGAATCACAAACGAGGACCACGGAGCGCAGACTGAGACCAAACAAACATCGAATATGCGCTTCAGAATGCACTTTAATCGTCAAATCGCCATAGGAGAGCCTGGGCGTGTGGGTAAAGCTGAATTGCTTGGTCCACCACGACAGGGACACATTCCTTCCACTCCGCGGAAGCAAAAGCGCAAGCAATGTGTACCTGTCGGTGCAGCCCGAGCCATCCCGACCATCCCGCCCATCCGCGTCCACGGTGAGAGAAAGCGCCAAAGACCTATACAACAGAGTCGTCGTCCGAATTCGCAGGGAGTCAGCAGGTCAAAGAGGGAGAAAGCAAGGGAGGACTCGGACTCGGAGGCGGCGGGGAGCCCTTAGTATGGTTCGGCGCATGCCGGGATTCCGTTGCGCTAAGCGAGACCCGGTCCCCTCCGTCCAGACCGCCTGGCCACGATGTCCAATATTGCTGTGTCTCTTTTCTTCTGAGTCCGCAAAGTCGTCGGATTCAGTGCTGGGATAATCAGCCTAGCATCGAGCTGACATACTTATGCCTCCTTTTCTCCTCGTCCAGATTTTGGTATCCTAGTCCAGATCGCTAGCCAGATGTCATTCAGCCGCCTGCTCGGACACGAGTATATGCGGCAAGTTTCAACAGCCTAGCAAGGTCGCTGCGGAGCATACCTTGTGCAGACCGTGGATGAGGTGAAATTGGTGCAATCCCGTGCTCTGCGGGCTTTCTAACGACGCTTCCAACCTTGACACGCAAGCATTACTGTCACGGAACGTAGTAGCCTTTATTCACGACAGAATACGGTCTGATCGTAGTACAAACGGATCGACTGTAAGTCATACAGGCTTATGCTACCCCTACAACCCGGCTAAAATTTATAAATAGGATGATAAATATTGCGATGAGTATGAGGGACCACGCATGTGCGCGCTCTTCAATAAATATATGCTTGTTGTCTGCGTCAACGCAGGAGACCTTAATGAGTGTTGGAGAGGTAGATGTTGCTAGAGTTGAAGCGCTCAGACGTAGGTCCAGGAGCCGTACGTAACCTCCACAGCGGGGTCTGCGAAGATCTTGAAGAGACCCAGGCTGAGGTCAAGAGCTCCAGCGGGGCATCCGGGGCACTTCCGTATAATGTCAGCACAGTTCACAACAAAACCCTCCGATCGCACTCACCTTGTCTACTACTGTGCCAGTCGCGGTCTTCCCGTTCGCGGTGATCCTGACTTGCCTACCGCAGTTGGGACCGGGGTACCCAGCGCCGAAGTCCTGGAAGACAAGTAAGCAACCACACAAAACCCACTGGTATCAGCATAATCTACTCACAGCCACGCTGAGGGCGAGGACCTATAACGGCGCGTAAGTATCTCTATTTATGGTGCTTGGAATGGCTGTACTCACAAGATCACTGTCAACGTTGTTGTGACCGCATGCTCCACTGTATAGGCACGTCAGCGAATTCCGTCTATAAAGGCGCCTCTTACTTACAGTCCCACAGAGAACCAGGTAAGCTTCGCGTTGTCGACTCGCTTGGCAAGCGATTTCTCCCCCGGGACGACAACGTCAGTCGAGTTCCAGTGGATGCTCGCGGCCTGCGCGAGACATAGGAGAGTCGCGAGGAAGGAGAAGAGCACGAGCGAGGGAGAGTACATCTTGGTTGTCGCAGTGAGTGAGTGAGTGCTCAAATACTAACTGGGAGTGGGCCGGGTCGTTGGCTGGGTGAGATCCGATGTTCAAACTCGTTGACTGGTGCCGTACTTATACAGCGACTATACGTTGGGGCGGATTCCATGGGCCCCTGCGATCAGCCTCTGGGCAGTGAGTGCACGCAGTGATTATTTTCTCGGGTCTGTCATCAGTGCGCAAACCTCGCGCTACGCATCACAATGGCCAGCCAAGCATCACGAGCGCGTATGTCTAGATCAATACGTCCTCGGGTATCGAGTGGCGCCCCCTTCAGCTCTTGGAGAGGCTAGCGAACGTGTTTTCCAGCACTGTCTGAGTACTAGTGCAACCGCCTTGCAGCCCTTGAAGACGCACATACAGTGTACAGTTGTATCGGCATTTTTGATGGATTATAGACGACGACTTTCGGCAGCTATTCTCTGGTCAAGTTAGGCGGCTCAGCTTGACGCTGTCGAACACAAGGGCACGGCTATTGTCCTTATGCTTCAGCACTCAGCCACCGTACCGTACGTCATGCACACATATATCCAATCACACCACTGCGCAAATCCTGATCCGTGCTGGTCAGTGTGCGTTTAGCGAGGCGTAGCACCGCATGCAGCCATAATTCACGGATCACAAGAGCGACCAGACATCAGTCCATGGACGATCGGCCTCGGGTATTGCGGCCGCATAGGAAATAAGCACTCAGTGAATTTAAATCATCTGTGACGGCCATGGCTGGCAGAGAATGATTTTAGTTAGAGATGTGAGCCACGCAGACAAGAAAGACAACATTGCAAATGACGGCGGAATAATGGTCCTCTGGCCAGCGCAGAACTGATGAGAAGGGAAGGGCAGGCGGGGCAGGACTGCGTAGGCTGGAGTTTCTCTTTCTTTTAAGGGCGTTGGCGCTGACGCGTGGAGCGAGACTTTCACGAGTCAGCCGCCCGTAAGGAACCTGGTCGTACGAGGATACGATGTAGTAGTTGGCTGTCATGGGCCCAAATTCAGCCTCGACGCGTACATTTCCCAGAGCCCTGTTCCAGATGCATTTCTCGAAACGAGGCACCCGATCCACATGACACGCCCGAATACCCTGATCCGTTTACTGTACAGTCGACTCTGTCCTAACCCATACCTGTCATAACCCATAACCTGTAATAACCCATAAGTTTTGGCTTCCACCAACATGGTAGATAGTAAAAACCCATAAGTCTGCCGTATCCCATAACCCATAGCTTTTTGGAGGGTCATAACCCATAAAACAACCTATATTAGGAAGGTACAGGTCTCCTTCCCACGAGACCCTGGACCATCTGGACCCTTGATTTTTGGTTCTCGTGGTATTTCAGAAGATAACCCATACCAGAATCAAGATTCCGTATCTAAACGTTGTCATAAACGACGTCCGGCCTATACCGGATAGGCTGTCTGTCACGCTTACTAGGTAGTCACATAATGTCACACGTTCTGGTAACCCATAGTCTGCATAAACCCATAACTTTTGGGTTCCACGACCCGTTATGGGTTAAGACAGAGTCGACTGTACTAAGGATGGATCATCCGGAAAGTCGGAAGCTGCCACAGGCGCACAGCTCGCATCGCAACTTGAACTTCCTCTCGTCAAGCAACCAACACCTTACCCGCGGGGGACGGGATACCTATGTACGTTCAGCCACTTGCTTCCGGGACTCGAGGATAACCCGGTGATCGCAGATTTCGTATGAAGAGACCTTCATCGCACAGGATGTAGCCGTGATTTGTAGTGCTTCACGTCGGCGAAGAGGTCTAATCCGAACAGGCTCGACGAGCTCTTGATGGGTTCTGGAGAATTAGTTGCCTGGGCGTGTCCAGGGGAAACGCCCTGTTCAGAACGTCGCGTCCACGTATGTACTGGAGGTCGAGTTTGTAAGGCTCGGCTAGCCTCCCTCCTTTCAGAAGGACCATCGGAACAGGAGCCTGTACCAATGCAAGTCCTTGTATCGTCCAGACAGCTAGGAATAGTAGTGGGAAATTGCAAGCCAGCTCTTTTATAACGTCTTGAGGTAGTGAAAGCAGGGCATCCCCGAGAAGATAACGCCAGAGACGCAAGATATCGCCACAGGTAACTGCACGCCCCCATACGTAGTCCGTCTGTCAGACAGTATAGTGGGGATTCGAAGAGTTCCGGTGAAGGGAAGACCCGAAGTTGCTTTAGGAAAGCACTTGTATCACGCAGTGCGTTTTTACGTCTGTCTCCATGCTCCAGGTGAATTTATCCTTCGGGTGGTCGATTAATACGCCCACCCGCACCGTGCACCAGTGTGAATAGACTCGAAAGCACATCATCGGACGATGAAAATACCGTCCTTGTGATGCGCGCCGCCTTGAGCTGCCCTGACAAGGCTAATATCATATGCTTCCCGTGGAACTGTGCAGCCTCGGGCTTTGTGGCGGAAGCGGTCGCAAATCCCGAAACAATCCGACGCAGCTTGCACGACCCGGTGAGAGACATGACGCCAACAGCTGGATCTTCTGAAAAAAAAAATAGGAAGTACAAATTCCTTTGACGGCACGTACTGTTGCTCTAGATCTGCTCCTCTGGTTTGCCGTGATGCAAAGACGATGACAATTGACAGGTTCCTCCGATGATTCTGGAACGACTCGTCTAGGTAACAGCGTTGGCTGTATCGATAGACAGTTTAACACCGCGACGTTAGCAGCCTCTCATCTCTTGATAACTCGTAATTGAACCCCTACATCGCAATCAGTCTCGGGTTGCGTATCAGTCGATCCGTCAGCATACCGTAGTGCCACCCGACCTGAATGGGGACGGCAGATCGTCTCGGTGATGTGCGAAGCCTTGGTCGAGGGCCCTGCTTCAGCAGTGCTTCTTCACTCGCCGAACACTAATCCACAAGCCAACGAGTGGCAAAGTCTGCACGGTGGTTTACTCCGGTGAGCTGCAGGATATGGAGCCATCGTGATACCTTCTAAGCCTCCGGGAATCGCGTCACGACCAGCATGTACGCGACTCGTCGGACAGCTGTCAACTTAGAGGCGCAGCTGCGGGCTGGGAACAGTCAATCCCCATCAACTGATCAGAGCATTGCGAAGACGCCCGACCGCGAACGTTCGTCCAAGTGCCTGATTTGTATGGCTAGAGAGGCAAGCAGCGCTCCGGATCTATAGCATCGATGCTCCCATCCATTGACAACTCACCATTCAATATTCAGCCCCTACAATGTAATCAGTATCAGGTGGAACATGGAAGATCGTCGTGCTCAAATCGTGCTTACTCTATTTCCACCAAATTTCCACTCTGCCTGGACGGAGATCGCTGATTCCCACGATGATCTGCAGCCTTAGCCCTCCTCGACCACATCGTTTGTAGCCCAACCGTAAGCTGCGACCAGTCACTAGAGCCAAATCAATCAGGTGATGAGAATACCGAGAAGACATGACTGAAAAGGATTCTCCAAATGTCGGATTGGGACACTATCTATAAGCCTGTCCTTTGGCAATCATACTATTAATACGTCAAGTTCGGCCCAGGCACGGAGGACGCTCTCGACCGACAAAAGGTTATGGGTTTAGAACCGGCTCTAGGGACAAGAAGAGTCCCGGAATACGCCCAGGCACGTCTCCCGCCGCGGATTACAGCATTCAAAGATATTCGAAGCCGCAGGGGCGACAGAAAATGTCAACGGCAGTTTTAAGCTCTCAATTAATCATGAACGGAGCTGCGGGACGCTCGCCCTCCGATGCTCTGCTCCCATTGCCAGGAGGCCTGGAATGAAGAACATGAAATGGAGGAGAACGCTCCCCCTATCGAGGTGGCAAGTGGCGACTCGGCGTCGGTCGTCCCCGTCAAATTGCCATCAACGTACCTGTCCCATCTTTCCCACGGCACGTACCTCCGGGACTGTGGCCATCCATGGCGTATTTTAACCTGTGGAGGCACCAACGAGCCGCCCGACCAAATGCTGATACCCACAGCTTAAAGCGCATGCGTATGCCCACAGCCTGCAGAGGACGCCGCCCATCCCTCTCATGACCTCCGCGGAGAGCATCGCGCTGGATCTGTGAGTAGCCGACGTCTGTCTGTCTGTCTGTCTGTCACTGCGCGTCGGAGACTGATGCGCAGCGCGACCCAGCGCCGCCAACGACTATCTTTCCTTAATTGCGTTTGGTAAGTGCTGCGTCTGACAGCGGCACCAATTGGCGAATTAATCTACCTGATGCAGCTGTGCTTTACTACGACTATACCCTGACCTTCGGGATCGAGGTCGATCGGTTCTGGGCTCCGAGATTCAGCTGGGCTTCGTTTCTCTTCTACCTCAACCGCTATCTGGGGATATTCGGCCATATTCCAGTGATTCTCCAGTTGTTCAGAGCGTTCTCAAGTAAAGTGAGCCCCGCACAATTATTATACCGCGTTCGTCAGTTAGTGAACCAATGGACTCTGTAATTCAAGACGTCGGTGCTCTCATGGTCATATTACCCGAGCATGTCCTGACAGACCCCCAAGATGCATCCAGCTGCAGAGCTACCACCAAATCTTCTCCGTCGTCGTTCAAATGGTCGTCGGAGGCAAGCCATCCTACACATCCCCCAACCAAGCTAAACCCGCCTGAACTAACCCCCCTTTCAGCATGCCTCATCATGCGAACATACGCCCTATACGAAAGGGCCCGCTGGGTGCTCTGGTTCCTCTGCGGCTTCGCCCTCGGCGTCATCATCTTCGGATGCGTGAGTTCCCCTTTGCCCTCCCAGTCGAACCTCACTCACCGTCGCACAGTGGGCGATTACAGGGAAACACACAGAACCCGTTCCTATAGAGGGCATAGGATGCAACACCACGCTCGCCGCCGACCAGTGCGTATCTGCGTCTTCACTGCCTGCGCAACACTACTCCTCGCTGACGAGAATACTCGTTGCAGGGGCATTCGTGAGTCCTTGGTACACTGGAATCACCCAGCGACGTATCTCAGATGAACGCCTGCCAGATCTCGCAATCGCGTGGAGCGGCATGACCGCGTTCGATTTCGTCATCTTCGTCCTCACCGTGTTCAAAGCCCTGCGGACGCCCCGCGTCGGGCGGCGCACGCTCGCGGACGTGCTCCTGCAAGACGGCGCGATGTATTTTTTGTGCGTGTTGATCTGTGCCGGTCGTTCGAATGGGAGTGGACTCATGGGCACAGTTTTATGGTGTTTTCGAATATCGTGAACATCTCTACGTTCGTCGTGAGTGCTATACGACCCCTGTTCCTCTATCTCTCGCAGCTGACAATTGATTTTTTTTCAGCTTGGCGGGGTGAGGGGTACCCAGACGTCCTACCTCCGCTCTATCCTGACTGATTTTTGCAGCCCCTGCTGCGCGGAGCGCCTTCCACATTCACAAACGTGTACGTACCTTGCCCTTGCCCTGCGCTCACCCATCCCGCATCCCGTCCTTCTCCGTCCTTGCTCACCCCACGCCGAAACTAACTGCCACTCCGTACAGCGTCTCCACGACCCTCATCTCCCGCCTGATGCTCAACGTCCGCGACCCCTCGCTGCGCACGCAGGCGCGCCCGACGACCTTCTCCACCGCCGCCGCCGACGACTCCAGCGGGGCGTTCGTGTCGACTGTCGTAGACGACTTTGGTGGGGAACAGGGGCACGACGAGGGAGATGGTGCGTGCTTTCGCCCCCGTCGTCGTTGGCAGGTCGTGCTGAGTGGTATTGCGAACATAAGGGGAAATTGAACTCGTCCCGCGACGGAGGAGGATGTTCGAGTTCGGGAAGTATAGAGCGTAAGGTAAAGTTATGTAAGCCAATGTATAAATCAGAGGGCGGAGGGCGGAGGGAGTGTATTTTATTGTTAGTGTAAGTGAGACGGTGTCATGTTTATACCCGCGTTACGATTGGCTGCGATACGCAGTGTATGTTTGGTTTGTAGATGTACTTACGTTGTATGCATGGAAGGATGCAGGATAGCAGTATCGTCGCATTGATGGGGAGTATGTACGCTGGCCAGATTGGAATTACCGTTCACAGCAGGTTCAGGTGAGGGCGAGAGGCGTATGGTGTGGGGTAGCAGAAGGATGCTAGAAGCGCGGCCGCCAACATCGGTAGCGACGTGTGATGAACAGAGGGGGCCGGAGGGCTCTCTGTTTTCCTGGCCAGCTGGTCTCATGATAGTCTACAGAGTATCATAAGGAAGACCGACGCGGAGACCGAGAGGAGGGCCCGGATGGACAGTTCTCTGGATGATACAGAGATGCGCGCGGATAGGAAGCGAGGATGGGCTGAGTCGCAGCGCTGGAGGGTCATGCGCTTGCGGTAGCGAACAAGTAACCTGCGCCGTGCTCCTCGGAATGCAACAGTGCACTCGAGATCATTTTTGCGAGGATCAGATGGGCCGCAGGTATACCAGAGAAATATTTATCACCGACCTTGAGGTCCTATCATCCCGGTCCATTCAACTGCAAGCCTGTTCGGAATACGGACGAGGCGTTACGGGGAGCGCAGAGAGCAGCCAATTAAAGGGGACTCGTCCGGGAGTGCTCTGAGCGGGATTTGCTACAGTGCGGTTTATTGACATTGATAACTCTGAGGCGCAGGGGGTGGTGGACATACAATGATGGGCAAGTACACTAGATGGGAGGGATTGAAACCAAGTCGGACAGTACTACGAGTAGGGTGGCAACGTCCAGCGACGCGTGCTCTGCTACTCGCCGTTCTCATCGACGCGACTGAGCCTAAGCAGCACGAGCCGACATTGATCAAAACGCCGACGCCCTATCACAGCACCCCTTACTCTCGGACTCTGTCATGGCGTGCGACAAGCAAGCACGCGTCCGAGTCTGTCTGACGCCCTTCGGATTCCCTGCTGCGAGTCTATCACTTCCCCCTATTTCCCCCGATTATTATTTCCCAGCAGCCTGCGGTTTGCCCTCAACGACGACGACGACGACGGCGACCACGCGCACGCCAGTGTCCTCCTTCGTTAATCTCGGCTAGCGGGCGCCCCTGAACGCTCAAGCTCAGCCGTCCTCTCGTTTCACCACCACACTCATTTACCACCACACTCTTTCGCATACACGCGGGCTTGCACCGCATTCACCGACAATGCGCTCGAGACACGCTGCGCTCAAGCGCCGCCTCGCCTACGACCTCAGCGCTCGCGCGGATATCAACCTCCTCGAGGAGCGCGGCCCCTCGCTGATCACCCTGCCCTTCCCCATCCCGTCCATCCCCATCCTCGGGCCGCTCCTCTCCCCGCTCATCGGCGGAGCGAGCCCGACGCCGACGCACAAGTCGGAGGCTGCTGCGCCTACGCCCACGGGCTCTTCTGCGTCTCCGGGAAGCGGTACTGGCTCCTCCGGCGGGGGCGTTGGGAATAGCGGGGGCTCCTCGGGCGGGAGCTCGCCTGGCGACACCGGGTCCTCTGTAGGGAGCAGCGGTGGTAGTGGCAGCTCTTCTGGATCAGGTTCTTCAGGCTCAGGATCTTCCGGCGGGGGGTCTGGCGACTCCTCCGTGACCGCAGGCGGGAGCGGCACGTCCAACGAGAATCCCGGCGCTCAGAGCAACTCACCAGGTGCCCCCTCTGCGGGCGGTTCCTCTGGCAATGGCAATGCCAGTACGGGCGCACCTGCCGCCGCCGCCTCAGCTGGAGGAAGCGCGCCGTCGGGGGCTTCCGGCGGCGCCGCACCCAGCGGCTCATCCAACGCGTCTGGCTCGGGTAGCATTGCTGCCCCTGGTACGACGAGCACGTCTGTCTCCGGCACCAGCCTCTCCCCACAGCAGACACTCCTGAACGTCGGCGGGGGGTCCACGTACGTCGTCGACGGCTCCTCGACGCGCACGGCGGCCGGCGCGCTCGCCACGGGCACGCAGGCGCCCTCGTCCACGGGGCCGACTGCGGGCAAAGGCAGCGGCGGCGGGTCCGATGCCAACTCGGGATCCGGAAGCGACGGCTCCGGGGCGCCCGGGGGAGCTATAGCGGGCATCGCCATCGCGCTCCTCCTCCTCCTCCTCTTATGCACGGGCGCGCTGATCTTCCGCCGCCGCCGCCGCGGCGCTCGGGCCCGCGCAAGGAGGGACGGCGCGCGAGGGGGGTATGGGGGTGCTGTGGATACCGGCAGCCGCGCGTCGGCGATATCGCTCGGCGCGGACCCCTTCGCGGACCCCCGCGCGCGTCCGGAGATGGCGCAGCTCCCGCGCGCGGCGGTGGTGGACCGCGACCCGTTCTCGAACGCGCATCGGGTGTCTGTCGGGTCTGGGTCGGGCGAGGGGGGATGGGAGGGGGAGGGAGAGGGAGAGGAGGCGCGGAGGGGGTCGATGAGCGTGCGCCCGTTCTCGCCGAGCGAGGCGTTCGCGTTCCCGAGGCCGCCCGGGTCGGTGTGGGAGGAGGGGGAGGGCCGTGCGGGGTCGTGGCGCCGCGAGAGCGTCGGGACGCAGCCGCTGTCGACGTGTTCGAGCCCGTTTGGCGACGAGATGTCCGTGGAGGAGGACGTGCGGGTCCGGCATGCGTTTGCTGGCGGGCGGGGGGGTGGTGTGTAGAGGAGAGGGGAGGGGATGGGAGGTGTGGTGGTGTGAGATGGTAGCGAGGCGGGGGTGGGTGCGATCAGAGGGAGGGGGTGATTGACAGTTGGATTGGATTGGACCGGGCTCAGCGCTCGACGCTATTTCCGTCTCGGATGCAAGGACCACTCGGGCTCGACCACTCGTTCTGCTTTTTGGCAATCGCGCGGATGCAAGCAACAAGTCCTTGGTGAGGACGATCCGGCCAGCCGTTTTCTTGCATACTCGCGGGCCGCGGACGGCTGCATATATGCGCCATCTATCCACCCACTCGTTCATTATTGATCAAGACTATTTATTCGCCATCCGCATACTTGTATCCCGCCCCTCCATCATCCCCCGATACCTCCATTCTTGTTAAATATACCCTGCGGTCTTGCGTTGGCTTGTTTCTTCCGTGTTCTTGTTGTCTGTTGTAGGGTAGAGTTAGGGTGGCGTGTTGTCGTGTTTCTTGCTTGACTTTCAACAAGTAGAGGGCAGTATTACTACTATACTGTAGTCTTGGATGTGAATTTCGTAGAGAATGCTATGAATCCAGAGTTGATCCGTTCGTCCGGGTGTGTTGTTTTAGGGGGGACTATGATACAGGGAATATGATACAGATAACGATACGACGAGCAAAGCGACGAACGAGGAACGAGGTGAGAGCAGAGGAGCGGGGCGGGAAAAGGGGGGCTTGACTTTGGGGGCGGGCTCTATGACGCGACGTCCATGTCAAAGTCCGTATCCGTCGAATGCGAGTGCGAGGAAGGGCCCGCGGCACTCGTGCTGGTGGGCGGGGGCGCGCTGTCCTCGAGGTCGTCGAAAAAATCGTCCGCGAACGCCTCGAGGTCCTCGAACAGCGCCGCCTCCTCCGCGTACGCGGCCAGCTCTTCTTCCTCCAGGTCCGGCGGCGCGGGCTGGGCTTCTTCCGCTGACTCTTCTGAGGGTGGCATTAGCATTGGTTGCGGGAAGGGGGAGGGGGAAGGGGCAAGGGAAGGCGTACCGTGCAGCTCCTGCTCCCACCGGCTGACGTCCTCCATGTCGGGGTCGATGGACGAGCCGACCTCCCACTCGTACGAGACGCGGTACGCGTGCTGCGCCTTGCGGTTCACGCTGTTCATGATGCGGCGGAACAGCTGTCAAATCACAAACTGAGCCTCCCGCCCTTACGCAGCTAACAAAGTGTCCGCGTACCTCGTCGTCAAGATCCTCCTCCTCCTCCTCCTCGTCTTCCTTCCCATCGTCCATGTCCATGTCCGCGTCCAGGTCAAACCCGTCGCTGCTCGGCTCGCTCTCGTACTTCCGCCGTCTCGTGACGGCCTTCTCCCTTGCCCTGCGCGCGCGCTCAAAGCACCGTGCCTTGAACCGCTCGCGCAGCAGCGACTTCTGCGGCGCCGGGCCTTCACTCCCGCCCGACGGCGAGAACATCGCGTGCTGCACCGACTTGACGCTCGTCCGCCTCGGCTGCGCGCGGGCGTGCAGTTGCATGGGCGTGTGGGTCTGTGTTTGCTGCCGCCGGCGCTGCGCGGCGGGCACGGGCGACGAGTCCGTCGGCGAGGCGGGCGACGAGGGGCGGGCGAGCGGGGAGGACGCGGGCAGGGCGTGCGCGGGCCGCCAGGAGGGGTTGTACGGCGTCGTGGCCGCTTTGCGCGGCGTGGAGGGCAGCATAAGCGGGCTCGACATTGGCTTGCGGTGTATGGTAGCCAGACGCCACCGGTCACGCGGTGTCACGGACGCGCTGATGACTTGTTTGGCCGTGTTGACGCGTTCGTCGCACGCTCACTGCCGCACATCGACAAGGAAAGTACGTTCTCGAATGGTATCTGCAATATCCCTTGGTGTTTGTCTGGCCACGCTGGATCAGATCATGTTCTCTCTCACTCTGACGGTATGCCTATATTTCGCTCCATCCCTACCTTTTTCTCTGTCGCGACGCGCTAGTGGCTCGTCAAGTGAGCACGGGGGCGGGCTGGGCGCTTTTGAACTACATCTTCGGCTGGTCTGCTCGCTATAGGGCGCTGCGGTCTCCCGACTCAATCTACACCCGCCTCTGTATTAGTAACTGCACTAAATGCAATGCAGAGTCGTGAAAGCCGGATCCCCTTAACCAACCATCACAGCCATCTGGACGAGCGGTAGCATCAGTCCGTCCCGCACGTACTGATAGGGCCAGCCGTACGCGTACATGCCCGAGAAACGTGCTTGCACATCTCAGAGCGTAAGTGAGAGGCGCCGGGATCTTGTCTTCCAGGGCAGTGTATAGCCCAAAATGATCGTATCTCATGAAACCGAGAAGGAGATCAACCAACTCGCCCGCTTTCGAGTCCTCATCGCACGTAGGTGCACGCGGAACCCTGCGTTTACCGTCCTACTTGGTAGGACTCTCCTCGCGCGTTCAGCCCCGTCTCATTCTGGTCTCGCTGACAGGCTCAAGATTGCAGGATAGCTGACGGTATACCCAATACGCTGCAGTTACCCCCATGACGATCAATCTTGCGGCAGTACACTTGACGACTTCATCGTTTGCGTCTCCTGAAACCGTAACGACGGACTGGCATCTGGCGCCGGCGCTCGATCCGTGTTGCTCGTTATCCGGACACCCATTCAGTCCTGTTTCCTGGTCACAAGTGCATCCCTCCGTCGATGGGGCGAGGATGTCGCCGTGGAACTGTGGAAATGGGTACGGCCGTCCCGAAGATGCCTGGCGGTGAAATGATCAATTGCGACCTGTGGACCGTGAAAATACTGGGCTTTCGCCGCGGACCTTTACTGCTGGACCTTTGCGAAAGCTGCGCTCGTTAATGAACGACAGAGGGCCCTCCTCAAGCCGAACAGCGCTTTTGCCATTTATGGCGGGCGTCCCTTCGCATCGTGCAGTCTGCACCTGGGGACACAAACTATTGCCGCGAGGATACTCCCGGACACGGCACCTGATCCCTCTACAGGATCTCCATCCTTTGGCGCTGATTTCCTCAGGTCCAGGCACCCATCGAGTGGTCAGCTGCTGTCATGCTGAAGTGGATATTTGAGAGCTGCAACATATCGGTAGACATCGGAGTGGGTCACAGCATTCGATGTGTTGGCATTGAACGTTTCCAGGCACCGTGCCTACTGAACAAGCGCTCTGCAAAGGCGCCCTAAGTGGACGTGCTCTTGGCATTTGTGGAATTCTCTCCTTTGGACCCAATAAGGAGTTGTCACTCGATTGGGCGGATATCTACTCGCCATGTCTGGTCCTCCGACAGTAAGGATGTGCCGCGCGCGCATTCTCGCTGATGCGAGGCATCCATTCATCCACTGGCAGGCGAGCGGCACTTGCAGTGTTGAACCAACTGCGAGCATATGCCCCAGGTTCTGCCAGTCGGTCAGCTTGCGATGCGGGTCAGACAAGCAGCGACCAAGCGGTCTTTGGCGTCGAGTCCTCCATGACGCGTGTCTATCAAGACAGCTTAACAGGCGTCGGTTTCTCCGTGCTTTGATAGCGTTTATTGGCACTGCAGGACTCCGAGAGACACCTGGCGCGCAGCCGTTACACCGTCCGATGAGTCGAGGCAGTACCCACCCCCACCATTTGCTGTATAAAAGGCGGCCACGGAAAACCCTCTACGGTATCTGCATCCACACCTCCATTCATACATTCGTCGTAGCCCTTTGACTCATCACCAGATGTACTTCTCCACCCTCGCCATCCTCTCTTTTTTCTCTTTCCTGGCCGGCTTCGCCCTCGCAGCTCCCACGGAGTTCGCCCTCGAAGCTCGCAACGCGACTGGACTGTCTGCTCGCGACAGTAACGCGCGCTTGACGTGGTACGATGTCGGATTGTAAGCTCAAGGCCACCTTTGTGGACTGTAAAGTGACTTACCGGCATTCATGCCCAGGGGGGCATGTGGCAAGACCAACAAGGCCAGCGACTACGTGAGTCCAGCAACGCCGAACGCGATCGCACCATTTCAAACTCACATTCCTGTCAGGTCGTGGCATTAAATGCTGCTGTGAGTGTCGCGAGCACCATCGTTGATACACCTACGATTCCAGGCGGTGGCACTGACCCACAGCGGTAGGAATTCGGGTCTGGCTACCCTGGTCCGCACTGCTTCAAGCAGATCAAGATCACCGCCAATGGCAAGAGTGCCACCGCTACCATTGTCGACCAGGTGCGCAAATACGACCCCGTCGGTGTAGCAGTTGCCGACCGGATTTCATCAGTGCCCCGGATGCCCCAAGGGCGGGCTTGACCTCAGCAAGGGCTTGTTCAGCCACTTTGCCAATCCCGATGTCGGCGTTTTGACCGGCTCCTGGAGCTATCTCTGAGTCCACCGGGTCGTTCCACAAACCAAGGGAATCCGTATGCCGGGCGTACTGGCTGTAGCACTGGCTACACTGCTAGCTTGTATCAATCAACTGAAGCCATTCCTTTCTTCCCGTCGCAGATCGTTATTTATTCTATTTATTGCTCCGCGGGCCTCGCCATTTGTTCTGTTATACTACAAAGTATTGCATTAACCTTCACATCTGTAGCAGTGCTATTGTATCAGTCCTCTCAGTCTACTTAGTGATTAAAGTCTGCCGAGCCGCGCGCGCACTTCATGGCACTGCGGGCAGAGACCGATGTCCCGCCGCCGGGCATGCCAGGAACATCTCCCTGATGTGAGAACACTTTCCCAGAATGGTCCTTGCTGGACCATAACCTGGACATGAAGAATGTCCTTTGAGTGAACAAAGAAAGGTCTGCGGGACATTTACTATGGTCCCCAAAAATCAGGGGACATTTAATTAACATTGACCTTTCATTCTTTATGTCTGTATCATGTCCCGCTACGGAGCATCCTAAGAAAGTGTTCTCCCACCCTTGCCGTGAAAGATGAATGACCGGTGGCGGGACACCGGTCCTTGTCCGCTGTGTGGTGACAGGTTACTGGTTGAAATATTGGATCCATTGTTTATCTCAATGAACATACAATAGCATGAGCACCAGGAGGAACGGCGAAGTAAGCAGTCACTGGTCTTGCGTTTTAATAACAGACGCTCAGTCGGTGACAGAACGACTGAGGAAAACGAGCGGCGGCGACGCGCACGAAAAGTCTGCCCGTCGCGGGCGTTACCGGAACGCGGCGGGACTAGGTACACTACGGGAATCCCACGCTACGCTACGGCGGTCCGAGTTGTATGAAACGGTAATGAATGTTCAATGTTAACACTCCCCCTCAACGAGAATCCACCCCACGAACTAGGCTTGAAACTTCGCCTCTCAAATAAGACTTAGTAGACGAGCAACTGTCTTATAAGGAGGCTTGTTAATTTTTAGTATTACCGCCGCAGAAGTCCCCCTGAAGCTCACGCGTCTGCCAGAAAAGGCAGCCTCTTCTCCCCAAAACGGCAGGTGCGCGACCGATGGACTGGAAGCCTCTTGCCGCACTTCGGCATGTGTATGCGTGACTCTCAACAAACTCTCAATGTAAGGTGCTCGATTAGGCGAATTATTTGCCATAGATTAAATCCAGTAAAAGCATAGAATAGTCGCCAATAGGTAGCCTAGCGTAGGATGGGCATAGAGAGACAGAAACCAGGAGGTGAGCGGCGTGTCGCATCTGCGATGTCTAGCAAGGAAAGCACACATGGCTTACCATTGCCATGGTGCCTTCAGTACTAAATAAAGCAGGGGACGCTGCCTAAACGGGCACAAGGGGGGACTTCACTGGCACGTATCAGAAATGTTCACTAGCCTACCCACGAACAAGTCCCAACATCTCCGTAAGCTTCTTGTGTTGTGGCCCCTTACCCTTGGTCAAAATGTCGGCAACATTTTCTTCACTTGCAACATACTCCACCCTCATCTGCCCCACACAAACCACCTCCCGTATCCAATGCTCAGCAAGCTTGATATGCTTGGTACAGTTGGAGATATCGTCAGGAGAATGGATCATGCGAAGAGAACTCGTACTGTCTGTTCAACAAAGAGTAGGTCCAGGGAAACCAATCTCTGTCAGGAGTTGACGTAGCCAGAGAACTTCCTGACCCATGTGGACGGAGGCATAGTACTCCGCTCCTCCTGCTCATGATCCTCCAGCACCACCACCAGCACCAGCACCTTCTCGCAAGCGTGGTCATCAACCTGGTCCTCATCCACCTCCAGGTGAGCCTACACGCCGCTCTACCCACTTAGCAAAAACTGCTGCTTCTGGTGGAATGAGTGCAGACAGTGAGGGCTCAGGGGGAGAGCCTTCGGAGGTTCCTGCTGCTACACAATCTACCTTGGATGTGTCTGTCAGCAACTCTCAGGAACTCATTCCAGAGACATCATCCTTGGTTCTTGCTCAGCGCACTCTTGCGGGATTTTGGGGCGACTATGCCTTCATTCTTTCTGGAGAGGAGCCTCGGAACTATAAGGAAGCTGTAGAGTCTCCTGATGCCGAGGGGTGGAAGTCAGCAATGGTCAAGGAGTTCGAATCTGTCTCAGCCATGGAAACATTTGAGCTTGTCCCACTTCCTCGGGGATGCAAGCCTGGTGGTTCACGTTGAGTCTATGCTCTGAAGCGAGACACCAACAATGTGATTACTCGATATAAGGCTCATATTGTTGCTCAGGGTTTCTCTCAGATTGCTGGTGTTGACTTCACTGATATCTTCACACCTGTTGCGAAGCCGGAGTCCATCCGTGTCATTTGTGCTCTTATCGCCCAGCTTGGTGGTGAGATTCATGTTGTGGATGTGGATACTGCCTTCCTCAATAGTGAAATGCCTGAGGGGGAGTCTACATGCATGAAGCAGCCGCAGGGATACGTTGTTGAGGGGAAGGAAGACTGGGTCTGGCGATTGAAGAAGGCATTATATGGTTTGGAGCAGGCTGGTTATCTTTGGTACCAGAAGCTCAAGTCTATCATGCTTTCTCTTGGCTTCAAGGTCTGTCTCTCTGATCCTTGCATATTTGTCCGCAAGACTGTCTTGGAGTTCTCCATTGTCACTGCTCGTGTTGATGATCTTGGACTTTTCTGTTGTTTGACTATTGAGGTGACTCGTCTCAAGTCCCAGATCAAGTCCAAGGTTTCTATCAAGGACAGTGGTGATATCAGCTCTTTGCTTGGTGTCAAGGTTACTCAGGATCGACAGGCTGGTACCATTTCATTCTCTCACTGCCATAAGATGGACACCCTACTCAAGTCAGTTCGTCTTGAGGACATCAAGCCACTTGCTACTCCCATGCTTGATGGCAAGAAGCTCTCCAAGTCTGATGCACCCTCTACGCCTGAAGACATTGAATTCATTAAGAACATCCCATATCTTAATGTGGTTGGTTCTCTTATGCATATCGCTGTCATCACTCATCCAGATATTGCTAAGGCTGTCCAGAACGTTGCCCAGTTCATGTCAAATCTAGGCAGACATCACTGGAATGCTGTTGTGTATCCTTGCATAGCTCAAGGGCACTGGGGACTTGGCTCTTACCATCAGTGGCAAGGACTTGGATGATCAGCTCCTTGCCTACTGCGATGCGGACTTTGCTAACTCGCTGGATCATGCTCAGTCTACTTCTGGCTATGTGATCTTCCTTGGGAAGGGTTGTATTGCTTGATCAGCCAAGAAGCAGACAACTACTGCCTTGTCGACTGGAGAAGGAGGCTGAGGAACAAGAGATGTTGGTGGTGGCTCTTCATCATCAGGCCAACAATCACCAGAAGACGTAGAATGAACAGAAGATGAGTGAGAGGTTTGGCCGGATAGTTGTCAGAGTCGCGTTGAAAAATTGAATCAAACTCCTTATACTCCCCCTTGGCCAAAGATCGCTCCCAGCCATTAAGATGTTCATCAAATCAAACGTGGATTGACAAAACAATCTTCCTCTTGTATAGATGATATGCTTTCTGGGTCGTTGAATAGCCAATAAAGATGTACTCACGAGCACGAGCATCCAGCTTCTTGCACTTCGGGTCATTATCATAAGCCCAAGCCTTGCAACCAAAGCAGTGCATGAAGGAGAAGTCCAGCTTCTGGCTAGGGAACTGGACCTCAAAAGGACTCTTGCCATCAAGAGCACTGGTAGGCATGTGGTTGTGGGTGTAGACAACATAGGCAACAGCCTCGGCCCACATGGATAGAGGGAGACCAGAATCGATAAGGATGGTGCACACCAGATCAAAGATTGTACGGTTTTGATGTTCCACGACACCATTCTGTTCTGGAGTATAGGGTGACGTTGTCTTGATACAGATCCCGCATTCAGTGCAATAAGCCTTCAACTGCTGAGAGATAAACTCCTTGCTGTCATCGCAGTGGATCATCACCAGCTTCTTCCCAGTCTCCCGCTCCACCTCTGCCAGCCAATGCTTGGAGCAATTGAAAACTTTTGACTTGTGCTTCAGGAAATAGACCCGAAGCCAACGAGATTTGTGGTCCATGAAGGTAATCGCGTATCTGGAATGATCAAGCAAAAGGACCTGGAATGGCCCCCAGAGATCAGTATGGACCAAACCCAAAATATCAATATCCTCAATCCGACCACTATCCGATGGTGGAAAAGAGGCTCACATCATCTTGCCCTTCATGCAAGACACACAGAGAGGTAGGTGAGCATTAAGCTCTGCCTTGGAGATCCTCAACGAAGGAAATCTCCCCATATGGACCAGCGCTTTCACCGTGTCCATCCCGACATGCCCGAGACGACAGTGAAGCTGATGGAGTTTACTGGAGGATGTACTGGTGGAGAAAGACTTCTCTTTCGGAGGCTTGTCAAGGTGGTAGAGGTGGTCTTGACACTTCGTACCAGTCCCAAAGACCTTCTTCAACAGGTCATCTCGAATAAGATGTCCACCGTCTTTCTTCTCGAATAGAACACACCGGCCACCACCAAAGAGCATATAATAGCCAGTGTCATCGAACCGAGAGACAGAGATGAGTGTCGGGGAGGAATTAGGGATGTAGATAGTGTCCTGAAGCTTCACCAGAGTCTCACCACCCTTCGGATGTCTGGCGACGATGTGAGCTTCTCCTTGACCTTGAATCAACATAGTGCTGTTGCCAAAACCTGAGACAGTGTCAGAGTTTCTAGGCGAACAGGAAGGGAAGTTGGCGTGAATGGAATGAATATGGGAACTCGTTCCAGAGTCTATGATGGTGCTCGGGCTGGTACGCACGCTCGAGATGTAGGTTGAGTCTCCTGAGCAAGAGGAAATGGTTGGAGGTGATGAGGAGGCTGAGGTGCTCACTGGTTCACTCGGAGAATAAGCAGAAACAACAGTAGCATAAGCTTTCTTTTCTACGACAAGATGAGATACATCATCGGAATCACTTTCCTCTCCATTTTCAGCAACATGGGC